TCCGCGTCTGATAAGTCTTCGATTGTAGCTTCTGGTAGTAGCAGCAGCAGCGGATTTATCGTCGTCCAGCAGCTCGACATGGCTTTTGGTAATTCGAACCGCCAGGAGATCGATGAAGATCTGCACAGCCGGCAGCTCGCCGTGTACGGACGTGAGACGATGAGGCGTCTCTTTGCTTCCAACGTTCTCATCTCCGGGATGCACGGCCTTGGCGCCGAGATTGGTATGTATTTGTTCTGACCTTATCATGATTTGGTAGTCTCCTTCGTCATTTTGCTTTGAAAATTGTAGAAATATTGTAACTAGAAGCTGTGAAGAAGTGTTTATTCATCAAACGAGACTAGTCGACTTTGCTCTCTAGTTGAAAAGTTTTTGATGCGTAGTAGTTTCTGATGTCTCTTGATTTGTTTGATAACTCTATTTCTGGTGTTTTCATGAGTGTCTGAGTATTTGAATCTGCATGTTGGATTTGAACTGTTGCTTATATTCCTTCATCTTTTTAGTCTGTTATCTTAGGATTACTTTTCCTGATCTTGCTCATTTTTGTTTTGTTTCCCTCTTTCTCAGCCAAGAATCTTATTCTCGCTGGTGTGAAGTCTGTGACCCTGCATGATGAAAAGGTGGTGGAGCTATGGGACTTATCTAGCAACTTTGTTTTCTCTGAGGATGATGTTGGCAAGAATAGGGCGGATGCTTCTGTTCAGAAGTTACAGGATCTTAACAATGCTGTGATTGTCTCTAGCTTGACCACAAGCTTAACCAAAGAGCATCTTGCTGGTTTCCAGGTATGACTCTGCGACTGAATGGATCCTCATGGGAGTGGGAAGTCGTTGCTTATTAGAAATGGTCTCCGTAGGACTCCGTAGGAGTTAGTCTGCATCTGTTGTTTATTAGAATTGATACAGATGATTGGGTGTTTCTTGTTTGGTGGTTTTATGCTGATACATTTACTTTTTTTTGTGAAACAGGTTGTTGTTGTCTCTGACATTAGCTTGGATAAAGCAATCGAATTTAATGACTACTGTCACAGCCATCAGCCACCAATCGCTTTTGTCAAAGCTGATGTCAGGGGTCTTTTTGGCTCCGTCTTTTGTGATTTTGGTCCTGAATTTGCAGTTCTTGATGTTGATGGAGAGGAACCACACACAGGCATCATTGCCTCCATCTCTAATGAAAACCAGGCATTTATCTCCTGTGTCGACGATGAGAGACTTGAATTTCAAGATGGTGACTTGGTCATTTTCTCTGAAGTTGAGGGTATGACTGAATTGAATGATGGGAAACCAAGGAAGATAAAAAGTGCACGGCCATATTCATTCACCCTTGAAGAGGACACGACAAACTATGGAACGTATGTGAAGGGTGGAATTGTTACTCAGGTTAAACAGCCAAAGTTGCTGAACTTCAAGCCGTTGAGGGAAGCTCTGAAAGATCCAGGCGATTTTCTATTTAGTGATTTCGCCAAGTTTGATCGGCCTCCACTCCTTCACTTAGCATTCCAGGCACTTGATCGGTTTACATCTGAAGCTGGCAGATCTCCTGTTGCTGGCTCAGAAGAGGACGCTCAGCAGCTTATATCCATTGCGACAGCTATCAATACTGGTCAGGGTGATTTGAAGGTGGAGAATGTCGACCAAAAGCTTCTTCGACACTTTTCTTTTGGAGCCAAGGCTGTCCTGAATCCGATGGCGGCAATGTTTGGCGGTATTGTTGGACAGGAGGTTGTTAAAGCTTGCTCTGGAAAATTCCATCCTCTCTTTCAGGTAAAACTTATTTTTCATATACTTTTCTTAGTGTTTATATTATGGGAAGATATAGCTGCTTACTCTTTTTTGACACATGTTTATTGTTTCTAGTTTCATAATGGAACCTAATGTTGAACTTTTCATTTTCTTTATCAGTTTTTCTACTTTGATTCAGTGGAGTCACTCCCCTCTGAACCTCTGGATGCGAGTGACTTTGCACCAAGGAACAGCCGGTATGATGCCCAGATATCTGTATTTGGGGCCAAGTTCCAGAAGAAACTCGAAGATGCTATAGTTTTCACAGTAGGTTCTGGTGCTCTAGGCTGCGAGTTCTTGAAAAATATGGCTCTGATGGGGGTTTCATGTGGAAGCCAAGGGAAACTAACAGTGACAGATGATGATATAATCGAGAAGAGTAACCTCAGTCGTCAGTTTCTATTCCGTGACTGGAACATTGGACAGGCTAAATCCACAGTTGCTGCTTCTGCTGCTGCAGCTATAAACCCAAAGTTCAACATTGAGGCCCTGCAAAACCGTGTTGGCGCCGAGACTGAGAATGTATTCGATGACGGCTTCTGGGAGAACTTAACTGTTGTCGTCAATGCACTAGATAATGTCAATGCGAGGCTTTATGTTGATTCGAGGTGCTTGTATTTCCAAAAGCCTCTCCTCGAGTCTGGAACTCTTGGTGCAAAGTGCAACACACAGATGGTGATTCCTCATCTAACTGAAAATTACGGTGCCTCAAGAGACCCACCAGAGAAGCAGGCCCCCATGTGCACAGTGCATTCGTTCCCGCATAACATTGATCACTGTTTAACTTGGGCTCGCTCTGAGTTTGAGGGTCTGCTCGAGAAGACTCCCGCTGAAGTGAATGCATATCTCTCTAGCCCGGTCGAGTACACTAACTCAATGATGAGTGCTGGCGATGCTCAGGCAAGAGATACATTGGAGAGGATTGTTGAGTGCCTTGACAAGGAGAAGTGTGAGACCTTCCAAGACTGCTTAACCTGGGCTCGACTGAGGTACTTACACTCTCTTAACTATACGGTTTATGCTACTTTAGTAGTCGTAATGATGGAACGAAATAAAGTATTTATTGTAGCTTCATTTCGTAACAGTAACCGAATTCCCCATAACATGCGTTTCTTTTGATATGTGACACCAGGTTTGAGGATTACTTTGTTAACCGTGTGAAGCAATTGATATACACATTCCCTGAAGATGCTGCGACTAGTACTGGAGCTCCATTCTGGTCTGCTCCAAAAAGATTCCCACGTCCGCTCCAGTACTCCTCTTCTGACACAAGCCTCCTCAACTTCATCACGGCGACTGCTATCTTACGAGCAGAGACATTTGGGATCCCTGTGCCTGAGTGGACCAAAAACCAAAAGGAATCAGCTGAAGCCGTTGACAGAGTGATAGTCCCAGACTTTGAGCCAAGGAAAGACGCCAAGATTGTGACTGATGAGAAAGCCACGTCTTTAACCACTGCTTCTGTCGACGACGCTGCAGTCATCAACGACCTCATTGCTAAGCTCGACCAGTGTAGGCATAACCTGACTCCAGATTTCAGGATGAAACCAATCCAGTTCGAGAAGGTAAAACATTCTCTGATCTTATCCTCTCCTCTCACTGATTTGACTCTTAATTGCTATCGAAAGTAAACAAGTCGTCGTCTTTGTTGTGTAGGACGATGATACAAACTACCACATGGACGTGATAGCGGGACTAGCCAACATGAGGGCGAGGAACTACAGCATACCGGAAGTCGACAAGCTGAAAGCAAAGTTCATTGCAGGGAGAATCATCCCAGCCATCGCGACCTCAACAGCCATGGCTACTGGTCTGGTCTGCCTCGAGCTCTACAAGGTTCTCGACGGAGGACACAAAGTGGAAGACTACAGAAACACATTTGCCAACCTGGCGCTTCCTCTCTTCTCAATGGCTGAGCCGGTTCCTCCGAAGGTGGTGAAGCACAGGGACATGGCGTGGACCGTTTGGGACAGGTGGGTTCTCAAAGGGAACCCGACTCTTCGTGAGGTGTTGCAGTGGCTGGAGGAGAAAGGGCTTAGCGCCTACAGCATCTCTTGCGGAAGCTGTCTTCTGTTCAACAGTATGTTCCCGAGGCACAAGGAGAGGATGGACAAGAAAGTGGTGGATCTTGCTCGTGATATCGCGAAAGTCGAATTGCCGCCTTATCGTCGCCATCTGGATGTAGTTGTGGCTTGTGAGGATGAAGATGACAATGACGTCGACATTCCTCTCGTCTCTATCTACTACAGGTGAGAGTTTATTTATAAGAAGATGGAAGGAAACTCTTTTGTAAGAGCGAAGTTTGTGTGTTTTTTATTGTGCCTCTTTTTATCTGCATCTGCCTTTTGAAGACCGTTTTTCTTCGGATGCTTCTGGTTGATGACTGATTTTTACTTGGGGATGGATAGAGAGAGAGACCCATTTTTATTATTATCATCATCATCCCTCTGTTCTATTTCTTTCTTTAAGTGTTCCTTCTATGCAGTGTGGTTTTACGGACCCACGCATTACCATCTGAACATGTTTTTACCAAAATCTTGAGTTTTTATTTTTCTATATATGCATCCATCTTCTTTGCACTTGTAGGTGGCGTTTATAGGTGGCCTTTCCTGATAAAGGATCAAAAATGATTCTCCTTTTGCTTCAACATTAGGTTAAAGGGCCCACCGTAAACTTAGTAAAGTCTCTGACCTCACCGAACCTCTTGTCTTAACCAACTAAGTCTTCCAAACCATTAACCACTCCCAAACACATCTGCTTTGGATAATACATTCGTAACTTTTTCTCATCAACCCCAACACAATCGTAATAGTACATTACGTCATCAACGAAGCACGTACATTTCTTTGAATTCATGCATCTTGTCTTTTTCCCATGTACTCTTCTTTTGGTCGTAAACAAAGCTATTTAGATTAAAAAATTGTACGGATTAATGATGACAGAGTGCGATTTATTAACAAGTATGCAGATTAATGATGACATGTTTGCAAGAGATTTGGAATTTTTAGTTGCCACATTGTAGAATCGTTTTTCTCATAAAATTTTGTAATAGAATAAATCAAATGAACAAAAAAAATTTGCCATAAACATGTGCAGAAAATTGTTTAATGGAAAAAAAAAATCCATCTAGCGATTTGGTAAAAAGCCGGACCAAAAAATATTTTAAAAACGACAAAAACAAGGACATGCAAGTTAAATATACGATTCCACTTTCCAGCATCAAACCATAACAGCTAGAGGTGCTGCTGAGTAAAAATGATCAGGACCCAAAACCTGACCACACCATTCTATTTTCCCCCAAATCTCCTCTCCTTGTCGTCTTTCCAGCGATATCGATATCTCAGCACACCAAATCTCAACTGTCCTTCCTATGTTAGGACCAGGACCGTTAGGAAAAAGCAAAACCAGTTTCCCACCGTTACCCGCAGCCACTAACCTCAGAAAACATCTAGTCTCAAGCAACAACTCTTCCAAACCATTCACCACTCCCCAACACTTGTGCGTTGGATCATACATTCTCAAGTGTTTCCCCTCACCATCGTAATAGTACAATACGTCATCGACCACACACGCATTCTTCCACTTCTTAGAATTCATCATCTCGTCTGTACCCCACTTACTCTTCTTTGGGTCGTAAACAAAGCTGTTATCATCATGATCTCTCATGTACAACTTCTAAGCCATCCCCACACAACTATGCCCCAATCCGTCGCCTAGTTTTATAATCTCTGGCTCCCACATTTGTGTTTTTGTATTGAACACTACCATCAGGATCTTCTGGAAGTCACTCTCGTAATATCCAGTTACATATATTTTCCCATCGATGACGCCAGCGATTGACCATATATTAGGTATAGGCATGCTAGGGAGGGTTTGCACCATATCAGATCTACAGTCGATGCTGAAGGCACCCAATGCAATATTTTCAGGGCTAATTCCACCAAACACATATATCTTTGAGCCGACCCCGACACACTTTCCACCGTTCAGAGCGGGAAACGACGGGATGTGGACCAGGCGGTAACTACCGTTGGATTTCCGGTAGAGATTATACCACCGGTGAAAATCGTAGGAATTATAGAGGAGAACAAAGAGACAGTGTTCTGCAGAGCCCAACAATGATCGTCTCACGTATAGCTCAGGCGACACAACAAGTGGCCCGAAGTATTTAGAAACGAGGACAAGTGTTGAATACTTGCACATTGGTACACGTGCTATGATGTCAATGATGACTTCTTCCGGAAGTAACATAATCGGAAACGGTGATTTCGACGATTGCTCATCCTCTGCCCTAATTATGGAAGACATCTGAACTCAACAATCACCCAATCTCAGAAAGAAAAGCACCAAAACCTACCTTTAATTTAGGTTATAATAAAAATAATCAGAGAGAGAGAGAGAGGGTGAAGCGCAAATCCTTAACTACCTTCGAGCTCCGATCGAATCACACAAGAATAATAGAGTTTGAGATATTTCCGATCTTAGGGAGTGAATTTATTAAGACCTCTTTCCTATTTTTATACTTAGTTATTACCTTATAGCTAATTATATAAGGCAATTTACTAAAATATAACTCTACTGTTGTTTCAAGTTCTTGAATGTTGTTTACTTATTTTCCAAATGAGGTAGTTGGCCCGCGCCATACGCGGGCATGAGTTATTTTAAAAAATAAAAACATTTATAAGCTAAAATTAATATTTTTCATATTCTAAACGTTAAGGGTTTAAAATGTAGGGTTTTCATATGATATTTTAAGAATATGCAATTTTTTTATTTAATCGATATGATTTTAACAAAAGATTAAATAATTTAGCTGTTTTGTTTTTTTTTTTATTAGAAAGAACTAAGGATTTTCTTTTTCATTAGAATATTTCAATAACTAAGAATTTAAGAAACGCCAAAGAAACTAAAACCATACATCCACCAATATAAATTCTACCTTTAAACCTTAGCCCTACAATAAATACCCTCTCCTCATCCATACAGTACGCCATAACCACACAATAGATAACTCTTTTCAATTTTTGTTGTTGTTGTGGTTCAAAAATTCATATGAGATTTTAAGAATACGCAACATTATTATTTTATCAAAAGATTAAACAATTTATTATTATCATTCAATATAAAAGCATCATTATTGAACATATAATCATTCATATATAAATCTCTTATAAAAAAAACAGAAAACAAAAATATTATTCAAAACTTAAAAACCGAATATGAACTAATTAATCTCGCATCCAATATTATGTTAAACACCATTGACTTGTGGTCGTTGTTTCTGAAACATATGCACAAAGTAAGTGATAGATTCAGTTCTTTTTGTTTATAAAGATATCTAAAATATAAAAATTTAATGTTGTTGATGCAAACATATATTCTTGTATGGATGTATTCATTGTTTTTTTCTCCTCTAACTTTTTATTCTTCTAATTTTTATGTCTTTCCGCTTTGACTTCTCCTTCTCTTTTTTTTAACTCAATTTTCTTCATTCACCTAGAAAGATAAAAAAGAATGTTTCATCCTCTTATTTTATTCTTCAACTTCTTCCACCTTTTCTCCGGCTAATTATTCTCCAATTATCTCATTTTCTTCTTCAAGTATCTTTTTCTTGTTGGACTTTTTTTTCTTCTTTTTCTCCAAGTTTCTCATCTTATTCTTTTTACTCCAATTTTTATTTGTTCCTATCTACGTCTTTTCCAACTTCTTCTTCATAAAATTTGTCTTTTTCAGCTTTATCTTTCGATTTTTAATCTTCTCATTTTTGTTTTCTTCATCCTCCTCATCTCCTTCAATGTCTTCTTCTGGTTTTGTTTTATCTTCTTCTTTTAGTTTTTCATTATTTCAATTATTTCTTCACTTCCTATGACATCGGTCTTATCCGACTTTATATACTTCTAAAATTTTATTTATCTTATTTCCATCTTATATTCTTTTACTTTGTCTTCATTATGTTTCAAATTGTTTTTTCTTCTCTTTCTTCCTTTCTTTTTTACTTTTTGTTTTCTTTTTCTTATCCAACTTTCTTATCTCTTTTTATTTTTCTTCAACTTATTATTTCTTTTGTTTTATATTTACATTCATCATTTTACTTACAGTTTTTTTTCTTCAATGGCTTTATGTTATTATTTTTCACATTTATTATCTTTTGACTTTTCCAACTTTTCTTTATATTTTTCGATTTTGGTTCTGGAATTGTTTTAAATTTCTAGATTTTTTAAAAAGAAGTTGTTTTTTTTTGTGTTTTTAGTCTGCATTGTTAGTGTATTCAAGTTTTTTTTTAAATGCACAAAAATCTAAACCCTACACCCACCAATATAAACCCTACCTTCTAAACCCTACAATAAACAACCCCCCCCCATACATACAATACACCATAATCACATAATAGTAAACTCTTTTCAACTTTAATGGAATATTTTTTTGCTTAATTTTGTAATTGTTGTTATACAAAATTTCACATGATATTTTAAGAATACACAATGTTTTTATTTTATCGATATGATTTGAACAAAATATTAAATAATTTAGTTGTTTACCTATTTCCTTTATTCTTAATTTTTTCAAGAACTAAGGATTTAGAAAACGCACAAAAAACTAAACCCTACACCCATCAATATAAAGTCTACCTTCTAAACCCTAACCTTATAATAAACACCACCATTCATTCAGTACACCATAACCACTTGATAGATAACTCTTTTTAATTTGAATTAAATTTTTGGCTTAATTTGGTGTAATTGTTGTTGTTGTACAAAATTTCATATGATATTTTAAGAATTCCCCACTTAATCACGCAGATTACACCACTATTGTTTACTTTCATCCATTTGAAATTCACAAAATTGAATAATAAAAAAAAGATTAAAATTTAAAAACTGAAAAAAATCAAGAATACATGATGTAACTTTCTCGTTGCATAGATCTCATCTATCTAAGACCATCTAACATAGTTAGGGTTTTCATCCATACAATAATGTATATTCTAGTGGTTTACAAAAACATAATACTATTGATATAGTAATCTTCTTCATTCGTTTTTGAGTTATAATAGTTTAGATTAATTTTGGTGTAAACGAATGTGATAATCAGTATTTGTGAAATAAGTCTGTGCTTTATCTGGTTCATAATCGGGTATACTGGATAGAATAAAAACAGTCTACAAAATAATGTTTTTAAAGTTAATATTTCAGCCATCATATTGAAATTTCAAAAATTATGACTGGCCAACTTACGTTACATCTTTGAACATCTTAGTTCAGGTTCAGTTACATCTTCTTATTTGCTAATCCCCATTCTCTATATAATCCTCACATAGTAGTATTACTTTGAACAAACGATTCAAACTAACTATGAAAGGCCATAGTTAATACAAAAGAACAACACACCAAATGTGTACTCTTATCCTTGTTGACGACGTCCTCTAGACGGTGATACAAATTCTTCTCTTCAAAGCTCCTTTTCTTCATTGTTTTAGCATAAAAAAAAAAGTCAGTAAATCAATCAAGAATCATCCTTTCTATTGCACTTGCCTTTGATTGCTTCTCCATCATGGTAGTGGCATCATTCTGATATGGTTCATTCGCCAACATCCTCCTTAGCTTCCCGCTTACAGGCCTTTCCACAATTTTCAACTGCTGCTTGACAACCAAATGCACAAAGATAACATGTGGTCAAATTTGGTATCGAGATATTCTTTGAAAGGCAAACATAAGGCGGAGTTAGACAATAACAAATGTATAGATATAAATTCATAATTGGCAACATTGTTGTAAATTGTGATAACTTTTCCACCTATTATATTTTGTAACAGAGGAGGCAATGCTTACTTCCTCTACATGATCTTCATGCATGAGATGCTTGGTGAAAGATTCAAAGCATCGGCAACTAATTCCACATCGTGAGCAACGAAGCCTTGCCGGTCTTGTCTCCCCTGACGTGGCTGAACTAAAAAAATAAAAAATACTGATCAGAAACAACGCTTCGCTGGTTATCTCAGAGCTGAGAGAAGAGTGGTCATACACCTTCCAGTAACGTTTTCCAGACAAATCTTTTATTAACAGTGACATTATTGACATGCGTGAAGAATGGTGTATCCGTTACGTTGTAACGCGGAAACATGAAAAGAAAAATATTCCACATCCATATCACCGGTTATGAGCAGTAAATTATCCGAAGGTGGATTATACCACATCCATTCTCTAGTTAGATGTATAACCTCTTTGTTACTTTGACTTGTACAGTCAAGGAAAGCAAACTAAATATCAAAAGAAAAATACAACCAGCTCTAAACCCTAACTATAGTTGAATCTAATTTACCGATGGGTACGTCAATATGATGGTCTCCAGTGGCAAAGAGCGCCGGAAGAACATGAGGGGTTCGTTATAAGGTGAGTTTTAGGGTGCCAAGGACAGTGATGGTAAGAGGGCTCGAGAGATAGCTTCTCATACATTGATACGGGATGTATGGATTCACGACAGAGCAGCCTTCCTTCCTCAACGCCGATTTTGTACTCGAACAGGAAAAATACAACCAGCTCTAAACCCTAATTATAGTTGAATCTAATTTACCAATGAGTCCGTTAATAAGATGGACTCCAGTGGTAGAGAGCGCCGTAAGAACATGAGGGGTTCGTTTTAATGTGAGTAGGGGAACTTATTTTTGGGGTATTGGAGCAATATATTTATATAGGACAAAGTCGGTAAAGAAATTTAGGTTTTTTTTTTCAAAATTGTGGCACGTAATATGTAATATGGTAATTAGGATTATTATCTAAAAATATTTTAATGAAAAATCTAAATCGTGGTCATTTATAAAAAAGGAATTTTTGAAGATTTAATTAAGATTTTCATTAAGGGTATCTCGGTAATTCCGCGGCTGAGAGTTAACGTGGTGGCTCCATTCGAAATTCTGACTTCGCAAATAATAGTATGATTCATTGATAGGAACTGTAATTTATAAATAAAAGAAGGAAATAAATTAATAATTCTCTATAAAATAATAAAGTTATTGAAAGTCCCAGCATTATTAATTTATATTATAAGGTTTTACTATAGAAAATTCGAACAAAGTCAATTATATAAACAAACCAATATATGCGCATTGGTGATTTTTATCTCTAGTGCTCTGCTATACTCAAATACTCATTCAGTTTGATAAGATTAGTCCATGATTCGATTCTCTCCAGTATCAAACCATAACAGCTAGAGATTCTGCTATGGAAAACTTTCCACGATCCATAACATGACCAAACCACTCAACTTTACCCCAAATCTCTCCTCCTTGTCTTTTCTCCAGCGAAATCTCCGCACACCAAATATTCGAAATCTCTTTTTCTTTATTTTTGAATTGAAACCAAATCTCGTTTTTTCTACCTTCTCTAGGATAAAACAAAGCCAATTTCCCACCGTAACTCACAGTCTCTGACCACACTGAATATCTCGTCCCATACCACATTAACTCTTCCACACCTTCAACCACTCCCCAACACCTCTGCTTTGGATCATACGTTCTTAAACTGTTCACATGACAATCGTGATAGTACAATACGTCATCGACCACACACGCGTTCTTCCACTTCTTAGAATTCAGCATATCGTCAGTTTCCCATTTACTCTTTTGTGGGTCGTAAACAAAGCTATTAAAAGGATCTTTCGTGTAAATCTTACCAGCCATCACCACACAATTACGCGTCCACCTTTTGCATGTCTCCTTGTTTGCAATTGGCTTTATCTCTGGCTCCCACATTTTTGTTTCTGTATTGAACACCACCATGACATTTTTCGAAGCACGATTACAATATCCACTTACGTATATTTTCCCATCAATGAGGCCAGCGACTGTATGAACCATGTGTATAGGCATATTATGGAGCTTTTGCACCGTGTGAGATTTACAATCGATACTTGAGGCACTTGATGTCGTATTGTCAAACACATATATCATTGAACCCACCGCGACAAAGCTCCCATTGCCATGCAAAGGGGGAAGCGACGAGATAAGGACTAAGCGAAGGTTGCCGTCTGGTTTGCGGCAGAGAATATACCACCGGGAATTCGAATTATCAAAGTGATTATAGAGTACAACATAGAGACAGTGTTCGGTGAAGCCCAACAAGGATCGACTCGCGTATAGCTTAGGCGACGTAACAAGTGACCGGAAGTGCTTAGAAACGAGGGAGAGTGTTGGATAGTCGAATCTTGGTACACGTGCTATGATGTCCACGATGACGTCTTCGGGAAGAGACAGTGGTTCCGAAGATTCCCCGGGTGACATCTCCGGATCAACAATCACCCCAACTCAAAGAGAAAAACACTGGTTTATTACGTTTATTAAGAGACCTCTACAAATATCATATAACTAGTCATGACTTGGGCTGTATATATAAACACGTTCAACGTCAAGATTAGGATATAAAATATGTTATAACTTATTAGATTTACAATGTAAAGTTTGTTTACTTTAGATCTCATATTAATATAGTGATATCATTTTTTTATAGTTCTTAGATCTTAATGAAGAAAATTTGATAAATAGAAGAAAGAAAATTAAGTTTTCAAAAAACATTTCCTTTTTTTTTTTCAGTTTTGATATTTTTTTTGTTCTTTCAAAAAATCAATTGAAAACAGTCAAATTATAAATCTACAAAATAAAAAAGTATGAAATAAATGAAAAATGAAAAAATATAAATTTCATATCAATAAATAACTTCCAAAATATGTTAAATAAAATTTCAAAATAATTGATATAACAATAAGAGGTATAAGTTAAATAATATGAAGGATTTAAGTAAGAGAATATTGAAAAATAAATAAAAGGGAAAAATAATAATAACAATAATAATGATGATGATATTTTAATAAAAGTAGAATAATTTAAAAATATTAAAATAAGTAAAGCAAGAAAAAATGAAAACTAGATAATCATAAGAAAACTGTAAAATCTAGATAACTTGTATGAAATAAGAACTAACCAAACAGTTAAATACACTACTTAACTATCTTTAAATATACATTTTCATCTAAAAACATTATTTTTTGAACTAAACTTTTTTTCCAAAGTATTTTCAAATTCAACTCAATTATTTTTTAATATACCTCTATTCGATTTTATAATTGTAGATGTTAATTACGTTTAGAAAAAGAATCGAAAACTACATGGTGCTGGAATGTGGAAGTTGTGTCTCGAGCAGCTAATAGAGAAGCATTTATCATTGCCCAAAGCGCTTTGAAGGTAGCAATAGCATGTAGTCTCACCCCCTTTGGCTTCATGATTTATTTGAGAGTGAGAAAAGCTTGGCCTCTATGTAGTGTTATCAGAAGCTGTCGCATACCAGTGGCCTTTTTGCATCTGGCACAATAGCCACCAAATAAAGATCAACTTGTGTGGTATTACACAAATTTATAGGAGATTATATATATTGTCTGTTCTTTACCTAAGTTATTGGCCATATATGAAGGATGCTTTATCTCTGCCCAACTAAAACATTTCCTCTGGAAAATTCTATCAAAAGCAATGGGAACGACGACACAACCAGAATAACTAAAATGGACAAATTAAACGTGTCAATGATGTTGCGTTAATATGACTTTTAAGAAACAAAAATCTTTCCAAAGAATGATGTAGACTGCACCAATGTTGAAGTGTCTTATATGCTTTCCAGAATGTGACTAGTTGAACACATTTATCCACTCAATCACATCAAATGTAAAATTCGATAGGATTCCTTAACCTGTTAACCCAAGATATATCGAGAATAATCAACACCTTTTGCTTCAAAACATGCATTATCTGGAAGCTCAGATTTTCACTTTGATTCGGGTTCAAAAACTTTTTTTTAATCATTCTAAACATTATACATATATTCTCTCAAACTCGACTATTTCCATTAACATCAACCTAATCAGCAAAATGAAATCTTAGGTTTATCTAAAGAAAATTCATATAACTTTTTAAAAAAAAAGAGAAACAGAAACCAAGCATTAAGCTATGTGAATAATTCATGCATCAAAGCATAACAGCTAGAGCTTTTGTTAACTCTAAATCCCAGGAACTCAAAACCTCACCACACCACTCAACTTTACCCCAAATCTCCCCTCCTTGTCTTTTCTCCAGCGAAATCTCCGCACACCAAATCTGTCTCTGACATTCTCCTGTTTCCCGTTTAGTAAAGAACAAGGCCAGCTTCCCACCGTAACTCACTGTCTGTGATATCCTCCCTGACCATTTCGTCCAAGCCCATAATTTTTCCAAACCATTAACTACTCTCCAATACCTCTTCTTTGGATCATGCATTGTTAAGTGTTTCTCATGATCGTAATAGTACAATACGTCATCGACCACACACTTATTCTCCCATTTATCATAATTCAGCATATCGTATCTGAAGCTTTCCCATGTATTCTCCACTGGCTTGTAAACAACGTTATTCTCATGATCCTTCCTGTAAATCTTATCACCCATCACCACCACACCACTAGGCTTCGTGTCACCTAGCTCAATGTCTCGCTTTGTCATCTCGGGCTCCCACATTAGCGTTTCTGTATTGAAAACAACCATGACCTTCCCCTTGTTGATATGCGACCATCCAGTTACATATATTTTTCCATCGATGACGCCAGCGACTGTATCTGTCATGTGTATAGGCATGCTAGGGAGGGTTTGCACCGTGTGAGATCTACAGTCGATGCTTAAGGCATCCTGTGGTTTGTGATGGTTATAACTCCCACTAAACACATATACCCTGGAACCAACCGTGACAAACCTTCCAAACCAAGGCATAGCGGGAAGCGACGGGATAAGGACCAAGCCGTAACCACCGTAGGGTTTCCGGTAGAGAGTATACCAACGTTGATCACCGGTCATGTTGTTAGTTAAGAGAACATAGAGACACTGTTCGGCGAAGCCCAACAAGGATCGACTCGCGTATAGCTTAGGCGAGGCAACAAGTGACCTGAAGTGCTTAGAGACAAAGGAGAGTGTTAGATACTTACATCTTGGTACACGCGCTATGATGTCAACGATGACGTCTTGGGGAAGTGACATAATCTCAAACGGTGATTCTGACGATTGTTCATCCTCTGCTTTAGTTTCGGAAGACATCTCAAGACTAACAACAATCGCCCAATCTCAATGAGAAAAGCACCAAACCCTAGTTTTTAGGCTTTAAACAAACAATCACCGAGAGAGAGAGAGGAAATCCCCAAATCTATGGGTTGACCCTGTGTGACAATTTTAACGGGTTTGGTTTGAGTTTTTTTTAACTCACATTAATAGTCTATGGATTTTATGGGTAAACCCATTAAAGTTATGGATTACCCATGAATTTTATTACAATAAAGAAAAATATTTTAAATATGTATATTCATATTTATCACTTTAAAGTATAAAATATCCATAAATTTATCATTAAAATATATATTTCCTTGTATTGGAGGTACAGTTTCCCTTTGTAATCCTTGGTGGTAGCTATGTGGTTTTAATGTGAAAGTTACTCATCGTCCCGAGTTGTTCTTCAGGTATCTGAGAAACGTGGCTTGGCTGGCTCATCTACGGTTCAGTGTCCTTATAAGGTTTGTCATGTATTAGGGGGTTTCTTTCGTATACATGCTTATATTTGCTGACCAAATTTCTCTCAGGTTCTTCGCCTACTAGATGAGCACACTGGAAAAGAATGCGCTTTGTATCTCTGGGATGAATGGTACTTTTTTTTCCAAGAAATTAGAAAGATCTATGTTTTTCATATCAAATTGCTGCAAAAATAGCAAGTGGTCTTTGCTCCCCCATTCTATGTTCTACTCCTTGTTCTTTGATGTCTTGGTCTTAAACGCTCTTGCCATTTTTAGTTTCCAACTGTGGGCTGATAGCAGACTACACATTTTGTTGAAACTAAATATCATCTATTCTGTTCCCAGTTGGTTGAAACTTGGTTAACTAGCTTATGGTACTTCCTGAATACTGAACGCTTATTGTTCCCAGGTTTTACAGCACTGTATCACCAGGAGATTCAATCACTGTCATCGGAGATTTTGACGAGGATGGCAAGTGTGACGTGGACCACCAAAATAATTTCTTAATTGTTCATCCTGATACCCTTCTTGCTGGAACTAAGGTATTTTCTCTTCCCGTTAGGGTTTCCGATTGGAAATATCAACTTTCTTCTATGCACTTTTTATAATTTTGCTGCTTTTGTTTTGAATAACTGTCATACCTTTCAGGTTGCATCCAGTTTTAGTTGCCCAAGGCGAACTGTGCTAGATGAGAGGCTAAGATCCAATGAACACGCTACAGCAGCCTTACTTGGAACCTTGCTGCACCAAGTTTTTCAGGTTTACTATCTTTGATGAGACTGTTCTATTGGACAATGAGTATTTTATTTTGGTTTGTTTTATTTCTTGCAATTGTAGTGTATTGATCTGTACTATCCATTTCCTTTGTTTACCAGGCTGGTCTCACGCAAGAGTCCCCATCTGTAGATGGTTTGCAGGAATATGCCTGCATAGTGATTAAAAAGAATATCGAGAGCTTATATGCTTGTGGAGGTTAATTACTCATTACGTGTTCTTATTATTTGAAGGTTCATGAGACTTATTATAAAGCTAGGATATCTCTTATTGTATTATGATTCTAATTTATGCAGCTAGATTATCTCTTATTTATATTAGAATACGAGTTAATAGGGCTATGAGGCCTCTTTGTTCAATGTGCTTAGAAGATTTACATTGCTTCGAAATGTAGTTCTGTTTTTGTTACGAAAATGATGAAAGTGACCCAAGGAAATGTACTTAATCATTTTCTTATCCGGTCATATGTTCTCTAATCTCTACAGTGCATGAGGGAGACGTGAAAGCAACCTTATTTGGAGCTATCCCGAAAATGTTGAACTGGATTCATCGTTTCATCTATTCAAAGGTGCACCTGTATTTTCCTATCTATGATTCTTTCTTGTGTTTCTCATGGCTATTACATAACTGCTTCCTTAGATGAACGTTTTCCTGGCTTTTCTGCTTGCCTATTCTTCAGATATTTTCATAGTTGTCAGGCGTACATTTTATAGTGCTCTTTCTGGTGTGTCGGACTTGTTTTCTCGTGCATGTGCTTGTTTGATAATAGAATATTGCTCATATTTCCTCTTATGCTGCCTTTCACCGACAGAAAAATCTTAAACTCATGGCATGGTCATTGTAAACAGGATTCAAGGATGTCAAATGTTGATTTTGGTTCTACCATTGGGCAGAAAGTAGTTAAGATATCAGAGGTAAAGAGCTCTTCATACTCTCTTCCTTTTTGTCTTCTTAGGATTTCATTTCTTTCCAGTGAAGAACTCAACCAATAAGTTGGTTAAAAGTTTTTGACCTTTTTGTTTCGAGAGGATACATCCTCTTTGAACCAAGCCCAAAATACATCTAAAATTGCGTAATAATAGTTGTTCATTTTGAGCCATCTCCTCTAAGAGACTTCAATTATGTATAAGCAAATTTTTATCACGTCAGGTAGTTGATATTGAGGAGATGTCATGGGCCCCTAAATATGGTCTGAAAGGGATGATTGATGCTTCAGTCAGAGTGAAAGTTGAATCTGACACGCACACAGTGAATGAAAAAATAATGCCCCTTGAGTTTAAATCTGGAAAAGCTCCTAGTGGTCAGGTCTGTATGGAGATCTACGTATATATTCGGTTGAAATTTTAACATTCCAAAATCTTATGAAAAATTAAGTGCTTAATATTTTATGCAGGCATCAATGGAACATTGCGCACAAGTGATCTTGTACACGCTCCTTATGTCTGAGAGGTACTAATGTACTGTCTCTCTTCCCTTCTTTTTTTCCTGGAACACGGACAGTAGTTAGCATTTTTCATTTATATCGAAAATTTCCACTTTGCAGGTACCTGAAGCCTATAGACAATGGCCTTCTATACTATCTACAGTCAGATCAGACACAGGTAAGTCAAGATGTTGTGTGCCTTTATTTGGTCTCAAGATATTGGAATTGACTAAGCTTTCAATTCACACTTGTAAAGGGAATTTCTGTTCAAAGATCAGATATGGTGGGTCTGATTATTCGTCGCAATGAGCTTGCAAATGACATCCTCGTGGCGTTAACAACGCAACAACTGCCGCCAATGTTAAGGGTATGCTCTGATGTCCTGTGGTGACAATTTTTACTGGGAATACTCACTCTTGATATGATTTACAATTTTGATGCTAGAATCCAAACATGTGCCGTTACTGTCGCCATCTGGATGTCTGCACGATTTATCACAAGGTATTCTTCTTTTATGTGATGAAGAGTGCTCAAAGTCTAATATTTTACATTTACCGCATTTGCATAATGTATAAGGTTCTAGCGTTTAGCATATATGGGGTTGAAACCTGAATTTGGATGAAGCAAATTGCATGTCACTGTCTGACTTATTGGATGTATTTCATCTCGCTATATATGTAATCAACCGTCATCTTACTCCTTATACTAGCGACCTGAATTGAATTTCCAGTTTGTTATATCCAGTTTGTTGAATTGAACTCTGAGAGAAAACTATATGTTCCAAACATCATGGTGCTGAACCTTCATCATATGTTATCGGATTGAAGCTTCTCTCTTGTCTGCTTGCCCCATAGTACAATACGTCATCGACCACACACGCATTCTTCCAACACACAGAATTCAGCATATCGTCAGTTTCCCATTTACTATTTTTTGGGTCGTAAACAAAGCTATTAAAAGGATCTTTCATGTAAATCTTATCAGCCATCACCACACAATTGTGCGTCCACATGTTGCCTGTTTCCTTGTTTGCTATTGGCTTTATATCTGGTTCCCACATTTGTGTTTCTGTATTAAACGCCACCATGACCTTTCTCGATCATGAACATCATATCCGGTTACATATACTTTCCCATCAATGACGCCAGCGACTGTATGAGTCATGCGTGTAGGCATACTAGGGAGGTTTTGCACCGTGTGAGATATACAGTCGATACTAAAGGCACTCGATGGAATCCCACCACCAATCACATATATCCTCGAACCAACCACGACAAAGCTCTCAGTGCCATGCAAAGCGGGAAGCGACGAGATAAGGACTAAGCGGTGATTGCCGTCTGGTTTGCGGCAGAGAATATACCACCGGCAATAGATGAAAACATAGAGACAGTGTTCAGCGCACTCCAACAAGGATCGTCTCGCGTATAGCTCAGACGACGCAACAAGTGACCGGAAATGCTTAGAAACGAGGGAAAGTGTTGGATAGTCGAATCTTGGTACACGCGCTATGATGTCAACGATGACGTCTTCGGGAAGTGACATAATCAGAGACCGTGGTTCCGAGGATTCCCCGGGTGACATCTCCGGATCAACAATCACCCGAACTCTAAAGAGAAAAACACGTTCAACGTCATGGCTAGAACTGTCTATATAAATTAACACGTTCAACGTCAAGATTACGATAAAATGATTATAATTTATTAGATATTCAATGTAAAGTTTTTCTTTTTACTTTAGATATTAATATGTATTGATGATATAGTGATATCAATTTTTTATAGTTATTAGATCTTTATGAAGAAAATTAAATAAATAGAAGAAGAAAAAATTAAGTTTTCAAAAGATATTTCCTTTTTTTTTGTTTTCAATTTTTGTAATTAGAAAATTAATAGAAAACTATAAAATCAAATAAAAAAGAAAGTTAAAAATCTAAAAAATCAAAAGAATGAAATAAGAGAATAATGGAAAAAAAAATTTCATATCTATGAATAACTTCCACAATAAGTTAAATAAAATTTCAATAATAATTAAAATAATAATAAGAGGAATAAGTAAAATAATATTGACAAAAAAAGTAATAATAATGATGATGTTTGAAAAAAAAAATTAGCAACTAAAATAATTTTAAATATTAAAATAAGTAAGAAAAAACTAGAAAGTCAAAAGAAGACCATTAAATCTAGATAACTTGTATGAAATAAGAACTAAATAAAACAGGAATTACACTACTTAAATGTCTTAAATATACATTTAATCAAAAATATTAACTAAAGTTTTCTATTTTTAAAGTATTATCAAATTCAATTCCATTATTTTTAATATACAGTAGAAACTCTATAAATTAATACTCGATAAATTAATAAACACGATAAATTAATAAATTTCTCCGGTCCCGAGTTGGGCCGGTGTAAAATATGACACAATTCGATAAGATAATAAGATAATAACTTTTTTTAAACTCCTATGTAAAATATGGTCCCAAAAATATCATAAATTAATAACTATCATATATATATATATATCTAAGATATCTAACTACTAAAATATGAATCTTTGACACATCACACCGATATGGAAACTAAAAGAAGAAAGAAATTTATAATAGTATGGCAAGTATGAGAAAATGTAAACAATAAAGTAAAAATATAGAAACATCAAAAATGAAAGTTAAGAAAATATACATACGAAGGAAAGTTTTTATTTAATTTGAAGGAAAATTTAAAAGATTGTTGATATTGAATTTTCTTTGTTTGAAATTTTTTTTAGTCAAAATCTATATATTAATAACTCTATAAATTAATAAATTATCAAAGTCCCGACATTATTAATTTATAGAGTTTCTACTGTACATCTATTCGGTTTTGAATTGTAGATGTTACTTTTAGAAAAAGAATTGAAAAACTACATGGTGCTGAAATGTGGAAGTTGTGTCTCGAGTAGCCAATAGAGGAGCATTTCTCATTGCCCAAACAAAGCGCTTTCATCAAATCTTAGGTAGTTTCACCCCTTTGGCTTCATGATTTATTTGAGAGTGAGAAAAGCTTGGCCTCTATCAGAAGCTGTCGCATACCCGTGGTCTTTTTGCATCTGGCAGAATAGCCACCAAATAAAGACAAAGTTGTGTGGTGTTACACAAATTTATAGGAGATTATATATATTGTCTGTTCTTTACCTAAGTTATTGGCCATATATGAAGGATGCTCTTTCTCTGCCCAACTAAAACATTTCCTCTGGAAAATTCTATCAAAAGCAATGGGAACGATGACACAACGTTGTCAAGAGTAACTCAAATGAACAAATTAAACTTGTCCGTGATGGTGCGCTAATATGACTTTTAAGAAACAACAAATCTTTCCAAAGAATCATGTAGACTACACCAATGCTGATGTGATGGAGAGGATAAATGTGTTGAACTAGTCACATTCTGGAAAGCATACAGTATAAGACACTTCAACGTTCTTCATAAGCAAATAATATCACCATATGCAATACCAAATGTAAAATTCTATAGCAATCCTTTCCTTGTTAACTATCCAAACCAATAAACCCAAGATAGATCGAGAATGATCAACTCCTTTTGCTTCAGCTTCCTTAAACATGCATTATCTGGAAGCTCAGATTTTCAGTTTGATTCAGGTTCAGATATTTTTTCTTATCATTCTAAACGTTATGGATTCTCTTAGATTCGACTGTTTCCATTAACATCAACGAAATCAGAAAAACTGAAAAATGAAAACTTAGGTTTATCAAAAGAAAATTCATCTATGTAGAAGAATTGATATTGGCTTTTTAATATCATATATTTTCTAGATCCATCCTACGACCAATGCATTTGGGTGACGCTGGACAAATAAAATTTAGTTTAAAAAAAGGGACAAAGGAACCAAGCATAAGTTATATGAACCATGCATCAAAGCATAACAGCTAGAGCTTTACTTAAGCTTAAATCCCCAGAACTCAGAACCTCACCACACCACTCAACTTTACCCCAAATCTCCCCTCCTTGTCTTCTCTCCAGAGAAATCTCCGCACACCAAATCTGTCTTTTTTCTCCTGATTCCAGTTTAGTAAAAAACAAGGCCAGTTTTCCACCGTAACTCAGTGTCATTGACCTCCTCTCTGACCATTTCGTCTTTGCCCACAAGTCTTCCAAACCATTAACCACTCCCCAACACCTCTTATTTGGATCATACATACGTAAGTGTTTCTGATAAACGTAACAGTACAATACGTCATCGACCACACACGTATTCTCCCAATTCTCATAATTCAGCATACCGGATCTTATGCTTTCCCATGTACTCTCTACTGGCTTGAAAACCAAGTCATCTTCATTATCCGGCGTGTAAATCTTATTACCCATCACCACCACATAACTAGGCTCCTCCGTGTCACTTAGGTCAATGTATTGCTTTGTCATCTCGGGCTCCCACATAAGCGTTTCTGTATTGAACACCACCATGACCGTCCCCTTGTAGATATAGGAATATCCAATTACATATATTTTTCCATCGATGAAGCCAGCGACTGTATCTGTCATGTGTATAGGCATGCTAGGGAGGGTTTGCACCGTGTGAGATCTACAGTCGATGCTTAAGACATCCTGTGGTTTGTGATGGTTATAACTCCCACTAAAAACATATACCTTGGAACCAACCGATACAAACCTTCCGTGGCAAGGCATAGCGGGAAGCGATGGAATAAGGACCAAGCCGCGATTACCGTAGGGTTTCCGGCAGAGAGTATACCAACGTTCATCACAGGTCATGTCGTTAGTTAGGAGAACATAGAGACACTGTTCGGCGAGGCCCAACAAGGATCGACTCGCGTATAGCATAGGCGAAGCAACAAGTGACCGGAAGTGCTTAGAGACAAAAGAGAGTGTTAGATACTCACATCTTGGTACACGCGCAATGATCTTAACCATGACGTCTTCGGGAAGGGACATAATCACAAACGGTGATTCCGATGATTGCTCAACCTCTGCTTTATTTTTGGATGACATCTCAAGATTAACAACAATCGCCCAATCTCAAAGAGAAAGGAACCTTAGTTTTAGGTTCTAATCAAACAATCACCGAGGAAAACCTCAAACCCTAATTTCCTTAGACTCCTAACTACTAGTTATTTACCCTAATTTCGATGGAGAAAAGAATGATAAAAACATACAGTAGTTTGTTTAACTGTTTAGGTGGGCTCTAGTATTTTATTTATTAATTTTTAATGAAGTTACTAGGTTTATATGAAAAAGGTTTTTCTACTACTTGTAGTCTTGTACTACTATTGCCGCCAAAAAAAAAAAGTCTTGTACTACTATTCTTTTATTGACGCTTAGAGCATGTGATACTCTAAAATAAAGTCTCATATATATATTAAATTAATATAATTTTTCTAAAAAATAAAATTAAAATGAATGAAAAACTTAACCAACTGTATAATGCCAACTCATGGAAAGTTTCTCATATTTTCTGATACGGTCTCGTGATAAAGAGACGTATCACATTTTCTCTCCTCTTTTTCACCATTTTTTATTTTTCTTTAATATTAAGAGATCTGTCTGATACGGCCGCTGGACATGCTCTTAATCTTGTACTATTTAATATTTATGTTAATAAGTAGGATTTTATTTGGAGAGAAAAGGCACTTAGAGAATAAATGGGCCTAATAACCCATAACAACCCTTCAGTTTTTTAGAAATTGTTTTTTCCATAGGCCAATTTTTCTTTGATTTAGGCATAGGCACCCAACTTCGGATTATCCACAAAATTGCCAAGGTGTTTGCAGCTTCCAATTGATGAATTGAGTCCCCAAAAAAAGCGATCCGAATGATTCAGACAAGTCTTGGTAAGGGCATAACACAATATAAAAAAATACAAATGTTTGAGAAATGCTAATTTAGATAATATTCGATCCAATGTAAATGACTTGTAAATATGTTGCTGCTTAAAGAACGTCAGTAAACCCACTAAGATGACTTAAAAATGTTTTGTTCTAGAGATAGTCTTAGTGAGTACAGTTTACGCATAACTGCAGTTTTATAAGAATCAACTTTTTTACCAAAAGAAAATTAGAAGCAATTTTGAAGTTTATTTTGGCGAGTACAAACACTATTCTGCAAAAAGTTCTATCAAGATTTCATTCATTTTTTTATGGACTAATTGAAAAGGCAGCAGACCATTCAGAGATGCTGGACAAAGAAATTATAAAAAAAAAAAAAAAAAAAAAAGTTAACAAAAACAAGATCAAGCATATGCTAGGTAGATAGGACGGAGAAAGTTTCAGCATCTAAGCATAACAGCTAGAGGTTTTTCTAAGAAACAATTCCCAGAAATCATAATTAACATGATCACATTGAATATGAAGAGTTCATGCATCAAAGCATAACAGCTAGAGCTTTACTTAAGCTTAAATCCCGAGAACTCAAAACCTCACCACACCACTCAACTTTACCCCAAATCTCCCCTCCTTGCCTTCTCTCCAGCGAAATCTCCGCACACCAAATCTGTTCTAGTTTAGGTAAAAACAAGGCCAGTTTCCCACCGTAACAAGACCTCCTCATCATTGACCATCTCCTCCCACGAAACAACTCATCCAAACCATTCACCACTCCCCAACACCTCTTCTTTGGATCATACGTTCTCAACTCCTTCTTATAACTATCGTAGTAGTACAATACATCATCAACCACGCACGCTCCCTCCCACCTCTTTGAATACAGCATCTCGTCTTTTTCCCACGTACTCTCTTTTGGATCATAAACAAAGCCATTCTGAGTATAACTCATGTACATCTTATCACCCATCACCACCACATAACTAGGCTGTCTGTTACCTAGCTCAATCTCTGGCTTTCTCACCTCGGTCTCCCACATTAGCGATTCTGTATTGAACACCATCATGACCTCCCTCCTGTCGATATAGGAATATCCAGTTACATATATTTTCCCGTCGATGACGTCAGCGACAATGTTATCCATGTGTATAGGAATGCTCGGGAGGGTTTGCACCGTGTGAGATCTACAGTCGATACTTAATTCACGCCTTGCCAAATTGTGAAGGTTAATCCCACCAAATACATATATCTTCGAGCCCACGGCCACAAAGCTTCCACATCTAGGCATAGTGGGAAGCGAAGGGATAAGGACCAAGCGGCAATCACCGTTGGGTTTGCGGCGGAGAATATACCAACGTTTATCCCAGATCTCGGTGTTACGGAGGAGAACATAAAGACAATGTTCGGTGCAGCCCAACAAGGATCGTCTCACGTATAGCTGAGACGACGAAACAAGTGACCGGAAATGCTTAGAAACAAGGGAGAGTGTTGGATAGTCGCATCTCCCTACACGCGCTATGATGTCAATGATGAGGTCTTCGGGAAGTGACGTAATCAGCGACGGTGGTTCCGACGATTGTTCCTTCTCCATACCAACAATCAATCATCCAGTGTCTTGATGATAGAAAACCGCAGAATCCTAATTTTAGTTGAAACCCTAATTTCCTTGTAGCTCGAGTTTCGGGTTTAGAGAGGAAACTGATACGCATATTAAATATTTTTTTTTCTACTAGATATCTTAAAATTATATTTTATTAATGAGTCAACCTAAACTTATTAATTTGTTTTTTGTAATCCTAATTGTGCGACAAAGATGTGTAGAAATTGCAGTCTTTTACCTTCGTAATCACCTACCCTTAAGTCTCCTTCATATACTTACAATGATCCAGGGTGCTCAATAAAGCTAATATGAAATAGAGCTTCAACATCAAAGCATAACAGCTATAGGTTTTTCTAAGCAACAGTTCTCAGTAATCATAAATTAATTCATTACAGTTCATATGATAAGATAAAGAAACCTAAACTAGGTTTCTCTTTTAAATACAAATTGTAACAATACCCTAAAGTTCCTTAATGTAAAAGGACATCATTTAACTAACATGAAGCCTCTTCTTCAAACAGAGTCTTCACCTCTCTTTTATCTCTTACTAGTATTTGGCCCATGCTATGCATGGAGCTTTATTTTCATCTTCTTAAATCGAAAATTGAGATGAATTGAATCGATGACAACTGGGCATCTAACTAAATCCCCAAATCTTATTCTTGTAATATATTTTACTTAATCATTTGATTTTGTAACAAATAATCTTATGAATAATAGATTAAATTGATCTTTTTTTAGTGACATATCTCTATTAACAATGGAATTATAGCCATAAAAATTGATGTGTGATTCTTTTTATAGAAATTGTAAACTGAAACAAATAAAATGCAATATAGATAAACTCTCTACATGAAAAACGCATAAACTGAACAAAAGATTGATAATTTATCAAACGCATAAACACAAAACCAAAAAAGATCATGACTAAAAGATTGATTCTTTATCCTCAACAAAGATGGATCTTTTCCCTCAATATAAATGTACCTGCAGATGTAAGAGAGGACGATGAGAATAAGAGTAGTAATGTGATGATCCATCTAAACTCCAATACATTAACAAAATCTATGATTTCTCTCTGCTTAGTGTTAGCTGACCCCTTTATAGAGACAAAATGACCATCCTGACCATCAAGGAGCAGCTGATAGAATGAATGTTGAAATCTGTTCAAAAGCTCTTCCTTTACAGAATCTGGTACTGAAGCTGTATTAGAAACAAATTCAAGCTTACTAAACATCACATTTCCAGTGAAATTGGTTTATGATAAAGAAACTATGGTTGTGGTTTTTGTTTAATCTTAAAAAGGTTCGTTATCTTACCACTGCCTTTTGGAGTAATTTATCACTCGGAGCAGCTCATCGACTGTTACATATTTTCTTCCTTCTTCTTTACATGCTCCCTGCAGTCAAAAAGAGAGATTCAAAATGAACCAACTTGTCAAACAAAGGTGATTCACTGGTTAATTCAACTCAGTCCACAGATCACTACTACCAATACAAATTTATTTTTCAAATTAAGATACGACTAATCAAAAGAATCAAGCTTAATCCTTAATCAGCTCAAATTTAGGCAAAGGCTCAACATTGTCAAAATCCCAAAACCCACTCGAGAAACCTGAATCGAATACATGGCCGCAATAGAGTAAACCCCCCTCACAGCAGCTCTGTTCTCAAGCAACACTTCAACGATCTAATATGATAGACAAAGAAAGTAAATCAATTTGAAAATAAAAAAATATGAAGATTTTGCAAAACAGGAATTACGAATCGAAAGCCAACCTTGTTGTGTCCTTCAGCGGAAAGGTAGAGACGTAGAGTGCTTGGCGAGGCAAGGATTGCATTCGAGAAGCATCTTCGCCTCAACGAAATCCCCATCTTTCGTCGCCGACACCAATCTCTCGCCGGACGCCGAAATTCCAGACGAATTCCCCCATCTTCTCACTTTTTCTCTTGTCTCTCTATCTGAAAATTAAGTCAACCATCGTGGAAAGATACAGAGAGGAAAGAACGGGATTTGATATGGAGCATAAACTTACGTTTTATAACTTTTTTGGATTTCTCATATCTTATTCTTCTTCTTCACTTTCTTCACGCTTTGGTTCGAGAAAGAAATTGTCACGAGAAGCTCTGGTATCGGCGATTCGCTCTTGTAACGGCGATTCGTCTGCAACAAACCAAAATAGTTTCAAAATGAACAAATCAAAGACTAAAAATTAAATTAAACTGTTAAAACGAAAGGTTAGTGTAAGGAATCGAGAAATTTGTAGTAATATCTATGAAGCTTAGATAGAAGAGATTGAAGAGAGGAGAGAAAAAAAAGGATCAATACTTATTCATCTAAACCAGAATTTTTTTATTTATCACATGAAACATATTTCTTCAATCTCAGAAACAAACAACATCAAGCATTCCCGGATTAGAGTCAAAAGCAATTACGAAATTTTGATTAGAGACTGAAGTAAGGTTATCAATAAACAGAGAAGGAAATAAAACCCAGAAATCAAGCATTATTGTGGTGTAAGACGAAGCGAACAATTTCAGAACCAAAACAGCACCAAGCATTCAATCAAAAGCAGTGACAATATTTCAGACTGAAGCAAGATTATCAATTAACAGAAAAGGAAAAAAACCCAGAATACAAAGATACCTGATTTCAGTATAAGAGATTTGATTCATAGATCTGTTTCTCACAGAATTTGGAAGGATGAAGATGAATTTCGAGATCTAGAAAAATAAAATACAGTAGTGGTCGTTCCGTGAAAGAGAAGTGAATTTTCAGGAAAAAAAGGAAAACAAAAAGAAATTGGAAAAAGCATTAAAAAAACAAAATTTAAAAATTAAAATAAAAACGAAATTTGAAAGGACACGTGTCCGATTAGATAAGCCATGAGGTGACTTCTGATTTATTAGTATTAGATTAGATTCTTCACTTTGCCACTTTCCGCATTTTCCTTCTTCTTCCACTGGTTCTCTTCTTCTTCATGAATGCAGGAGGGTTCCTTAACCTATCAAGGTCTTGTCTTTAGTTAGGACAACATAGTAACAGTTTTCAGTGCAGCCCAGCAAGGATCGTCTCGCGTATAGCTCAGGCTTCGTGACAAGTGATCGGAAGTGCTTACAAACAAGGGAGAGTGTTGGATAGTCGCATCTCCTGACACGCGCTATGATGTCAATGATGATGTCTTCAGGAAGTGACGTAATCAGAGACCGTGGTTTCGACGATTGCTCTTTCTCCATACCACCAACAATCATCCAGTCTCTAAAAATATAGCGCAGAATCCTAATACTACGCTCAAATCAACAATCAACCGAGTGAGAGATTCCAAAACCCTAATTTCCTTTTAGCTCTAGTTTATGGGAAGATTGTCTACCGTAGAAGTAGGGTACGCAGAGCCGGCTCTGAGCTGAGCTGGCATGGGCTGCTAGCAAAAAATGTTTATGGGCCAGTGAATTGGTTAATTAAAGAGAGTTTTTAAAACAAAATCTTAAAAATGTGAGGGAGACTTGAACTCAACACACCGTTTGCTTATATATTGGCTGTATATGATATTTAGTCAAAGAAACTGGCTGATAATTTACTTCTTTTTTTTTGTTTTTTTTTTTTGTTTTAAATTTACTTCTTGTAAGAGGGGCCCCAAACATTTGCTTGCTTTGATTTGACTCAGGATATAGATCGCCATAGATGAGTATTGAGTAACGTGGTCAATACTTTAAGCCATAACCAGATAGAGATAAAGATGAAGACTCTAATTAAACCATCATCATTTCAAATTCATATTAACATGTTGTTTCTGATAACTAAACATCATACTTTCTTATATTAACATTTTTGCAACACATTTATTTTTCATCATAGCAATGTTTGATCGTCTCGAAATTCTTAAAACTACAATATATATCTATATATTAACATAATTTAAAATTTTAAGACTTTTTTAGGTGATCAATTAGCCAAATATTTGAGTTTTCTTGTAATTATTCCACAAATAAAATTAAATATAATATAAAATGAAACAGAACTATAATAAAGAAAAATAGCATTTAGCAAATATCATTTGTTTGTCATTGACTTTGTTGTGAATAGAAGAAGATAGATGACTATATAATTTGATAACTGTAATTAAAAAACTTTGATTTTGAACAACATTTCATTTAAATTAATAATGATTAGTTATATTTTGTGAAGAGCAACGACATGTAAAATTTAGACAACTTAATGTGTGTTTATTTTTTCTATAACAATGATGTGCGCATTCCTGACAAATTGAATCTAGCCACCAAGAAGCTGAAGATTTAAAATGTTTGTCTGGTGGAAGAATACCATTTCTCTGAATATTAATTGGAGGACTAGCTTCTGGATTAGAAATTTATACTTTCTCATTGGAATTATATTTTGCCCTAATATTGGATGCACCTATACAAATTTCAAAAATCAATTACAATCGTTAAATTATTATGTCTATGAGGAATATAAAATTTTCTAAATATTAACATAAAAATAAAAAATAATAATAATAAGAAAAAACTCACATGACAAAAGATGAACTGAAAATGTCAAAACAAAATATTGTTTTTCATTTTTCCTTAAAAACTGCAATGGTATTATCGAGAAATCCTTGCAATAGTATTATTCTTACTTAATGTTCAAACTTTTTATTGTGAAGTTTAAAAGAGTTAGGTAATGTCATATTTTTATATGAGTTTTTACTTAATTTACTTTACATAATAATTAATGACTTAATCAATGTTTTTATAGGTTACAGTTTTGTTTTTAAACTATTTATAAATGTGTAATTACTGTTTTCGGTAATTAACTTGTTATACCAGATGAGGGACACAACTTGAACGGGGACACAACTTGAACGGCAACTCTTTTTTATTTGTTTCGAATATGAATATATTAGGTTTCAAAACTTTTAAGAAAATATCTAGAGGTTTTTTCTTAGAAAATAGTTTGCCCACAAGTTGCGTCACTCCTTGTCTGCAGCAGGCTTTATCCCACCATGACCTTCCTCGAGAGTCTATACCAATATCCAGTTACATATATTTTCCGATTCAATGATGCTTTTCAAATTTGTTTATAGTCTTCTTACTTAGTAGACAAGTAATGTAAATCTGAGTATTTTTCTCTTCTTTTTCTTTGTTCTTTTGCACAAAAGGAAAGAAGAAGAAAATACTAATGAAAAGCTGATTGATTCTAAGTATTTCGTTTCTCCAAAATGGCAAAGATCTGTTAGGCGGGTTTCTACCCGCCGCAATTCTATATGCTTCAAACATTTGTTCTTGAAAGCCTCATGTAGAGGCTCTTTGGTCCTTTTATATGATGCTTCAAACATTCTATATGATTATATATGCTTATGGACCTTTGGTCTACCGTGGACAACCTCATATATATAGAGGCTCTTTTTTGTTGGAACTCCTTTTGCACCAACATGTTACCGTCTTGACATTCAGATTTTCAACTCCATTTTTTTTTAATTATGTTTTTGGAAAACAGATCAAAACTATATATAACCGGATTTTGTTCTGGTTTAATTACTTCAGTTTGGTTTTGAAAAGGTTCTCAAATTCCGACTACATTTGTTCATTTACATATAAACGAAATCAGAAAAATAAGATTTATTATAGGATAATGAAAATAAAAACTCATCAAGTCATTTGGGTGAAGCTGGACAAAAAAAACTTCAAAAAATAAATACTTCAAAAAACAAAACAAGCACATGCAAGTTAGATAAGAGAGTTCCAGCATCAAAGCGTAACAGCTAGAGGTTTTTCTAAGCGAAAATCCCCAAGACTCATAACATGATCACACCACTCAACATGACCCCAAATCTCTCCTCCTCGTCTTCTTTCCAACGAAATCTCCGCACACCAAATCTCATTCCTTCTTCCTTCTTGTTTATGGATAAACAAAGCCAGTTTCCCGCCACAACTCACAGCCTCTGCCCACTCTGAAACTCTCGTCTCAGCCATTAATTCCTTCAAACCTTCAACCACTCCCCAACACCTAAGATCTGGATCATACGTTCTGAACTTTCTCTCAACAGAATCGTAATAGTACAACACGTCATCAACCACGCACGCATACTCCCACTTCTTTAAACTCAGCTTCGTGTCCTTTTTCCATTTACTCTCTTTTGGTTCGTAAACAAAACTACTATCAGAATTCCTCGTGTAAATCTTATCACCCATCACCACCACACGATTAGGCCGCATTGGACCTACCTCTTTCATGCCTTTCTCTATCATCTCTTGCTCCCACATTTGTGTTTCTGTATTGAACACCACCATGACCTTTTTCCTCTCGTTACTTCCAATCACATATATTTTCCCGTCAATGACGCCTGGGACTGCGATCACCGAGGATATAGGCATCCTCGGGAGGATTTGAACCGTGTGAAATGTACAGTCAATGCTTACATTAATATTCGAGTAATAGTTAAGCCCACCGAACACGTATATCTTGGAGCCCACGGCGACAAACTTTCCATTGCGCATGGTGGGAAGCCAAGGGATATGGACCAAGCTACGCCTGCCGTTGGGTTTACGGAAGAGAACAAACAAACGTTGTTCATCAGCCTTGAAGAGGACAACATAGAGACAGTGTTCGGTGCAGCTCAACGCCGATCGGCTCGCGTATAGCTCAGGCGATTCAACGAGTGACCGGAAGTGCTTAGAGACAAAAGAGAGTGTTAGATAGTCGCATCTCCGAACACGCGCTGTGATGTCAACTATGACGTCTTGGGGAAGCGACATAATCACAAACGATGATTCGGACGACTGTTCATCCTCTGCTTTAGTTTTAGAAGACATTTCAAAGAGAAAAGCACCAAACCCTAGTTTTAGGCTCTAATCAAAACAATCACCGAGAGAGAGAGCCCCAAACCCTAATTTCCTTGTCGATTAGGTTTGATAAAACCTGTCCTATACTCCTATCGAATACTTTTTTTTCTTTTGTATATATATATATATACTAGGTGGTTGGTCCGCGCCTGCGCGGGTAAGAGATGTTTCAGAATTCCAATTCTTTCAATTAATAGTAGATTAATGCATTTTATTTTTAATTATTTTTCATATTTTCCAAGGAAGTAATATCTTAACATTTTGTTAATTTGATATGAATTAACAAATTGTGAAAGTACAAAAAATTAGTTAAATTTTGTAATGATTATGTTTTTCTCCCTCTTATTTATTTTCACTCATCAAATCTTTTATTTTTTCTTCCATTTTTTATTCGTTATCTTGATTTTTTTTTTGCTTTTTCTTTTTCCAATTTTTGTTCTTCAATCATTTATTTTTGTTTTCATATCCTCTAATTTACTATTTTTCTTTTTCTTTCTAATTTTCTTTACATTTTTTGTCCGGTTTATCTTCTTCCTCATTCCCCTTCTCTCTATCTTTGTCATCTTCGTCTTCTCTAACATCATCTTATTCTATTTTTTATTTATCTTTTATTTATCTTCTTTCTCTTCACATTCATTTTTTATTCTTTGTTTTCTTTTTCCTCTTCTTTGTTTTCTTCTTCTTCTCGAAGATTCTCAGCTTCTTATCCACCGTCTTCTTTTATTCTACTCGTGTTTTGTTCTTTCTTCTCTACGTCTTATATTTCACTTATCAATTCATTCGATAGTTTAGATTTTCAATGATTCGTGAAATAGTTTTTATCTTTATATAGTTGAGAACTTTTAAAAATCTATTTAATTTGTGTTGTTATCTTTTGAGTATGGATTTGCGTTAATTGTTTTAGTTTTTTCTATTTGTGAGTGTATTTTAGAATGGTAGATATATATTTATAATCAGTGATTTTTAATTTTGATATACTTCTATTATAATTCAATTTTTTTTTAAATGCATCAGAAACTAAATCCTGCACTCATCAATATAAACCCTAAACCCACACCCCACATTATAAACCCCTCCCCCTAATTAAAGAACCTATACCCTAAACCCAAAGCCACATTATAAACCCCTCCCCCTAATTAAAGAACCTATACCCTAAACCCAAAGCCACATTATAACTCCCCCTGAACCGCACACTTGAATCTCACATTACAAATTAGTTATTTATTTTGCTTTTATTTTTATTTTATTTATAACTTTTTTTTTGTAATTGTTGTTTTCTTATCCCTTTTATTCCTCTCTAGTGATCCCATCTTCTTCATTTTTTTCTTCCATTTTTTTACTTGTTGTCATCATCTTTTTTTTTTTTCTGTTTCTTCTTCATCTTCCAGTTTTTGTTCTTCAATCGTTTTTTGTGTCTTCATATCCTCCAACTCATTATTATTCTTTTTCTTTCTAATTTTCTTTACATTCTATTTCCGATTTTTCTTCTTCCTCATTCCCCTTCTCTTTCTATCTTTATTATCTTCGCCTTCTCTGACATAAACTTCTTCCATCATCTTCTTCTCTCTTACTCATGTTTTTCGTTTTGGTCTACGTTTTGTATTTCACTTATCAGTTCATCTGATAGTCTAGATTTTGTTAATTCACAATTCAATTAATATTAGATTAATGCATTTTATTTTTAATTACTTTTCTTATTTTTGTAATGTGTTTATTTTTCAACGAAGTAATAGCTTAACATTTTGTTAATTTGATATGAACTTATAAATTGGTAATGCACAAAAAAATTAGTTAAATTTTGTAATTATTGTTTTCTTCTCCTTCTTATTCTTTTTTTAGTGATCTCATCTTTTCTTTTTTCTTCCATTTTTTTATTCTTTGTCAGCATCTTTTTTTTTACTTCTTCTTTTTCCAATTTTTGTTCTTCAATCCTTTCTTATGTCTTCATATCCTCCAACTTACTATTCTTCTTTTTCTTCATAATTTTCTTTACATTCTTTTTTCGGTTTATCTTCTTCGTCATTCCCCTTCTCTCTATCTTTGTCATATTCGTCTTCTCTAACATCATCTTATTCTAATTTTTATTTATCTCTTATTTATCTTCTTTCTCTTCACATTTCATTTTTTTCTTCTTTGTTTTCTTTTTCCTCTTCTTTGTTTTCTTCTTCTTCTCGAAGATTCTCATCTTCTTATCCGCCGTCTTCTTTTATTCTACTCGTGTTTTTATTCCTTCTTCTCTACGTCTTATATTTCACTTATTAATTTATTCGATAGTTTAGATTTTCAATGATTCGTGAAATAGTTTTTATCTTTATATACTCAAGATCTTTTAAAAATATATTTAATTTGTGCTTTATCTTTTGACTATGGATTTGCTTTAATTGTTTTAGTTTTTTTCTATTTGTGAGTGTATTTTAGAAAGGTAGATATAAATTTATAATCCGTAATTTTTAATTTTGATATACTTCTATTATAATTCAAAATTTTAAAAATGCATCAGAAACTAAACCTTACAGCATCAATATAAACCCTAAACTCTAAACCCAAACCCCACATTATGAAACTCTTCCCATAACAATTCAAGTTTTTAAAAATGCACATAAAATTAAACCCTACACCCTAAACACAAATCCCACAGTGTCACACCACCTCCTAAACAACCAAAACCCAGAGTGTAACACCACGCCCTATAAAAACGTTCATGTAACAAAATAACAATCCCCCCCCCCAAACAAACAACTCAAACCCCACAATGTAACAGCATCCACCCACCTAAACAACCCTACACCCTGAACCCAAACCCTACATCATAACCCCTCGTTCCCTCCAACTGCACATCGAACCCACATTTTACAAATTGGTTATAAATTTACTTTTATTTTTATTTTATTTTTAACAGATTTTTCTTTTTAATCGGTAATTTAGTGTATTCAAATTTTTTTAAATGCATCAAAAATTAAACCTTACGCCCATCAATACAAACTGTAGATCGTAAACTCCAAGCCCATTTTATCTTCTTATTTTAGTTTGTCTTTTACTTTTTCATATGTTTTTCTTCATTTTCTATCATTTTTTCTTTTTCTTATCAAATTTTCTATTCTCTTTTTATTTTCCTCTCTCTTTATAAAAATATATATTTTTGTTATATTTCTCTTTTGGCTCATAACTTTTGTTTAAACCATCAATATAATAATGATGTTTACTTTAAACCCTAAACTTTAATAAAGAGAGCAAACGTGCTCCCATGAAACGAAATTTTGAGTTCACAAATAATATATTAGATTTGGCCACATCTTAGCATCAGGAAATATCTTCTCACCAAATCATTACCTCTCGTCATCAGAAAAATGGGAGAGGAATATTCTGAGTTTCACGTTTTCTTCTTCATCCTAACTTTGAACTTGTGAGTGCCTTTCCGCACCAGTCCTCTTCCTAGTGTTTCTCTCTGCCATGGAATGTCTACAGAATGTCAAAAACAATTTACTTTCATATATAAAGGCATTTCAGAATAAACATTTAATTTTTCTGTGTATATAATTCAAAATTAATTTTGTAAGCATATGTATAAGAGAATCTTTCACCACCAACAACTTCAATAGCTTCAGTGACTTCCATGGCAGGGAAGAGCATACCAGCAATCAATTCTGAATTGATCATGAGCTAAATCTCTTTCTATGTTTTCATGAAACCATTCACGTCGGAAACAATATCAGAAGGATATAAGGTTACGGTTTACATACTTGGATACATCCATTGCGAAGAGCACCTGCTAAGAACTTGGTATTATAATAAACACAAAACTGTCAAACACAACCCAAGAAAAATTTCCACGCCAATATTATACAATTGAGAGATCCAACAATTATCAACCCTCAGGATTCAGGAAAGGCTTGAGTCCAGTAAACCCAATACGTGTTAGATTTTGTGTTTACAAAACAGAAGAAAAAAGAGAAGAGACAAAAACAGAATGTCTTATGAAGAAGACATGAAGAATGAAATATAACTTTTATTGATATGAAACTTGATGAGTTCCATGATTTTGTTTCAACGTGTTCAATAGTTTTTGTAACAAAAACACAAGAGTTGTGTCTTTTGCTTGTGTCTTAAACACAACCTCCACGGCTCCACTAACCGTCATAACTCTTGCAGACACCCTTTGATACACATACAAAACTAACTTGATTATATCATACGACCAAACTCCATTAAATCCAACACTCCCTCTTAATTGAGTTTCGGTCTTATCCCAAGTTTTTCCTTAAACTTGTAAACTCTTTTCTTCAAGAGCTAATTTCTTCTTCATAGTGCTTCACACATTTTGCGTGAGCTTCTTCTCAATCCCTTGTTCATGACATTGGAACTCTCGGCTTCTCTTCCCTGCAAGTCTTCTACATGACTCCTTCAAATCATTCGTACGTTTTCTTGACGTCTCACGTACGTCTCGCGTTCTCATGACATCTAATGCGTGAAATCGTCTTCACATACCCAATCCTCCTTTCTTTCTTCCTTTGATCACCATCACGTCTCTGTGATGTCTCGTGCGGGAATCCTCTTCACCACTTCTTCTCTGGTTATCTATGTAACCAATTTCTGCTCCATTTTTCAGAGAGGCAAGCATCCTCCTTTGGTGTCTTCCTTTGATCACCATCAACGTCTCGTACATGGATCCTCTCTCCACGTAGTCTTCGGTTAACGCTTCAACCGACTTGTGCTCCGTTTTTCTCAGAGGTAAGCATCCTCTTTTTGCTCCATTTTTCTCTGAGGTAAGCATCCTCTTTGTTGCTTCAACGTCTCATTGACGTTCATCTTCACGTCTACGGTTAACTCTGTAACCGCCTCATTATGTGGATCTTCTTCTCCACATCTTCTCCGGCTATCTGTGTAAACCGTTCTCATGCGTGAATTCTTTTCGGTTATTGTGTAACCGCTTCAATGCGCCTTGCTCTGTTTCTCTCAAACAGGCGGCTTCTCCATCAAGTTTCAGAATTCTTCCACAACTCCAACTTTTACATCGGTTTTTCTCTATAGCCTTTTGAAAAGATCTCCTATCTCCTTCATCGCTTTTGGAGCCTCCCTCGTTAAGGTACGGCATGTGAGCGTGTTTGTGAATGTCGATGGTACTCTCTCTTGGCATCACCTTTTCCTTTTCTATTTCTTCTTCTTCTGGTCGGTTTAGTCTCCATCTTTCTCTTCTCGCAGCGGATTTTTGTCTTCTTCCTTTTTTTTGGTGCTTATACAGGTTCCCATGACCACCATGAAAGCTCTGATACCATGTTAGATTTTGTGTTTACAAAACAGAATAAGAAGAGAAGAGACAAAAAAACAGAGTGTCTTATGAAGAAGACATGAAGTAGAACGAAATATAACTTTATTGATGTGAAACTTGATGAGTTACATATTGTGTTTCAACGTGTTAAATATTTTTTGTGACAAAAACACAAGAGTTGTGTCTTTTGCTTGTGTCTTAAACACAAGCTCCACTAACCGTCACAACTCTTGCAGACACCCTTTGATATACATATACTTTAGGTTTTTTTTATTTTTCTATTTTAATGATATGAAATATTTCCTTTCCTTATTTTAAGATTATTATCGTAAAATATTTTAACTAATAGTATAAATTGTGACATTAAAAAAAAAACAGGAAATTATGAAAGTATAAAAATAAAATTTTCATTAAAGGTATGTGGGTAATCAACCAGCTGAGAGTTAACGTGATGCCTCTAAACGAAATTTTTACTTCGCAAATAATATATTAGATTTTTTTTTGAAGTTATTAATTTTACAAAACTCACACATAGGATTATCATATTACCAAATTATCAAAACAAAAAAAATTTGAGTAAAATCGGGTAAATAAATTTATTAAGTGTGCATAAAGAAAACGTAAATAGTTGTAACACGACTCGTGACTTGACTTTGAATCAATCACCAAGACTTATCAGCGCCTTCATCGAATCTGCCAGACCCAACAACACGAAAATCAAGCTGCTTCTGATGCTTTGTTCTTCGCCTTTCATCAAAATCATCCCATCCTTCAAACTGCCACACACAACAAATCCAAAAACACTCTTGCTTTTAGTTCAAATAAACTCAAACATGAGACTCAAGAAAAAAAATGGACTAAGAACAAATATAACCTGACGGAGAAATTCAACCGTTATCTCAGTGTTGTGGAGTCCTAATGTTGACAGCTGCAAACACATCTTGAATAAACCCAATGGCAGAGTCTTCAATCCTGTGTTGTTCACCTCCAGCGTCTGCAACACCAAAACATTGTCAAGTCCTTGTCAGGGACCAGAAGAGAAAATAATGTTGCTTTTTAATTTACCTTTAGATTACGCAGTTTGGTGAATGTCTCTGGAAGTTCTGATACAATATTTGCTGAGAGATCAACCTGCAACATCTCCCCAATTGTCATTTACCACATAACAAGAGTCTAATGTCTTGACAAAGATCTCTTTTTGTCTTACCTCCATGAGGAAAGAACAGTTTCCGATACTCTCAGGAACGCTACTGATTCTGTTGCAGAAAGATGTTAAAACCAAAAATGCAAAATACAGTAACTTTTTTTTTGGTCTTAAAAAAGATATGTTTATTATTGCCTGTTATTGTTGGCTTTCAATATCTCAAGCTGCGTTAGAAGTCCTATCTCATTCGGTAGACTTGTCAACTTGTTGTTGGCAACATCAAGTTGCTTAAGAGACGTCAGTGAACCCACTTCTGAGGGCAGAACAGTTAGACTACAAAAACCAAAACCATAAAAACACTATCTTGCAATCTACCAAGAAGTATGGTTCTGAGCGTGAAAGCGAAACAAAAAACTCACTTGTTATGGCTAATGGAGAGAAGCATGAGACGCTTGAGAGAAGCGATCCCTTCCCATTGAATGGATTCATCAGACAGAGCATTTCCTTGAAGAAACAGTTTCTACAAATATGCACTCAATATCAATTAACCAGATAAAAAAGCTGACTTGAAATCTACATGAATCCATGTAATTATTATTCTCACATGAATAGAATCAAAAGAGCTGATTCGAGCAGGTACTTCTGAAATGAAGTTTTCGCTGACGTCAAGTACTCTGGCTCTGGATCCACACTCCCACACTTCTTCAGGTATTTCCTTTTCCGCAACAAAGACAAAGTAACAATTTTTAGGCTACTAAAGTATTAATGGACTTGTCCTGTCTCCAATGCCAAATGAAAGATACATCCAAAACCAATACTTTCTCTATATTGTACCTTCAAATTGGCTTGAGCTAAAGCAATGACTCCTGTGGCTTTCCATCGATCAGTGCGGTTCTTGTCTACGAGGAGACCAGGTTTTGTGTGCTCTGCTTTATCAGATACAACAGCTCTAGAGATTGGCCTTGTACTTGCTTCCTTAAGCACTGGACCTTCCTGTTCAATTTTGAATACTACAACAGTTTTAGACTGATCCTACTTAAAGAGCAAGAAATCCAAATTCCTAAATAAATCTTTCTCCTGAATAGCAATCAAAGATGATGATTGAAGAAGAACACTGACCCCTTGATGCAGACCTTGAGAAGCCATTAACATGATTTTCGCTCCATCTCCCAGCTTAGATTGATTCAAAGTCGACGTGTCTTCCAAAACCTTGCCTTTTTTTTTTCAGGAAACAGAAAAATCGGATTTTGAATAAGACCCATTTCACTGATTTAGCTCGATTAGAGAGGGTAATGTTCGAATTTTAATTAAGAGACCTTTGAAGATGAGTTTCTGGCCGCGAGGAAGAACGTTGGTGATTGGTTGGAGAAGAGACTTGAGGTCTTTGACGGTAACATCTGGTGATACCGAAAGTGGTATTGAATTGCCTCCGAATTTGACTGTTAGCTTAATTGTGGATCCTGCCATTGTCGGAGCTTCGACCTCCATTTCAATTTTCCTCTCTTCTGATTCTTCCTTCGACTTTGCTTCACATTCAGATTCAATTAATTCCAGAATCACGAAGCACAGAAGTTCTGAAGTCATTTTAGACTTCTTTTGGGCCCACAATATACATCTAATAGTACAATGGCCCATTTAAATTATAGACCTTAGGATAACAAAATTAGTAGTTTGAATATAATTAGTAGGATATTCAATTTTGACAGAACTATTCGCAAGAAATCAACTTGTAAGTGTTTTTCGGGGAAACTTTATATTCCAACTAATGGCTCTCATGGTCTCCATCAAGGGAACCTCTATCTTCATGGAACAGGTGGTGGAACCGAGCCCATCGCGCCTCTGTCTTCTCAGGTCCGGGGGTCGGCACCCAGATTAAGAGTAATCCGCCTCATTATTTCCTTTAGATTGCGAGCCACTTGCTGCCTCCTTGTCACCACTCAGCTTTGCCTTCTTCTTGCTTGGTTCCGACTGCAATCCTTCCAAAACATCAAAATCCATAAAGCTTCCATATTCTTCGAATGCAACTTCCTCGTCCATTGGATTCACTCTATGTATAGTGATAAATTCAGTAGTCTCCTCAGCAGTGGGAGTGTTCTACTCACCTCGAGTAATTGATGTGTTCATACTTTGCATGTTTTTAGCACTCGATTGCATATGTTTTTGCATTCATAACCATCCATTTGCATTGTTTTTCAGTCATCTTCACTCATATTTCGCATTTAGTGTATTTAGGACTAGCATTGTTGCATCTTGTACATTTGTGTCAGTTTTAGGTGTCTTCTGGAGCGATAGAGTGGAGAGATGGAGTGGAGGAGATCGAGTGCTGTGATCGAGCTAGACGAGGTCACAGTAGAGAGATGTGACCTGAGAGATGGAGTCAGAGTCAAGTGAGGAGGCCCACATCCTGACGGAGTCGATCCAGCTCATTAAGTAAACCAACCCAGTGCTTGTTTAAGCCAACTTTTCCCTTTTTTATTTTATTTTTGGATTTTTCTAAACCACTAGGTTTTTTATTTTTGGATTTTTCACATCTCTGCATCAACTCAAACGGAGTCATAGCAATGTCGGAGGAATCGTTACTCCCATCTTTTTCTAGGTCTTCCATTCCAACATAGTCCTCCAGTTGCTCAGGCTGGTTATCCTCCTCATTGTTTGGCATCGGCTGCTGGTTGTAGAGTTGTCGGATTACTGGATCATGAACATGAATGTGTGCTTCCTTTTCATTGTCTCCCTCCTTTATTGTCTGTTGACCGCTCAATAATCGTCTCATAATTAATTTGAATTAAATTAAGTTAGATAACTTTTCGCATCAACGCAGAGTTTATTTTAACACTTTTAAAATAATTTACGAAAGTGAGAATTAGGATTTTGGTGGATTCAAACCCTTAAACTCTTGCTCATATAGTAAATAGTAAAAGTGTCAATCCAAATCATAGGGAGATTGGGTCTTCAAAGAATACAAGAGAAACCTTGAGTCAAGAACAAAGATTTGGTTTTTAATAAATCTAAGCTTAAAACATTAAAATTAACGAACTTTGAATAGTAAATAACGGTCTAAATCCAAATCCAAAGATAAAAATTTTGACTTTGAGCTAAAAGATTAGAACTTGATAAAGAAAATGAAGAAAGGCGACTCCTTTAGGCAAATGCGATTGATTGACTAGGAACCAAGCTTCTAGGCCGAGGAAAACTAAAGGAGAGCTTATCAATGTCGTGACAGAAGCTCAAATGCGAGGTCTAAACCCAGGAACTAGCCATCGCTTGTGAGTCGAGACACAAGCAAGATTTAAACTTGAACCCTCTTTACCAAAAGACCTCCTAAGACAGTTGCTATCGCAAGCTAGGAGATAGATCCCTAGACTTAGATTATCGAGCTCTCTTACACACTTTTGCTGTGTAGAGCGCTTGAAATCTGAGGCAAATCAATCAAGAATGACTCAGCCTTAAGACCACTAAGCTAGGAGAAGCTCTTCAAGGTTCCAACTTTTAATAAGACTACTCCTTTAAATCTCAAAATCCGCATAGTCTAAGGGAATCTAAGAGACTACTCTCTGGACATGTTTAACAAACCAATTTCCATAAAGGAAAGGTTGTTAAACAACCAAGCAAAGATTAAAGAACAAATCTAAACAAGTACGTGATTTGATTAAAGAAAGGGGAAAAGAAATCTTACAAAGTTTAGATCTTAAAACTAGAGTAATCTCTTTGATGGAAAACTGAAAGACAAATTACAAGGTGCCTAAAATTTTAGGAATTAAAAGATTATATAGTGGAAACTCTAAAACCCTTCTCCTTTTCACCCAAGATTTTAGGCTCCAAAACTCGGCGTACTGCTTATGCTTGGTCCAACTTGGCAAGGGTCAACTCTCTTCTTGGTCAAGGCAAGCTTAGAAGGCGAGAATCGGGTTTCCAGAACCCGATTGACATCCTGGTCGAGAACTCCTTTGACGTCTTCAGCACTCCACACTTCCAATCGGCTCCAAAGCTCCCAAAAGTACTTGATTTAGACTCCAAAATGCAATGTATATGCAATGCAGGTTCAAAGAGGATGCAATTGTGTAATGGGAGATATGAAGACCTAAATGCATGCAAATGAAGCTAAAACAATGTGATTATGTATGTAAATGCATGCTTAAATGTTATATCAGAAAGAATATTATAGAACTAGTTAAACAATTTGATGATGGCTATAAGGTTATATTTATGTTTGATGTCCAAATAACAAACTGTATTTACGTTTGATATTAGGTGTTATTGTGCTAAGATGATATAAGATTACCGTTTAGAGAACTGTTCATTTATAAATTTATGTCTATCCATGAAAAGTAAGGACATGTTGAATATATATATTTAAAAAAAATTATAATTTATGTTAAATGGTTTATTTTGAGAAATTTGCTAATTTTCACACATTTATCATCAACACACTCATATGTAAAGTTCAGTTCATTACAAATGTTAATAATTTAATTTTTTTTTTTTTTTGGAACGATATTGATTATATAATTTTTATTTTCATTAATAGTGATTAGTTACATTTAGTGATAGCATATACATAAACTATTTAGGCATTGTCTTGGTTTTTTATTTTTTCTGAAACAATGATATGCGCATTCATTGCAAAATGCAAGTATTTGGCCAGTGGCCGAGGATTTAAAATCTTTGTCTAGTGGAAGAATATCATTTCTCTGAATATTAGTCGGAGAACTCGCTTCTGGGTTAGAAATTTGTGCTTTCTCATTGAAACTATATTTTGCCATAATATTGGATGCACCTATAAAATGTTCAAAAAACAATTACAATCGTTAAATTAATATTTCTATAAAGAATATAAAATTTTCTAAATACTATCACAAAAATAAAAAATAATAATTATAAGAAAAAAAAACTCACATAACAAAAGCAGAACTGAAAATGTTAAAAACAAAATACTTCTTTTCATTTTTCTTTGAAACTTGCAATGATATTAACGAGAAGTACTTGCAATAGTATTAGACTTATTAAATGTTCAAACTTTTTGTTGTGATATTTAAAAGAGTTAGATAATGTCATATTTATATGTATTTTTACTTACGTTACATAATAATTAATGACTTAATCAATGTTTTTATATGAATAACGTTATAGAAATTATATTGTTTAGGTTACACTTTTGTTTTAAACTATTTATAAATGTGTAACTACCGTTTTCAGTAATTAACTTGTTGTTGTAAATAAGAGATACAACTCGAACAATTCTTTTTGATTTATTTCGAATATGAATATATTAGATAGCTGAAAGAATATCACTTCATAAAAGGTTAGTTGATTTATTAGCTGCAATTAAAGGAAAACACATGCTCTCATGTATCATCTTAAAAATAAAGAGTCTCTAGTATTTGTGTATGTTAGGTAATTGAATTATGAATAAATTCTATTTTGACAGTTTTTTAGAACCAGTGGACACTCGTGAGAGATTGAGGTTAGTGGGGTAATTAAGGGTAATGAGATTAACATCACAGATTTATTAATGTTTTATCTTTTACACAGAATTTCACTGCAGAATGGTTTTGTATTATTTTTTTGCTCTTGTCTTATTTTTTTCTAATTTTGTGGGATGCTTGTTTTTAGAAGCAATGGTGTTCAATCTGGATATCGATTTGGTTTCGGCTCAGTGTTTTTGGTTTTCGGATTTTCGTTTTGTAAAAAATAGTTATCATATTATAACCATACTTATTTCGGTTTGATTCAGTTTGGATAGTCTCGGTTTTTTGGATGGCTTGATTCAAATACTTTCGGTTAGATATTATCAGTTTTCGGTTTAAAACAAGAACTAAAAGCTTTGTTTGTTTTTATTTTATACTAGATTAAACCCCGCGTATACGCGGATTGATTTTAAGATGTTATAATAAAATAACGGAAAATTATTAAACATATTTGATCATTTTTAAAAATAAGCAGAATAATATTAAAGACCTGATAACAAATGTTTAAATAAAAATAAGATAAGAAATCTATTTACACTTTTATCGTAAGTGATATCGTTTTTTTTGTTTTTATCCAATATAGAAAGACTTACACATCAACTGATTAATTCAATAAATTTTTATTATTCCATTCAAAAGATTTCAACTGATGAAATGTTTATATAATATTTTTACCTAACAAAAAATTGAAAATTAAACTATTTAAAATTAGAATATCGGTTCATTATAAATTTTTTATATTACTTAGTTGCTTGATAATTATTTTGTTTATTTTCTATTTATATTTTTTTTTCAATTTTGTTTTAGCCTCAGTCCATTATAAATTTTCATTATTAGTTATTTTTTATAATTTTTTCATTATAATTTTTTATGTTAGTTAGTCACTTAGTTGCTTGATAATTCTTTTGTTTATTTTCTATTTATATTGTTTTCTTTTCAATTTTTTTTTGTCTCAATCCATTATCAATTTTCATTTTTATTATTAGTTATCTTTTTATAATTATTTTTACTAGTTTTATTTCTATTATTACATTTTTCCAATTTACTTGTTAACAACACATGTTTTCACTGGATCAAATATTAGATACATGTAACGACAATAATTTTGATTTCGATCCAACTAATATAGAGTTAAATATTCTTTATTGATATCTTGAAATTTTAAATACATGATTTTTATTTCTTAATTAAAGAGAATATTATATAAAAGATAGAAGCACACAATTAAATCATGAACGTTATAGCTTATTATAATATATTGGTTTCTTTCCTTTCGTAAGGAAAATATGTTTTTTTCCTTTTTTAATAGTTGTAAGAAAAAAAAATTAATTATCTGTTTATGTTGGACCCGAATTTCACCTTTGAAATCCAGCCCATAGTGGCCCAATACCTTAGTCCAAGAACCATGGCGAGTCCATCCAGGCCCAGAAAGAAACCCTCAAGCCCACCAAATATCTCTGTCCAAGCCCAGCTAAAACCATATGAGATATCTATAATGACGAGCTCGAGCTCCAGCTCGACGGAAGATCAGATCATCACGAGAAGTTGAACGAGTCAAATAGGAATCTCGCTCGGTTCGATCAGGTCCGAAAATAATGGGATTTTGAGCTGTACGTGGACAAGATACGCAGCATGTGGATACGAGATACGCGGAGGAGGTTGAGCTCGACTTCTGGAGCTATAAAAGGAGGACGTCGTCAATTCACATGGACAACTTTTTATCATCTTCTTCTCTGGAAAACAGTACAGAGACAGACGACTATTATCTCACATTTCACCCGAATTAGACCTAGAAACTACTTTGTTCTTTCTGATTCATCTTGTATTGTTCTTCTGAAATCAGTTCTATCTCTCTTCTGAGATTCCTTGTAACCATTTTCATTCGATTAATACATATCCATTTAGTCAAATCCTTGCTTACGATTCATTCGACTTACATCAAAATCTAGCCCTAAATCTCCTTAAGTTTCTTCCTTGCAAAACCTATAAATTTCGAGTGTGGTTTTCAGCACCCACGGTTTACTGTTTTTTTTTAATGGATCATCCATTATGTATGTAACATTTTTTCATTTTAATTGTTTGTTTTCTGTTTTTCTGATTTTTCGTTGGTCTTCATATTAGTTTTTTTTTATTCCATGACACAATCACTATCTTTGAGTTATAAAACATGTTGCAATTATGTGAGTTATAAAAATCCTACGCATCATTGTCGCGAATTTTCAAAGACATGAGTTTTAAATAAGAAAAAGCAAATCAAATAAATTTGCTTTGATGAGTTCGTGAGTAAGAAAAAATAGACTACTTTAACTCTCTTTTTATAGGTGTTCATGTAACCTATTTCATGCAGTTATAGAAAATTTAGTTTACATAACATAATCCATTTACTAATATAATTTTATTTATTACATTATGTGTTTGGATAATACAAACTTGATGAATGAAAAACCCTTTTCTATTAGGTGATAACAAATATTAATTTTTTCTTGTAACTATTATATATTAAAAAAAAAATTTAATTTTTCTTTATCTAACATTTTTTTTAAAAAAAAATTATGTTTTTTTGTCCTTTATGTCAGAGTCTTAATAGACCTAACATTAAAAGTGACACATGTGGTGATCCTGCAAATTATAAAAATCTTACATGTTGTTGCGTAAATTCAACTTTATATAATAAGATTCATAGTTCATTATATAGGTTTTTCAATTTTTTTCCGTTAAAGTATTGATTATCGTTTTTCTATTTTCTTTCTTTTGACTTTCCCCTTTACACAATCTGACAGAAGATTTTCAGAGACAATTTCATTTAGTATAATATATGATTATCTATGTATATACTGATAGAAACAGATATACAGCATTACGGTAACATGCATACAGATTTTATATACCCAAAAATAGAAAGCTCAAAACACCTTTAGCTGAGCTAGAGTCTTTAAACTCCTGTCTCAAGCTCCTTCTTTATCATCATCATTTCCCTCATTCATATCATCTTCACTATCCACAACTTATATTTATCCATGTACATATACACAAGACAAGGTCCAACCAAACCAGCATCAAACATCTTCTTGCACAGACCCAAATAAGCTTCCACATCTCTCGGCCGTTGGATCCTCCTCGTCATCCCCTGCATCACAGCCACTCGATCAATATACTCCGGATACAAACCAGAGTCGATCATCGTCACCAATGTCTCTGCTTCAAAGTGCCCTCCTTTCACATACCCTCTAAGCAACCATGGCAAACTCTTCTTCTTCCTCTTGTCCTCCATGAACTGCATATCTTATTCATAACCGCCGAGTACGTAAGATCTTGAATGTTATAGCGCAAGTGAGATTCTTTGAAACCCATTTCAGTTCCTCTTCGGCATAATGACCTCCTTGGTCGAAAAATATGTTTGTGATGATCATGCTCATTGTTACCGTGCAAATATAATGAAAATAATCAATTCCCAATTACAAAACATCTCACAGTTGTACTACGTGTACCAGTTGAACTTTTACTACCATTACTTTTTAAAATGTAGTTGTACCTATATGAACCAGTTGAACCTCTTAATCAACTAAATCCCATTTGTACCACTCGTATCAGTTGTACCATCTCTGCAGGTTTCGATCTAGTTCAAATACAGTTCACTCGCTGCGATTCACAAGCTGCATTACTCAAAAAGCTTAATCTAACACCTATTCTATCAATGCATGCACACCCAATCAACCAATTTACAAATCCATACACCAAACAAAAGAATAAAAGCTAGAAAACTCACCTCTACTGGATTCGATACTTCAGCAATGGTGAAACAAAGGCAAACGGAACATTGGCTGTCTACGGAGGAGAAAGAGGAGTCGGAATGGGTGTAGATGAGTTCAGGTCGAAGTAGATTTCGATTTTAATAGCTGTGAACTCGAGCTCACTGAGAAGAGGAGGATTCTGACCAAAATCGCAATTTTGTGATTTCCAAAATCTTGGGTCAGTTGCATTTAATTGTTTTATTATTTTTGTAATTGTTTTTTATTTTCATTTAATTTAATTTAACTTTTTAGTTAAATGAGAAATGTGAAAGTAAAGAATGGAAAAAGTAAAAGGTTAAAAAGAGAGAAGAAAGGAGAAGAACATAATTGCAATAATTGCACATAGAGTTATGGCATTAGATTATCTTTCGGCACAAGAGATTAAGTTTCTACTGAAAAAGCCAACATTTTTTTTTTGTGTGGCAATCAATCCCCAGAATCTCGGAGAATCAAACACAGTAAAGCAAAAATGAGCCGAGCATTGTTCAGACACGTCGCCACCGATGCCGCCAGGCTTATCCGGCGTAACGCGGCGGCGGAAGAACCGTTTGGGAAGACCGGTGTTGCTCATTCCGATGTAAGGCGTTTGCAATCGAAGTCTTATTTCCGGTCGCATCAGCTTCTCGGGAGAGCAAAAGAAACAAAACTCTCACCTCCTCCTCGTCCTTCTTCTTCTTCGGGGTTCTGTTCATCGTCTTCTTCCTCACCTGCGTCGGAGGGTTTCGTCGGATGGTATCTTGGTATGGTGAAATCACGCCCACTTCTCACAAAAGGTGTTACTTCCTCGCTTATTTACATTGCCGCCGATCTGTCTTCTCAGGTACTTACCTTTGAAACTTGGTTCAAATTTTTGGTTTATTTGTTTTTGATTTTATCAAAAAGATTAAAAAAAAAATGGGTTTCTTTTTCCAAATTATGTGATTCACAAGAAAAAAATTAGCTAAAATTTGTGGGAGATTTGTCTCCACGGATGTTTAGGAATAAAGTTTGAATTTTTATTGGAGTAATGTGTCTGAAAGTCTCTGCAACTTTAGCTATTTGATGTGAATTGAGCCATTTCCGACTGTTACATTACCTTGCACTTGCAGTGTGTATGGTTTGTTTTGAGTCACTTTGTCTTTGATCTTTTAAAACAGACGATTGCCAAAAATTCTTCCGAGTCTTATGATTTGGTGAGAACAGCAAGAATGGCAGGATATGGTCTAATTGTGTTAGGTCCAACACTTCACTATTGGTTCAATTTCATGTCAAGGCTCTTACCAAAACAAGATTTGATCACAACGTTTAAGAAAATGGCCATGGGACAGATAATCTACGGACCTATCATGATGGTGATTTTCTTCTCATTGAATGCATTCCTTCAAGGTAAGCTTCTCGTATATACATGTGAAACCAGGCTTGTGCTAGCAAAGGAAGAATCTTTGTCATTTTAGTATTGTAACTTTGTGCTTTTAGTTTACTGAGAGTCACATGGAGTCTCAGGTTTTGTTTTGATTTTAACACTAAACCATGTTCTAAAGCTATTCTACTTTTCGTTTGTTTTATTCAGGTGAAGGCATGTCGGATATAGTTGCAAGACTGAAACGGGACTTTCTTCCTGCGATGCTAAACTGTGTCATGTATTGGCCTGTCTGTGATTTCATAACATTCAAGTTCTTTCCCGTTCATTTACAGGTAAACACTTCTTCTCCTTAATGCTTTTTTTTTTTTTAATCTGGTCTTGCTGCTCAATCTCTTCTTGTTTTCTTTGAAAATTTTCCCTGCAGCCTCTTGTAAGCAACTCGTTTTCGTATCTGTGGACAATCTACATGACTTACATGGGAAACCGTAAGAAACCAGACGCCATTTCGAGCTGAAAGTTTCCGGGCATTGGGTGAGAAGTAAAGAAACAGAGTTTAAAAACTAAATGTGTGTTAATGATCAACAATGATATTCGGATTTAGAAAGTTTTACTAATGATTTTTTTTACCTGAATGATTAGACTTTCAAGATTTGGAGACTGGTCAAGCAGAAATTGCAACAGCTTCCAACAGATATACAATATACGCATCATTATTATTAGAACATGCATACAGATTTTATATACCCAAAAAATACAAGAGCTAAAAACCCTCCAGCTGAGCAAGAGTCTTTAAACTTCTGTCTCAAGCTTTTTCTTCATCATCATCATTTCCTTCATTCACATCATCTTCACTATCCACAACTTATATTTATCCATGTACATATACACAAGACAAGGTCCAACCAAACCAGCATCAAACATCTTCTTGCACAGACCCATATAAGTTTCCACATCTCTCGGCCGTTGGATCCTCCTCGTCATCCCTTGCATCACAGCCACTCGATCAATATACTCCGGATACAAACCAGAGTCGATCATCGTCGTCAATGTCTCTGCAGCCTCTTCAAAGTGCCCTCCTTTCAAATACCCTCTAAGCAACCATGACAAACTCTTCTTCTTCCTCTTGTCTTCCATAAACTCCACCCGCGTCAGAAACCTCGAAACCGCGCTCACCTCTCTCTGCGAAGCGCAGATCGCCATCACAATGTCGTGGAGGTCAGCTTCTGGCTCTCTCCCTGCAAGTTTCATCTTCCAGAGCTGTTTCTCCGCTTCGGTTCCACGTCCTGCGCATATATACATAGCGAGAAGCCTCTCGTGGACCGCCCCAACAATGGAACCGTTTTGCTGACCTTCCTCAACCGCCCAAGAAGCTAACTCTACTCCACGGGATATAAGCTCTGACTGGTACTTCTCAATGAGCAACCTATCGTGATCATCGACCTCAGCAACAAAACCAGCCCGAATAAAGCGTTTTAGCTCGCGTAACGTCTTCCCAAGACAGTTCAGCTCTTTCACAATCGCTGTCATCGCAATTAGATAGCTGTAAGCTTCTGGCTTTAGCCCTGAAACTCTCAGCTCCACAACCAAATCAACCGCCTTCTTATAGTCTCCATCAACCTAACACAATACATGGCCACATCAACTGACTTTGACAATCGATTATTAATCAAGAAAGATGCCAACTTTATAAAGATCAATCAATAAAGATGTAAACTTTATGAAGATATACCATCAATTTCCAAGCAAGATAACCAGTTGGTCCACCTTTTCTACTCTCAGAGCCAACAACACTGTAACCAGAAGCGTCTCTCCTCTTCAAAGCCTCCTTCACGAACAAAACCGCCTTCTCCTTCTTCTCCATCTCGCAATACAAAGCAATCACTTTCTCCATCATGCTAAAACCAGGTCTCAGCCCAACGAAATCCATCTCAATCAATAGGTCGAACACTTGGGCTGCATCACACTCTTCTTCAATCAGTTTCTTAACCCAGCCACACATTATCGAAACCATCAGCTCCATGATCTCTTCATCGACTCGATTCTCCTTCTTCAACCACTCAAACACCTCGAGCGTGCACCACGAGTCTCTACCTTCTTGCGCGAAGTAGACGAGCATCAGCTGCAACTCTCGAGAAGATAACCGGTGATTCATTTCTTCGAGAATGTCCGATGGTTCTCTAGCCATCCTCTCTAACTCCTCAATCGCCTCGAAAAACCCTTCGCCTAATTCATCGTCGGCGGCTTCGTTGTCGTCTTGTTCCTCGCTTGTGACGAATTGGTCTAGCTCCACGGAGCGGGATAGTCCGAGCTCCCGGAATTTCCCGGCGGCGTGGTTGAATTTCAGATTGCAGCTGATTCGGGAAACGTGTTTCGCGGCGTAGCTCCGGTGAAGTTTGGGACGGAATAAACGGAGTCGTCGGAGAGATATCGCCGGCGAAAAAGTCAACGAAGCGAAGGCACGAGCATATGCCATAGCTTAAGTAATCTAATTCCCAAAACAGAAAATCGAAGAACAGAAAAAGAAAAAAAGGTTCAAAATTTTCCCGAGAAAGCTTGAAATTCAAATACTTTAAAACTCATAACTCAACGATTTTGAAGATTTTCGAGTGAAAGATACCATGAGAGTAAAAACTACGATAATCCATCAACAGAAACGATTATCAAAACCTTCTTAAGTCTTTACCAGAAAGACAATGAGAGGATAGCAGAAAATAAAATAAAAGATAAACTAATTTTATTTCTTCTTTTTATTTTGGTCGTAGGATTTATTAATTAAAAAACAAAGGGTTGAGATTAAGTGGTTTCTTTTAATCGAACGCTTACTTGTCATGGCGTGCGTCGTCAACGTCTTGTGTTCATCGTGCCGCATCAGAGCTAGTAAAAGAATAAGATGCTACGTTTTAAATTATTTTTCTACCCTTGAATATAATTAGTTAGAACTAGGTTTGAAGCCCCGCGCAAGCGCGGGGTTGTTTACGATAGTTTTTCTGTTTAATTTTATTTATACTCGTTGATTTGAATTATGATGGTTTTGTGTTAACTTTCATGTTTTTGTTATGTTTTGAGTTAACTCAACCACTAACACTAAAAAATATGAATAATTTGTTTTTATTTTAATTTATTAGGATATTAACACTCTGCTTTATCTCGAGTTTTCTATTTCTAAAATTTTATCATGTTATAAATATTATGTTTACTTCTATTAGACGGTAAACATGTATATGTATTTGATTGAAGGTTAAAATTTATAAATATGTATATGCATTTGACTGAAGGTTAAAATTTGTAAACATATTCTTGTTTTTCACTACAATTAAATTTACATATAAAACTCTATTTCTATTTGTTTAGAAAAACAAACTCTAACTCTAATGTTTCATTAGCTTTCTATTGTCTTAATTAATTTATATTCAACTTTTTAACTTGTAAACACATTCTAACATTTTTAAGTAGGATAAATCCTTTGAATAATAAAGTAAATATATACTATTTGAAGTTGAATATTTCTTTACTCCATCTCTATTTTATATTCCAACTTTTTGATAACTTTTAACATCAAATTATCACATACTTTCTATTAATTAATCAATTTATTTGTATATTTTTATTAAATATGAATAAATGTAAAGAAATATGAATAGTCATATATTTATTAAATATTTTAAATTTTTGTGCTGATGTGGACACTCTCAAATGGAGAGAGCAACTCCTTAATTTTTATCATTTTGTAAATATTAAAAAGTTTACATTACTACAAAAAAAATGTTTATTTCATTTTGCCACATTATCCAACGGGCTCCTGTTAGTTGACTCATCTCAGTTGGCCACGTTGTTTTTGTTTTTTTACGTTATCACTCTACCGATGATTTATTTTAAAACACTTAATTTACCGATGATTATTATTATTTTTATTACTTGTTTTCAACGTGCAAAGAATATTAGTTTATTTCGACGTGAAATTACCAGACGGCAATTTAGTAATTTACGTGCGAATTAGCTCCTTCATTTTTACGCAAACCCTTTTCTCCGTAGTTTCTTTTCTCACCTCTTGGTTTACTTTCTTCCAAGTCTAGTTTTTTTTCTTAGTAGTATTATCTTTTTAGGCTTTAAACATTCTCAAAATTATAACTTCGGAATCTGATTATATATCTATTAGTTTAGTGGGTCGACGTTGACATTTGTTGCACGTTCTTGCACGTCTCACGATAGTAACAATCGCAGACATGCTTCCACGATAATCGACATGCAAGCAAAACAGAAAGGAAAAGATATGGCAAAACCATAGGCTATATAAAGACACGAACAAGTAATGTAGAATCAAAACAAAACAAAAAAGCAAAAACAACAAAGTGAAGCGTTGGAGAAGCAATCAAAATAAGAATGACATCTTCTCCTAGGATGGGGCGTTCAACCCATCTTGTTTATGCCTTTGGTTTTATTATCATGGCAACAATGGTTGCTGCTTCTTATGAACCCTACACATATAGCTCTCCACCACCACCGGTGTATTCTTCTGCACCAAATGTTGAATACAAGTCTTCACCACCTCCATATGTATACAGCTCTCCACCACCACCGGTGTATTCTCCAACCCCAAAGGTTGAATATAAGTCTCCACCTCCTCCATATGTTTACAGCTCTCCACCACCACTGGTGTATTCTCCAACCCCAAAAGTTGAATACAAGTCTCCACCTCCTCCATACGTCTATAGTTCTCCACCACCACCCGTGTATTCTCTAGCCCCAAAGGTTGAATACAAGTCTCCACCACCTCCATACGTCTACAGCTCTCCACCACCACCATTGTCTTCTCCAGCCCCAACAGTTGAATATAAATCTCCACCACCTCTATACGTCTATAACTCTCTTCCACCACCGGTGTATTCTCCAGCTCCAAAGGTTGAATACAAATCTCCACCTCCACCATATGTATACAGCTCTCCACCACCACCAGCATATTCTCCATCCCCAAGGGTTGAATACAAGTCTCCACCACCTCCTTACGTATACAGTTCCCCACCACCTCTAGTGTATTCTCCTGCACCAAAGGTTGAATACAAATCTCCACCACCTCCATACGTCTACAGCTCTCCACCACCTCCATACTACTCTCCTTCACCCAAAGTTGAATACAAATCTCCACCACCTCCATACGTCTACAGCTCCCCACCACCTCCATACTACTCTCCTTCTCCCAAGGTTGACTACAAATCTCCACCACCTCCATACGTCTACAGCTCTCCACCACCACTATACTACTCGCCTTCCCCTAAACCCGCATACAAATCTCCACCACCACCATACGTCTATAGTTCCCCACCACCACCATACTACTCTCCTTCCCCTAAGGTTGAATACAAGTCTCCTCCACCATCATATGTCTACAACTCTCCACCACCACCACACTACTCTCCTACACCTAAACCAACATACAAATCACCACCACCACCATATGTATACAGCTCTCCACCACCACCATACTACTCCCCTTCACCTAAGGTAGACTACAATTCTCCCCCACCTCCTTATGTCTACAGCTCCCCACCACCACCATACTACTCACCTCCTCCTAAGCCTACATATAAGTCTCCACCACCACCATATGTATACAGCTCTCCACCACCACCATATTACTCGCCTTCTCCTAAGGTAGAATACAAATCTCCTCCACCTCCTTACGTCTACAGCTCTCCACCACCACCATACTACTCTCCTTCACCTAAACCAACATACAAATCACCACCACCACCATATGTATACAGCTCTCCACCACCACCATACTACTTGCCTTCTCCTAAGGTAGACTACAAATCTCCTCCACCAACATATGGCTACAGCTCTCCACCACCACCTTACTACTCTCCTTCACCTAAACCAACATACAAATCACCACCACCACCATATGTATACAGCTCCCCACCACCACCATATTACTCTCCTTCTCCTAAGGTAGACTACAAATCTCCTCCACCTCCTTACGTCTACACCTCTCCACCACCACCATACTACTCACCATCTCCCAAGCCCACATACAAATCTCCACCTCCACCATATGTTTACAGCTCCCCACCACCACCATATTACTCTCCTTCACCTAAAGTTGAATACAAATCTCCACCACCTCCATACGTCTATAGCTCTCCACCACCACCATACTACTCACATTCTCCCAAGCCCACATACAAATCTCCACCTCCACTGTATGTTTACAGCTCCCCACCACCACCATACTACTCTCCTTCACCAAAGGTTGAATACAAATCTCCACCACCTCCATACGTCTATAGCTCTCCACCACCACCATACTACTCTCTTTCTCCCAAGATTGACTACAAATCTTCACCACCTCCATACGTCTACAGCTCTCAACCACCACCATACTACTCGCCTTCCCCTAAACCCGCATACAAATCTCCACCACCACCATACGTCTATAGTTCCCCACCACCACCATACTACTCTCCTTCCCCTAAGGTTGAGTACAAGTCTCCTCCACCACCATATGTCTACAGCTCTCCACCACCACCATACTACTTACCTTCTCCTAAGGTAGACTACAAATCTCCTCCACCTCCTTACGTCTATAGCTCCCCACAACCACCATACTACTCACCTTCCCCTAAGGTTGAATACAAGTCTCCACCACCACCATATGTCTACAGTTCTCCACCTCCACCAACATATTAATCTCCTTCTCCACTAGTTGATTACAAATATCCACCACCATATGTCTACAGCTCTCCACCACCACCATACTATTCTCCTTCACCTAAACCAACATACAAATCACCACCACCACCATATGTATACAACTCTCCACCACCATTGTACTACTCGCCTTCTCCTAAGGTAGACTACAAATCTCCTCCACCTCCTTACGTCTATAGCTCCCCACCACCACCATACTACTCACCTTCCCCTAAAGTTGAATACAAGTCTCCACCACCACCATATGTCTACAGTTCCCCACCTCCACCACCATATTACTCGCCTTCTCCAAAGATTGACTACAAATCTTCGCCGCCACCTTTATATTATTAAATTCGTGCTATGTAAGTCATCAATATGATACCATGTCTCATATGGTGTACTATCTTTCTTATTCTTTTTGTTCCTAGTCACTTTCATTTCCAAGGTTCGGATGAATTATTTGGCTATTAAAATTTCATTCGGATTCATGTTTCTCATTTCTCTTTTTTGTTTCCGGTAAAATGTTTCTCATTTCTTTCATGAGGGGTTGCTTTTAATTCATATATGTAAGTCTATGACAAATATATATACCGTAATTTGAGTATTTGACCTTATTGTTTCGGATATCTATGTTATCATCTGCCATTTGTATGCTATATAAATTGCCTATATAATTTTTATGGGTAAACAAAGCTACGTAATAATGTTCCACAAATATTTTAAAACCCATAATGTTGTTTTTATATCTTTCAATCAAATGACAAGAGTTTGATTTGAACTCTGTATCCTGCATAGAAACATTAATCATGTAGTTAACTAATGAACTAAAATGTCGCCATGTCATCATAACCCATATGGATCCATTAAGGCTCAGTCCCTTTGATCTTTACCAGTTCTTCAAATGAGCTTCAAAGGAGACGGTGGTTCGTAGTCAATAGGCAGTCTATACTAATGGTAAATTTGTATGGGTTCATAAGTCTGTGGTAAATTTGATTAAAATCTGTAGTTTTTTTCATGTCCAATATATACATGATACGTTTTTTTAAAGTATTCAATTAAGTGATATATATCCCCATATCCGTAGAAAAATTATATATGTAATTAACGTGTATGATTACATGTAAACTATATTGTTTCTTATAACATGCAAATTTTGTTTTCAGATGTAAGGTCTACGGCCAAGTGTTTTTTGGTATTTTTGTTTATTGCGAAAATGTCTCTACAGCCAAGTGCATAATACAGAGGAGTTTCATAGACAAAGGGAACAATCAGACCCGATCTTATTAAAACCTTTTAGATTTCAGAGTATACAGTATTTCATTTTTTTTTTGTTGAAAGTTAAATGCCCACTATAGCCAATGGTGTAAAATAGAAAATAGTACAAGACCAATCATCACTATTGTAGGTCTTTTTTACCCGTCATTTTCAACTTTTTAAAAACTATTCGAATGAAAAGTACAAAACTAACTATCAGATTTAGCTACTAAACAAGCTAATTTTTTTTATAATTAGTGAACTTTAAGCATGTGCATTTTATCATGGGATCGATAAGCTTTTGAACATACATATGCAGTTTCTTTGTAACTTGGTACTTTTAATATGTTATTGGTGGAGGGAACCCATTTGAATTGCTAATATAGTAATATGACTATACCTAATCAAAAACTCCAAACGATACCAAACAACTTTATCTAGTTGTCTGTTAGTAAAAAGAAAAAACCTTTATCTAGTCGTCAATAATTTGCGAGCTGGTTGTCTTTCCCCCAAAGTGATTAAACTATAATACCTCCTTAAGAGTACTGAAGATGGAATTTTCTCATATTGAGATATTATTATTGTTGATGTTTTATAGTGTAGATTATTGAAGATTCATTTGCTTATGAATCAAGGCTTGATGAGAAATTATGTACATGACAATGCAAAATGTATGTTTCATATATTCCAATTGATGATGGGAGAAAGCGCTATAATTAACGACCGACAAATTTGAGAAAAATGTAAATAAAATATGAGCATTTGACAAAATCATGCGAGGGAAAAAGAAAAAAAGAAACAAGAATAAAAGTTCCAAAATAGTGGTTTCTAAAGAGAATGGTTGAGTTACGACTAAGTTTTAATTAGAAATCAAAGCCGAGAGTCGAGATCAAAGAAATAGCGCGCAAAGAAAAAGAGAGTCAAGCGAAATCCGTAGAAATCAAAGTCAGAACGAAGAAAAGCAATGATAAATTTTTAAAATTCACATTTTACTAAAAAAACTAAAAATTAGGTTAAAATTCATGGATCTCATATTCTCATAGCTGAATAATGTTTTTCTAGACTATTATGTAATCGGATCATATTCTTAGTCATCTCCACCACTCAATCTAAGATCTCAGTCTGTCTTCTAAGTTCTAACATAATACTAACTATACTCCTAAATAAATCGATCTTTATCTAGTATTCATTGTCAAGAAAGCTTAAAGTAATTGAAAGAAAATGATGAATACTGGTGTCTATCTTCTTGTTTTCTTCCAAAGACCAAATATTCTTATTTTAGAGGTTTCTTTCTGCATGCAATTAAAACGTTTCGTATTATTTTTTTAACGTTCCATTTTGCTTTATCACGCGTCTATCCCCAAAAGTTCTGTTTAAATAACACTTTAGGTAAATAAAAAAATGTATACGTTAAAGACAAGTTAAAGCAATGGCGGACCTAGAACCAAATTTAACCGGGGTCAAAATATAAATAGGGTGTCATGGAAGGGGATTGAACTCATGTTTGGGGGGTCATTAAGAGGATTTTTTACCACCAAGCTGTTTAATTATTTTGTATTGTTCTTACTAATCAAATATTTCTATAATTTTAGGAGTGTCATTTGAAACCCCTTCCTTACATGTAGGTCCGCCTTTGAGTTAAAGCATATAAAAATTTCCGCGTAATGAAGTGTCACTGATCTCTGGCTATAAATATCGGAGTAGAGACCAATATCTTCTTGTAATATCAAGTAAAAAAAATTAAAACTGTTCATTTTTCAAGTATCACAGTCTAAATCTTTTGTTTTCGAACGCAAGGTCCGTCTAGAAACTAAATCAGCATAATCTCTTCATTTTATTTTATTTTCTCATTTCACCATTTCGTGTTTGTTCTAGATTTGGATAATCAGAAATAATAATGATCTCTGTTTCTGTTTCACTCGTTTAAATGAAATCGTAGTTAGATTTCGATAGTGTTAACTCCTTGATAGTTACAAAGTCATTCCTTCTCTTCATTTTCTCTCTTTTTTCCCAAAGAAAAGAAATACAAAGATTTAACCTAATTCGATTTCAATCGCATTAACTCATGTTTTTGAACAAGTTCTCCAAAATTTTCTTGTATATTCTTATCTAAATTCTTTCTTTCTTTTTTTTGTTCTTGGAACGCAAAAGAAATTAAATGTCGATGGAGTCGTATGAAGATGCCCTTAAGAGACTAGGAGAGCTTCTCAGGTACACACACAGACACTCTTTCTTCGTCTCCCAATCAAGTCCGACATTTGTCATTGTATTTTCAACTTTGAATATTATTGTTAAAATTATTATTTTGTATACATAGATGCTAATATGTCTTCTAAATATTGTTTAATATGTGCAGCAAGAAATTGGATCTCGGTGAATTGGCGGTCGCAAAAATCAAGAAGTTGACGGATGAGCTAGAGGAAAATGAATCAAACAAGTCATCAGATGCTGTAGAACGTATCAAATCGGGCTTTATCCATTTCAAGACTCGCAAATATAAGTAAGTTTTAAATTATTGTTACGCATGGATCTGTCCATTTCAATAATCTGTTAATACATATATAAATCCACCAACACTCATAACTAGCAAACTTATTATAACATTGCTTAGAAAGTTAAGTACTTATTTTTTTAATCTAGTTACTTAATCAAAGTGGGATAAGACAGGCAAAAAGGGTTTATTTAAGTTTTGGATGTTTTAAAAGTTAAACGCGTCTTGGTTAAACAAAAGCTTGAGTCTTGAATTTGAAGATTGCTCATTATCTTCTTGGTTTTCTTTAAATTTCAGGAAGAGACCTGGTTTGTACAGTGCACTTGCCAAGAGCCAGAGCCCCAAGGTTTTGATTTTGCCAATCTCTTTATTCTTCTTTCAAACAGAAGATTTTTTTTAATCCAATGTAGTGACTAATGATGATGGTAACTTTATGGGTAAGCTATATAGTTACACATACACAAAAAAACTATAAACGGTAAAATTAGAAACGAGGAATGAAGACTACGCACTTGAAAGAGATTCATCATATGGTTCTAGGCCAGGGTTTGATTCTTCCTGCTGCGAATCTAGACATGCATGGCCACTCATAGAAGCCTTTAGTTGCAAGAAAGCCTTTAGTCTTGGTTCAACAAAAAAAGAAAGCCTTTTATCCAATATGATTTTGTGTGTGTGCAGTTTCTGGTGTTTGCTTGTTCGGATTCCCGAGTGAGCCCATCTCACATCTTAAATTTCCAACCTGGGGAAGCTTTTATCGTTAGAAACATTGCCAACATGGTGCCACCTTTTGACAAGGTTCGTCTTCCTAAAGAAGACAAACAAATCCAACTCTATAGTATCTTACATAAACATCACAAGTTGTTTGTTATTAATGATTTAAGTTAAGTAAACTAATAACATAAGCTTGTTTTTGTGTTTGGAAACTTGCAGAATCAACACTCTGGTGTTGGTGCCGCCCTTGAATATCCTGTTACACACCTGAACGTAAGTAACAAATTAAAAATAATTATTAATCGTTACACTTGCTTCTCAGTTCTTAGAGATAGATTTCTCTTGTCTTGCATAAGAAGCTTAGTAAACCTGATGTGACCTAGTTTTGACCCTAAGCTAATGTAATGTGTCTCATTATAATCAGGTGGAGAACATTTTGGTGATTGGTCACAGCCGTTGTGGTGGAATAAAGGGACTCATGTCCATGGAAGATGATTCAGCTCCCAAAAGGTAACTAATCACTAAACGCTAATTACAATCAATATCCTCTAATTACATGAGAAACATGTTCTTGGCGATTGGTTTCACTAACTTTCTTGAAATGGCAGCGTCTTCATTGAAAACTGGGTCCAGATCGGTACACCGGCCAAGAACAGGATCAAGGAGGATTTCAGTGACCTGAGCTTCGACGATCAGTGCAACTACTGTGAGAAGGTACAGACACAATCTATGTTCTGCTTTTTTCTCAGTCTTACTTTTAAGGCAAGGAAACTGAGACTGTCTCGGGTTTTACAGGAAGCCGTGAACGTTTCCTTGGGGAATCTGTTGTCTTATCCATTCGTAAGAGAAAGAGTGATGAAGAACAAGCTCGCCATTAGAGGAGCTCACTACGATTTCGTTAATGGAACGTTTGATCTCTGGGAACTTGACTTCAAGACCACCCCTTCTTTTGCCTTGTCTTAAAAACATTCCTACTTATCTTAACTCTCTGTGTTGCTTGTAATTGTGTTCTTGTTCATTTCCTTTGCTGCTTCTGTTTCATTTGCCAATATGTTTCTCTATGTTTTAAGATTTAATATAATAAGCATCTGACATGTTAAGTTGCCATCTTCATTGGAGTTTATAACTCAAAACACTCTACAAGAGAAGATACACTTCTGACCTGTTATAGAAAACAGAGCACTGAAGTTATGAATCTACAAAAGATAGATAGAACAAAGAGTTTTTTAAACGACGGAACCGAATCGTCTAGTTTTGTTTGAATGATTATCAAGCTACCATTTCCTCAACATGAGCATTATCAATCTCGAGCTTCTTGATGACCAGTTTGTTGTTTGTCTGGTCAACATCAAGAAGAATAGTGTCTTCCTCTGCAAATTCTCCCTTCAAAAGTTTCAAGGAGATCTCCTTCTTCACAATCTCCTGGATTACTCTCTTCACCGGTCTTGCTCCATTGTTAGGATCAAACCCAAGCTGAGCAAGAAGATCCAACGCTTCTTTTGTGTACTCGAGATTCATTTTCTTTTGTTCCAACATCTTCTTCACTCGTCCCATCTACCACCAAATGATCACAATACTTTTATACCAAACCAAAACCAAACATTTATATCTACAGATGGAAGAATAGTGATTCTGACAAAAAGTACCTGAAACTCAACGATTTTGGATATTGCTTTCGAATCCAACGGCTGGAAGACAATGTATTCGTCAATTCTATTCATGAACTCTGGATTGAATGTTCTTCTTGCTAACTCCACAACTTTCCTCTTCATCATCTCGTAAACTGCTTCTTTCCCATCTCCATTGTTGCGAAGAGTCTCAAGAATGTAGTGAGATCCTATATTAGACGTCATTATCACAAAACAGTTTCTGAAACTTACTGTCCTCCCTTGAGAATCAGTTACTCTTCCATCGTCTAGTAGCTGTAACAAGATATTAAAGACATCACGGTGTGCTTTCTCGATCTCATCAAACAGAACCACTGAGTAAGGTCTCCGGCGAACCGCTTCAGTTAAATGTCCACCTTCTTCGTAACCGATAGTGCCAGGAGGTGCACCAAGAAGCCGCAAGACCGAGACTTTTTCCATGTACTCACTCATGTCAAACCTCACTATTGCGTTTTCAGTGTTGAATAGGTATCCAGCTAGAGCCTTGGCAAGCTCGGTTTTACCAACACCTATTGGGCCCATGAACATAAAACTAGCTAGAGGACGGTTAGGATCTGTAAGACCAGCCTTTGAACAACGGATAGCATCTGCTATTGCTTCTACAGCCATGTCTTGACCAACAACTCTCTTGTGGAGCACTTGTTCCAACATGACCAGCTTTTCTCTCTCTGACTGCTGAAGATTCGATAGAGGAATACCGGTCCACTTGCTTACTATCTCTGCTATGTGAAACTCAGTTACCTCTTCTCGGACTAGTGACTGTTCAGACTCTCGGAAGTTCATGAGACTCTTCTCAGCTTTCTCTAACTGACGTTGGAGGGACATAAGTGTCTCAGGTTTACCAGAATTGATTTCAAGGTTCACTCTATCGATCTGTGAAACATAAAATCTGTTTAGGAGGATATTAAGGTTGCTATATATCTAAAGATTTTACCTTTATTTTTTTCATGAGATACTTCTCTTGCTCCCATTGCTCAGTGAGTTCTTTCTCTTTATGTTTGAGTGTGGTCAAATCATTCTCAACCTTTCGTAGCCGTTCTTTAGAAGCTTTATCATTATCCCTTTTCAAAGAAAGCCTTTCCATTTCCAGTGTGATCAAAGCTCTGACTATTTCATCGAGTTCTGTGGGTTTAGAAGTGATCTCCATCTTCAGCTTTGCAGCAGCTTCATCAATAAGATCAATAGCTGAAACAAAGAAGTTAAATCTCAGAAAACAATGCCATTCGTGAGGCCAACAATAAATATTTTCCTAGGGTGCAAGTTTATTACCTTTGTCTGGCAGGAAGCGATCAGTGATGTAACGGTCAGCAAGAAGCGCTGCTGAAACAAGGGAACTATCTGATATCCTAACACCATGGTGTGCCTCGTACCGCTCTCTTAACCCACGAAGAATAGAGATGGTATCTTCAACAGATGGCGGGCCACATAACACTTGCTGAAACCTACGTCCCAGAGCTGGATCTTCTCTATGTATTGGCGGTATTCCGTCAGTGTAGTTGCACCAATGCATCGCAGTTCACCTCGTCCAAGCATTGGTTTCAACATGTCGCTTGCATCCATTCTTCCTGGAACACCTCCTACACATTAGCCAATTCATTAGTTTCACCCTAAAACATTAGTGTAAGGCAGAAGATATGGTAGACAAGAAAACTTGATAGGTAAAAGTACAACTGAGACCAATGATGACTCATGAACACATACATGAATGTATGAATAAGATGATCCGTGAACACCATATCAAAAGTAAGATGAGAGGGTACCTGCACTAACAAGAATGTGGATTTCATCGATGAACAAGATTGTATTCCCATTGGAATCAGTTACATCCTTCAGTACTGCTTCCAACCTTCTCTCAAATTGTCCTGCATATGTTGCACCAGCAAGCAGTGAACCCATGTCGAGAGATATCAACTACATTATAAAGCAACCAAGCCAAGCATGTTAAAATCTTCCTTTGAAGGCAACAGGTAAACTAATTTACAGAAAACTGCAGAAATATTAAAAATAACCTTTTGATTCAGGAGAGGTTCAGGGACATCCCCTCGTACAATCCGCTAGGCCAACCTGAAAAGGTTAAAACCTCTCAGTTAAATATCTCTCAGGAGAGTAAAAACATAAGTTTTCAGAGATATTACAAAAGAAAAGAGACACAAAAGGATAAAAATTCCTAGCCTTACCCTTCTGCAATTGCAGTTTTCCCTACACCAGGTTCACCAACGATAACAGGATTGCTTTTTGTCTTCCTGCATAGTATCTGGATGCAACGCCGAATTTCATCATCCCGTCCAATGACAGGATCGAGTTGTCCTTGTCTAGCCATCTCGGTTAAATCATTTCCATACTTTCCAAGTGCTGTATATGTTACTGTAGGCTCTACATTTGTAGCTTCACATGCTATTAAAACAGACATTAAACGACGCAAGGGGTTACAGAACATTCAGTGAGATGTCGACACCATCTTTTGTCAGCTTGAGAAAACATCATTCCTTTAACAGTCAAGCCTTCAAGTAGCATACGTTTAAATATCTCCACAGGAAAAAACATCATCCACAAAATATATGTACATTTAAAGCTGCAAAGAAGACAATACTTACTTTGATCAGTCGCTTGTTGACTACCACAAACAGCTATAATAGCATCCTTGAGGGCTTTCTCATCAAGTTTCAGCGTCTTTAAAAAATCTTGTCCAAACCTTTCATCCGAATAAAAGGCCAACAGAAGGTGTTCCACTGACACATGATCATCTTCAAGCTCTTCCTTATACCAAGCTGCGTGCATAAATACAGTTTCGATAGATGACCCAATACTAACCTGCCGTTCATAAGAAATTCAGTTGATTCAAGTTAAGCCTAGTGAGAAAATAAGGGGAAGCTACATATGCACGTTACAAGTTAGCTGCAACACCTTAGGTTGTGGTTGTGCACAAAACCATTTTGTAAACGTAGATATCTGACCGCTGTCATCACCTATATCCTAGAGGGCACAAGAAATTAAGTAGACTAGTGAGAAATAAGGGGAAAGCAGGAAAAAAATATATGTTCAGATGCACAAGAAAAGTTAGCTTCAATACCTTTGCTTGTGAAGATATGAAGTCGTTCGTAGCTTGCAGAAGAGAGCTGTTGCTGATTCCAGCTTTTGCAAATATTTGACTGGCAAGGCCGTCTTTTTGCTCCAACAGAGCTTTCATCAAGTCTTCTGATTCGACAGTTTGTTGCTTCGACACACGAGCTGCTTGTATGGTTTTGAACCATACTTCCCCAACCATCCTTGTAAACTTCATATTTGCATCCTACAGAAAGGAGGAAAAAAGGACAAATTAAAACTCTTTTTGCTCGAGAAGAGCTTTTCATCAAAGTGTTCGGATTCAACAATTTGTTGTTACATAGGAACTGAAAAATCCCTTCCCAACCCATCTCCGTATACACGCATTTGGGTTAACTACCGAAAGAACAAAAAAAACCCAAAAAAGTTAACACTCTTTCTCACTGATCGGAAGAGATTATAAGCAAAAATGAGAGTAAAGATTACAACTTTCCCCTAAAAATTAATAAATTATTCCTAAAAGGCAAACCTTTTGCCAAAAGCGAAACCCATGAAAGCTGAATCAAACAGATAATGATGTGAGAATCAAGAGGAAAGGCCCTTGAAAATCAACAAATAATCACTAAAGGACCAACCTTTACAAAACAGAAACCCATAAAAATCGAGTTGATGAACAGTGATTACTTCCAAGGACCAAAATCGACCCAATAAACTGAAAATCCACAATGTTACTAACCACGAACCTGATATGCGGTATCTGAGAAGCAGCGAGAAGAAGGTAACAGCTGGTCATAAGTAGCAGCTCGAGTGACCGAAGTTAGGCCGTTTCCCGAAACTCCGGTGAAGGTACTTGGCCGGAAAGGAAACGACTTGGGAGAGGAACGCGAGCTGAAGTGAGCAGAGGAGCCAGAGATAGCACGAGAATGGAGGAGGAGAGAGGGCTTCGAAAAAGAATACTTGGACAATCTCCTGGACGCCATTGATTAAGTTTAAGGTTTTGGACAATGAAAGGTTTTAACTTTAGTAGAACAAAGAAGAAGATTTTGCAAAATAGCTTAAGCTCATTTCGTCCAAGAGCAGAGAAGAAAAAGTGAATACTTGCAGAGGAAGACGACGAAGAAAAGAGTACACATATGCTCATTGGCTTTCTACTTTTTATAACAGCAAACCCTCTTGCCTGGCTAGAGTTTTCCAACGTTCTTCTTTGCATCTTTGAGTTTAAGGCTAAGCCACATTCAACATAAACCGGTTCAAACTCATTTTCTGTACCAAACCCCAATATCAAATTCTAAGATTTCAGTGTTGGATCGATATAGTTATAAGTTATTGTAAAGAATGAGCTCCAATCGTCCACTAGCTGGTGCTAAGCTCTCTCTGGATCACTCAGACCCATGTGGATGATATAACTAAAAAACATTGATCAGAAAAAAGAGTTGTGAAAACTTCTTTCAATTGATCATGCCTGTTATACGAATACAAATGCTAACTAGCTGAAATGAGCGCAAGGTGTTACAAGATACTAGTCAAGCTGTTACAAGGTGTTACAAGTAAGTTAATTATTAGATTCCCAAAAGAGTTACACTGCTTAGTTTTTCTTTCTTGGATGCATGACTCACAAAAGAACTATGAACCAAGAACTATGTCCTTGCGATAAACACAAGGCTCAAAAGTACACAAAGACTATGAGTTTGGATAAATACAAAGACCAATGGCTGAAAGATTATGAATCAAAAACAGGTTCACCCAAGGATTATGAACCAATACAAGTACGTAAATTAGTTTTTAACTTTTTTAAAGAAATTTTTTATTTATTTAAAGGTTAATAATATTCCATTTAGAATTTTGAATTTATTTTAAAGTAGTCAATTAGGTACAAAAAGGAGTATTTTGTTTGTTTTCTTTTCTCTTGGTGACCTAATTTTCGGATTTGTCTCCATGACATTACCAAAGCAGCCTTCGCCGACCGTCGTTACTGCCTTTTGAGTTAGTAGAAGAGATACTGTACAGGATTCCGATCGAAGCTTTGTTCCGATTCAAATCCGTAAGCAAACAATGGTACGCTCTCTTCAACGACAAGATATTCAGGTACAAACACTTTGATCTCTCCCATGAGCGATTCATGATAGTCGATCATAAATCGTTTCAGCTCTCAAATCTTGAGAACCAAGCTTTCTTACGTCGACAAACTCCAGACGCGTTACACAATTATGATATTCTGAATACGTTTCACTGCGACGGATTATTGCTTTGTAGCTGTATTCATGGTAAAACAAAAAAAGCTGGCAGTTTGGAATCCGGTTTTGAGCCGAATCAAATAGATTGAACCCTCGGGTTCTTCCAAAATCCATGATGTCTTCGGTTTTGGATACGACAATGTATCTCCTGACAACTACAAGATCTTGAGAGTCGGATTCGATACCACGTCTGATTTCATCAATGGCATGCCATCACCATATGTTGAGATATATGAGTTTAAGTCTAAACTTTGGAGAGGTGTTAATGCTACTCTCGAATGCTCTCCACCGTGGAGATATGTGTTTATGAATGGAAACATGCATGTGTAAGAACAAAGAACCCACGGAGTATAAAGAGTATGACACAAAGAGTTGCAAACACTGTTTTGCTTTATTAAGAATCACTTAAACAATCGTACAGATCTGTTTAATCAGAATAACACGACGTTACAAACCGTAACTCGACACTGACCAATTCCTAATCTACCCATGTCTCACACACAACACTAGTTGTGTAACACACTCTTTGTTCACTCACCAAGAACCCTAAATCTCTCTTAGTTTCTTGACTCGTTTCTCTCTTTGGACGGCTACCAAACTAGTCACGCCTCCTAGCATATATACCACCACGTTTTCTTGCAGTGAATATACACTCTCCATTGTTAGGATATCTTCAAATCTTATTGACTTGATCTTGAAGATCTTCCTTGCTTCTTATTCCAAAGGACTTCATGCTCCAATCAGCTGTCTCCAGGTCAGCTTCGAGCTAACCAAGGCACCAATACTTCGTCTTCCACTCAGTTTGTGCCACATCATCAATGATCTTGTTATCAAACATTAACACAGGGTGTGTAACACACTTGTTAATGTGTTTCACACACGTACTAGTCAAAGCTCCAACTCCTTGAGCTTACAACATGTATTGGATTGCTCCAAATCGAAAGAAGACGGTTGACAAGAAAGTCGAAACCTTCATCCAAAGTTTTGATTTCTCCACAGAAACATTCAAGCCCATATGTTGTGTTCCGAATGGAATTGATTATCATGTTCATGGTCATGGATTCTTGTCACGTTTCGGAGTAGATAGGCTTTGTTTGATACATCGAGAGAAACATGTGAAGATTGAAGTGTGGGTTACAAGCAAGTTGACTGACGATGGGATTGTCTCGTGGAGCAAGCACCTTAATGTAACTCCTGATCCCCTACTATTAAGCTCCATTTTCTAGCAACATTCATCCTCAAGGCCAATAAGATCATGTTATGGTGCGACGACAAGCTCAAGAAAGAAGCTATGTACAACACTGATGTCTACGAAATGGGCGATGACGGTGGGATAAAAAAGCATGTTGAGATGACTGAACGACGTAGTTGGGGTGATCGTAGATCTTACGTTGTTTATGTTCCAAGTCTTGTTCCGGTTCCAGAATAAGAGCAAGAGTGTAGACATAAGAAGAGAGTTTTCTGAGGGTTGCTTTTGCTACATTTCATGCATGTTCTAAGCTTTTTCTTCAGACATGAGACATATATATACTATGCGTTTCTATTAATTTATTTTCAACAATTAGTCTTTTGCATAGCATACGGTAGACCGAAGAGGTCTTGTAAATTGTTTTATCCAAAGTTCCAACAAAGCTCACTAAAAGTTAATATATACATAACACTACAACATTTTAAAGATGTAAAAGTAAACCAACACAACAAATTAAACAAAACAAAAATCTTCATGTATCCTTCTAAAGCAATAGAGATGAAACATCCACCATGTTTTATCGTTGGAGTTTTTTGTTTTGTTGTGTTGGTTTAGTTTTACCTCTTGCCATCCTCCAAACGTCAAACTATTAGAGAACGTATCCTACACACTCTCCATCACTTCCCTCTCTACTGGAGACAATCTCTCCAACGAAACCCCTCAAGAAGCTTCCTCAAATAAAACGATCAACGGCTCAATACAAAAGAAATACTATGAATCAGTTTAGACTTGTTGAATGGTAACAACAACTAACGACTTCACAAAGTCTTAACACAGAGACTATGAACCAAGAACTATCAAAAGGCTCAAAAGTACACAAAGACTATGAGTTTGGATAAAAACAACGACGAATGGCTGAAAATTAACAAAGACCAACGGCTTATAGAAATCATAAGGCAAAGATTCTTGAGAAAGATTAAAAAAAACGATTTATTGGATGGTATAGACGTAAAAACATTGAACGTGTTGTTGTCCAAAAACAAAAAGACAAAGCCTATGAAGGTTTTACATTCCGTAGATGGAAATTACGACCAACAGCTTACAAATGTCTTTAAACAAAATTATGAATCAAAAACAGGTGCACCCAAGGATTATCAACCAATAAGTAGAGAACGTAAATTAGTTTATAATTTTGTTAAAGGAAATTATTATTTATTTATTTAAAGGTTAATAATTTTCCATTTAGAATTTTGACTTTTTTTAAAGTAGTCAATTAGGTATAAAAATGAGTATTTTGTTTGTTTTCTTTTTCTCTTGGTGACCTAGTTTTTTCTGGTTTGTCTCCATGACTTCACCAAAGCAGCTTTCGCCGTCGTTACTGCCTTTTGAGTTAGTAGAAAAGATACTATACAGGACTCCGATCGAAGCTTTGTTCCGATTCAAATCCGTAAGCAAACAATGGTACGCTCTCTTCAATGACAAGATATTCAGGTACAAACACTTTGATCTCTCCCATGAACGATTCATGCTAGTCCATCATAAATCGTTTCAGCTCTCAAATCTTGAGAACCAAGCTTTCTTATGTCGACAAACCCCAGACGAGTTACACAATTATAATATTGTGAATACGTTTCACTGCGACGGATTATTGCTATGTACGTGTCGTGAGAGAGGTATTCTAGGTGAAACAACGACAAAGCTAGCAGTTTTGAATCCGGTTTTTAGCCGAATCAAATGGATTCAACTCTCGAGTTCTTCCAAACATTATGATTTCTACGGTGTTGGATACGACAATGTATCTCGTGACAAGTACAAGATCTTGAGGATCGGATTCGGCACCAGCAGGTATGATATCAACAGAGACGTTGAGATATATGAGTTTGAGTCTAAACTCTGGAGAAGTATTAATGCTACTCTCGAATGCTCTCCACCGACGAGATGTGTGTCTATGAACGGAAACATGTATTGGATTGCTCGAGAGAAGATGATGGCTGGCTCCAAAATCGAAAGTTTTGATTTTTCCACAGAAACATTCAAGCCCATATGTTGTGTTCCGAATGGAACTGATTGTTCTTATGGTGGAGGCTTGTCAAGTTTCGGAGGAGATAGGCTTTCTTTGCTACATCGAGACGAACATGTGAAGAAGATTGAATTGTGGTTTACAAGCAAGTTGACTGATGATGGGATTGTCTCGTGGAGCAAGTACTTTGATGCAACTCCTGATCCCCTAACAGAAATCTCCCTTTCTCTAAAAACTTTCATCGTCAAGACCAATAATAAGATTACGATCATGTTATGGTCCTCGGACATAGATTTCAAGGATAGAGTTGTTTACACTGGTGTCTACGAAATGGGTGATGAGGGTGAGACAAAAAAACAAGTTGAGAGATGACAAGACAACATAGATTCGGTGCTTATATATCTTACGTTATTTATGTTCCAAGTCTTGTTCCGGTTCCAGAATAGAGCAAGCGTGTAAAAAAGGAGTTATCTGAGGGTTGCGTTTGCTACATTTTTCATGCATGTTATAAGCTTTTTCTTCTTCTTCTTCTTCTATCAGACATATATAGCATTTCTATCGATATGATTATTATTTTTCTCATCACTAAAAAGTTGACAGTGCTGAAAATGTTTAAAGTTGTGATAATGTATCAGAAGAAGAAGAAGCGGATAATGTTAAAGGAAGCAAACATACAGTTGTTGGAACAGAGAAATCCTAACCGTGATCGACAGTTCCAAACCTCTATCTTCATGGAACAGGTGGTGGAACGGAGCCCATCGCGCCTCTGTCTTGTGGAGTCAGGTCCGAAGGGTCGGCACCCGAATCAGAGTAATCCACGTGCAATTTTCCAAGTGAGTTTGGCTCATCATTCTTTCCTTTAGATTGCGAGCCACTTGCTGCCTCCTTGTTACCACTCAGCGTTGCCTTCTTCTTGCTTGGTTCCGACTGCAATGCTTCCAGAACATCAAAATCCATGAAGCTTCCATATTCTTCAAATGCACATTCCTCGTCCATTGGATTTAGGCTTCGAATGGTGACACAGATCAAAATATACAGATCAAATAGTAATTCCAGATTAAGCAGAGCAAATACAGATCATGCGGATCAAATACAGATCAAACAAAGACGAAAAAATTAGTCTAGATATTCGGAACTTCGAATCGCAAATATTAGTCTAGACATTCAAATTTTTGAATCGCATTTATTTTGGCTATATACATTTTCTACTCAAAAAAAAATTCGGTCCGGGTTTCGTAATAGAATTTGAGTCGTTTCCTTTCATAACTTTTGAAAACTAATAAATATTCAAAAATTTATGGTTCTAACCGATTCCATAATTTTAAACGAAAACAGAAGAAAATAAAAAATATATATATATAATATATATATTTGAAATCTTGAAAATATGTCTGAAATCCAAAAAATATAACTGAATCCGAGGCTACCCGAAAAACCTATTCAGATTTTCAAACAGTTTTTTGATTTTTTTTTTTGTCAACTTTGAATTTTTCTTTTAACTTTCCGAATTGACTTGAAAATTAATTCCATGTCTAGATGTTGTATAAACTTCATAGACCTGATAAACCCTAAATTGTAACATCCGAAATCTCATCCTTAATTATCATAACAAATCTAAAAAATAAACATTATTTCAAGTTAATTTTGATTACAACATATATGTTTAGAGTTTATTTGCCCATTATATATTTGCAATATTTTTCTAGTGTTTGTTAGAATATATGCTTCTCTTATTCTTAATTTTCCCATATCACATGATTTAGTCCAATTATAATTAACATATAATTTTACAAAACAGCATGCATGAATTCATTATATTAATTTATGTGAATCTTAATATTATAAACAAATATATCAGTTAATAAATCTTAGTTTTGAATTATTATGTTTGTAAATATATTTATAATGGTATATATAATATTGATTGCAAAAAGTATAAACAAGTTTTGAAAACGAAAAATGAATATTTACAGTCTTTTTAGATATAAATATTGTTATGTTTAATTATTTATTTAAACATAATCTACACAGAAAATCATTTGCAGAAAATAAAGAAAGATAATAAAATTACTGGATACACCTTAAACTAAAGAGAATATATAGTTATAAGTTTGATTTTAAAATCTGGAAATGAATAAGAAATTAAAAAACCTAACATTTACTATCTAACTTAGAATTAATAAAAAAAATTACAAAATAAATTTTTTAGCTCACACGTACATGTACATGTGCTTTGTAAATTTATTTGTAATACTCCCTCCGTTTCATAATAAGTGTCGTTTTAACTCTTTATTTACCCAATATATCTAGATATTAATGGATGTATTAAGACTCAAAACACATTCAGATACATTATTAAATAGTCCAGATTCATTTTGTCAAAAAGACACTTATTATGAAACGGAGGGAGTACTAAATAGTTAGAATTTAATGTTATAAATAATTAAGAGATAATACAAAATAAAATAAAGTTAATAAATAAACTTTGATCTGCGGAGCTTTTTACCCCTTTAAATGCAGGCCAAAGTTTTTCAACAGATTATTGATCTGGATATAGATCAAGTTTTTTCTCCTGCATTTATTTTGATCTGCATTAAAATGGTGATTATGTATTAAATGCAGATCATCTGTATTTAATTTGTATATGTATTTATTATGTATTTGATCTGTGTTTCCATTCAGACCCTTACTCTATGTAAAGTGGTAAATTCAGTAGTCTCCTCAGCAGGTGTGTTCTACTCACCTCGTGTAATCGGTGATGCTTGAAGGCGTTCCTCTTCATCTCTGATGAAGTCCACGACCAAAGCGTCCATGAAGCAACGCTTCCGTTGAGCTGGAGCCTCGGTTTTACATCTCTGCATCAACTCAAACAGAGTCATAGCAATGTCGGAGGAATTGTTACTCCCATCATTTTCTAGGTCTTCCATTCCAACATAGTCCTCTAGTTGCTCAGGCTCGTTGTCCTCCTCATTGTTTGGCATCGGCTGCTGGTTGTTGAGTTGTCGGATTACTGGATCAGGAACATGATTGTGTGCTTCCTCTTCATTGTCTCCCTCCTTTATTGTCTGTTGACCGCTCAATAATCATCTCATAATTAATTTGAATTAATTAAGTTAGATAACTTTTCGCATCAACGCGGAGTTTATTTTAACACTTTTAAAATAATTTACGAAAAATATTATAGAACTAGTTAAACGATTTGATGATGGCTATAAGGTTATATTTATGTTTGATGTCCAAATAAAAAATTGTATTTACGTTTGATATTAGGTGTTATTGTGCTCTCTCTTCTCTCTCTAAGAGAGAGAGTTATCTACTTCTTTTTGTTCCGATTTTAATCGGATTTCTTTTCAGACTTTGATCAGTTGTACAAAAATAAATTCGGCTTAGACCGAATCTTTTGGCTGCCTTTGCTTTCTGTTTAACGGATTTAGTTTTAGGTTTTCTTTTGCATGATCTTGAGGTTTTTCCCATGGCTGGAGAGCCAAAATCCAGAGGTGTTTGCTTAGATCTTACTATCATCGATGTAGGCTTATTTTTTTATCAAGGGAGAGTAAATCTTCACAACTCCGATGTGAATTTCTGATTTATGATTGTGAAGTTTCTCATAGTGATGGAAAAATAAGATTTGGGGAATCAAATCGCTGGTTTGAGACAGAATAAGCAGAGTCGGCGTTTCTTGGGCAGCTAGTAATGGTCCGACGAATGTTCTGTTTCTGATCCAGTTGAAGGTTCTCGGGTTTTCTTCTTCGATGTGGATGGAGATCTGGCTTGCTTCCTCAAGCGACTAATTCAAAAGAAAAGCAGTTGTACACAATATGCTGAGCAGTGGTGGTGGACAGAAAAGCTTGCCGGTGATTGTACCGAGGAACTGGACAACAGAGGTGAGGCTTTGGCGGTGACCATCGGAATGCATGCCCAAAAGTTGCCACGTTTCAGACGATGCTCTATTTAGTTTCCATGTGTAATCAAAAATCAAAAACCTAATCGTGTCAGTATAACATGATAGGTTGATTATCTGTTGGGCTAGTAGAACTGTGTTATTGTAATTGTGTACATCTGTTGCCCATTGGGCTTAATGAAAATGTTGACAAAAAAAAAAGTGTTGTATTGTGTTAAGATGATATAAGATTACCGTTTAGAGAACTGTTCATTTATAAATTTATGTCTATCCATGAAAAGTAAGGACATGTTAGAGTATATATATTTTTTTATAATTACTTCCTCTGTCCGATATTATAAACTGTTAGGCAAAATGGATCTGAAAAAAGTAAGGATGTTGAATATATATATTTATTATAATTTATGTTAAATGGTTTATTTTGAGAAATTTGCTAATTTTCACACATTTATCATCAACACACTCATATGTAAAGTTCAGTTCATTACAAATGTTAATAATTTAATTTTTTTTTTTTTTTGGAACGATATTGATTATATAATTTTTATTTTCATTAATAGTGATTAGTTACATTTAGTGATAGCATATACATAAACTATTTAGGCATTGTCTTGGTTTTTTATTTTTTCTGAAACAATGATATGCGCATTCATTGCAAAATGCAAGTATTTGGCCAGTGGCCGAGGATTTAAAATCTTTGTCTAGTGGAAGAATATCATTTCTCTGAATATTAGTCGGAGAACTCGCTTCTGGGTTAGAAATTTGTGCTTTCTCATTGAAACTATATTTTGCCATAATATTGGATGCACCTATAAAATGTTCAAAAAACAATTACAATCGTTAAATTAATATTTCTATAAAGAATATAAAATTTTCTAAATACTATCATAAAAATAAAAAATAATAATCATAAGAAAAAAAAACTCACATAACAAAAGCAGAACTGAAAATGTTAAAAACAAAATACTTCTTTTCATTTTTCTTTGAAACTTGCAATGATATTAACGAGAAGTACTTGCAATAGTATTAGACTTATTAAATGTTCAAACTTTTTGTTGTGATATTTAAAAGAGTTAGATAATGTCATATTTATATGTATTTTTACTTACGTTACATAATAATTAATGACTTAATCAATGTTTTTATATGAATAACGTTATAGAAATTATATTGTTTAGGTTACACTTTTGTTTTAAACTATTTATAAATGTGTAACTACCGTTTTCAGTAATTAACTTGTTGTTGTAAATAAGAGATACAACTCGAACAATTCTTTTTGATTTATTTCGAATATGAATATATTAGATAGCTGAAAGAATATCACTTCATAAAAGGTTAGTTGATTTATTAGCTGCAATTAAAGGAAAACACATGCTCTCATGTATCATCTTAAAAATAAAGAGTCTCTAGTATTTGTGTATGTTAGGTAATTGAATTATGAATAAATTCTATTTTGACAGTTTTTTAGAACCAGTGGACACTCGTGAGAGATTGAGGTTAGTGGGGTAATTAAGGGTAATGAGATTAACATCACAGATTTATTAATGTTTTATCTTTTACACAGAATTTCACTGCAGAATGGTTTTGTATTATTTTTTTGCTCTTGTCTTATTTTTTTCTAATTTTGTGGGATGCTTGTTTTTAGAAGCAATGGTGTTCAATCTGGATATCGATTTGGTTTCGGCTCAGTGTTTTTGGTTTTCGGATTTTCGTTTTGTAAAAAATAGTTATCATATTATAACCATACTTATTTCGGTTTGATTCAGTTTGGATAGTCTCGGTTTTTTGGATGGCTTGATTCAAATACTTTCGGTTAGATATTATCAGTTTTCGGTTTAAAACAAGAACTAAAAGCTTTGTTTTTTATATTCTTAGTTCGTTATGTAGGTTTTTCAAAATTTTCCATTAAAATATTGATTCTCGTTTTTTTTCTTTCTTTTTGTTTAACATGTTTTTTTATTAGGTTTTTTCTTTTCTTTTCCAAGACATATGGTCAATCTAAATTAGAGAAAGTGAAAAAAAAGGAAGCACAGATAATTAAATTTGAAAGTTATAGCTTATTATATAGGGTTTGGTAAAACAAAGAATATGGTAATTATGTTCCTTTTTCCGTTAGAATATGTAACAAATTTTTTTGTTGTCAGCAGCCTAAGTTCTTATATCGGTTGGAGAAGCGAGACCAGTGGAACATAGTTTACAAAATACACATCATAAGGCTGATTTCGAGTACTCCGTGCTAGTTCCTTCGTGTTCTTTATCCTTGGGATATGAGTTTAGGAGAACGCATGGAACTTCCTATTAATATGTATGGATGATCTTCTTTTAACATCACTTTTTCCCTTTATTGTTAAAATATGATACTTTTTCCGTTAAAATATGGAAAATATATTTTTCCTTTTTTGACATCTTTTTAATTAGCTTGTGTTCCCTTTTATTTTTCTAAGATACATGTCAAGATCTCTCAATAGGAGTAAAACAAAAAATAACACATATCGCGATCTTATGAATTATAGTTATCCGACGTGTCGTTAACATGTTGTGCACATCTAGTTTTATATAATAAGATTAAATTCGTCATTTTTATCGGGTTTTCCTGTTTATTCGGTTAATATCGAAATTACATCACTGTCTATGGTTTGGAAAGAAGTCTGTAACGGTGAATGGGAGAGAAGTCTGTAACGGCGGCGACGGAATGTAGAAGGTCGAAGAGATCTGACTCCGGGTGGTGATTTGAATGCAATCGATTAAAACGGGGATTAATTTCTTTTTTTGTTAATTCTATAAAACCCAAACTCAAAACGACGTCATTTCGGGTTGCACTGAGAAGAAGAAAAAAACCTGATAGGAAATGACGTCGTTTAGTTTTAGGCGTGGATGTATTAAAAAAAGGTGACGTGGCACTCTGCTGACGTGTCATCAGGAAAGTGTCACAAGGCTTTTCAATTATGTAGATTGAACTTATAACAATATTTATAATGAAAAACAAAATCTTTTAACATCACTCAATATAAAACGGATATAAAATGGAATAAGTATTAATGCTTACATTTATTTGTCTTTGTATTATTAAAAGTTATGATTGTGAATAAATTTCTGGTATATGTATGTATGGAGTATGAAATATGACTAAAATCAACATGAAACAAACAAACCAATAAATTTTTTTGTATATACTATATAGGCTGATTAGTCTCGGTAGGAACATATCGAAGTGCTGTAGAGTGAACTTTTCATGGTACAAAGGTTTAATGGACATCATAAGCTTCCTGCGAGCTTGAATCAACGGATCATAACCATACTGTCTAGCCCAAGTTTAGAATGCCTTTCACCTAATGCCAAAAATAAACTACCAGATAAAGGTTCAACCCACACTTCTCACACAAACAAACAAAATTCATAATGGAGCATAATGAAACTTACGAAAAAGCAGCGCTCACAAACTGAAAAATAAAAACATATTTTATCCTACCTTGCAATTTATTATTAAACGGATTTGTGCCAAAAAAAAAAAAAAAAAAAAAAAAAAAAGAAACATCAAAATATTTACTACAAAATGATTTTGCCCTTTTTTTTTGGTATCGTTGTTAGAATATGTAATAGAAGAATGATACTAAAAAAAAAACAAAAAAATTGTAACGAGTGTAGGAACGAGTGTTCACTTCTTGTGTGGAGAGGTTGAGAGGTCACTTTTCTGGTCGTTACTAGATATGGACCAAACACAGTCATCCATATATTTATAATTACAAACAAAAAAGTCATTAGAAATTTCAAATTTGACGACATATTCTTAAAATTTTAGTGAGGTGTTTTTTTTTTCAATCGCTCAGACCTTTCTGTAGTGTCTAAATTTGAGAGTTTGCAACATAAACTATTTTCCTACAATCAATTAAACTATCATTTTGGTAAATGTTTTACGAATTCTGTAACCAAATTCAATATCTTTTTGGTAGATGTTTAACTAATAAGCATTATATTTTTAGTCTTCCGTACACTTAATTAGCTTCCATAAATGTGTGTGTATAAATATTACAAATATTTTCCTTTTGCTTCCAAGTCAAGACTTTACAAGAAAAATAATTAACAAATAATTGGAAAAAATTATAAAAGAATATTTTGATTTATATATTAGAAATGTAGTACAATTGGTTTAAATTTAGTAAGAAAAGAATTAGATTTATGGAATTTGTGGTAAATAAATAATTAATAGCATAAATAGGTCAAAGCCCCCAAAAAAAGATGTGAAGGTTCTGAATGGCTTCAAACTTATAATATCTCAAATATGGACATATCATTAATTGGATAAACGTTAAGTTGCCCCCCTAAAAAAGATAAACGTGAAGTTTTCAAGCTCTATATCTTCTCCTTGTATGAACTGTTTATCCCTCTTTCCATTTCATCTCTTCTTATATGCTTTACATATATAGAGAGGGAGAGAGAAGAGAGCGAGATAGTGAAAATGATGGGTCAATGGGGGGAAGAAGATGATGAAAAGGTGGTGATCAGATGCTATGACGATCGTAGGGACAGAATTGAATTGGAGTGTGTGGAGAAAAGTTGTGAGATTGGTCACAACGACCAAACCTTAATCTTCACAGACACTTTAGGCGATCCCATCTGCAGGATCCGTAACACTCCTCTCTTCACTATGATGGTTAGTTACTTCTTCTTTTTTCTTCTTCTCTTTACTATTCCTTGTTTTATATCAAATTAAACGTTAATATGGAGATGTCTCTCTTTTTTCCTTTTGAAAATTCTAAATTTTGAGAAGAACGAAAAAAACAAGATGAGTAACATGCGGTGGTAGTATTTTATATTTTCTTTCTGATTTGTAAAATGTTGTTTTAACAGGCCTTTTAACAACAACAACAAAAATGTTGTTTTAAACTTATTTTTCGCTTAAAAAATAATTTCGTTTAAAAGTATATATTAAATTTAAATCTCTTATTAGATGAGTTGTATATTAAATAGAGAAATGAAATAATATATTTTTTCTTTAAAATAGTCAAATACGTATTAGGCATGTACAATATAAAATTTTAAAACAATAATTTAATTTGGGTAACAAAACTACTTAATCCATGTGGGATTTTTTTTTCTGACGGGGGATACATGTGGTTTTATTAAGTGTAAATGTTCACAATTTATTTGTATCAAACGCTGTTAAATTAATAGGTGGCAGAAGTTGGGAACAAGTTGGTGGGTTCCATAAAAGGCTCAGTAAAGCCAGTGGAGTTTCATGATAAGTTAGTGAAAGTGGGTTACGTTCTTGGTCTTAGAGTTGTTCCGTGGTATCGACGCCGTGGCATTGGCTCGACTCTGGTGAGAAAGCTTGAGGAATGGTTCGTATCCCACAATGTTGACTATGCTTACATGGCCACCCAAAAGGACAATGACGCCTCTCTCGGTCTCTTTGTCGGAACACTTGGATATGTCGTCTTCAAAAACCCGTCTATTCTTGTCAATCCTGTCAACCCCAGCGGCGGTTTAAAACTGCCTTCCGATATCGGAATAAGGAAGCTAAAGGTAATTTCAGTATAACACAATATTGCATTAGTTTTAAAAACTCGATTGCTTAAAAACAAAATAAGATATAACCAAAAAGCTAGAGAAATCTATGTGTGCATGTACGTATGCATGTATGGTCGTTTATATTATTTATACTTTGGCTGTTGAAATTTACTTAGATATCTAATTTCATCTCTCAATGTTATTTACTTAGGCTCTCATGTAATTAGACTAAGCAATCATTTATGTAATAGGTGAAAGAAGCCGCGTCATGGTACCGGAGATACGTGGCACCAAAGACAGAGTTTTTCCCGGACGACATAGACAGAATCTTGCGGAACAAGTTAAGTATCGGGACATGGGTGGCTTATTACAAAAACAGCGACAACATCCGAAGTTGGGCAATGCTTAGTGTTTGGAACACTAGCAAAGTATTCAAACTTCAGATTGGAAAATCTCCTTTGAGTTATTTGCTTCTCACCAAAGTTTGCAACTTTCTCGGTAGATTCTTGCAGTTCTTGAGATTATCTTCGTTACCTGATCTGTTTACACCGTTTGGTTTCTATTTCCTCTACGGGGTTCACGCGGAAGGTCCGTTAAGTGGGAAACTCGTTAGGGCTTTGTATGAGCACGCTCATAACATGGCTGCGTCAGATGACGGTGGCGCGTGTAAACTCGTGGTGGTAGAGGTTGACGGAGAAGGTGGCGAAGATGATGAGTCTCTTCTTAAATGTATTCCTCATTGGAAAATGTTTTCGTGTGATGATGACACATGGTGCATCAAGCCGTTGAAATGTGAAGATGAGATGTCTTGTTTGAGTGAATTTACCAAGATGTCTTTGAGTTCGAAATCGCGGTCACTCTTTGTGGATCCAAGAGATGTGTAGCTAAGCTAGCTAGGGAAATTGATAGAGTATTTGACTGATAGGATATTAAAGAAATTATGCAATCTCGTGATTTTTAAGTTAAATTATGTTTGTTTTGCATAATAAATGTACCATTCATTTTTACTGATTATGTTGCTCCTTAATATTAATGAACAAAGCCTAATTGATTAACCATACTTACGAAATTGCATTTGCCAAACTCTTGAACCGTACAAAATCAACGGTCATCTATCTATAAACCATCGACTGACAAAACGTTAAAGACAATTAATCTATGAATCCAAAACATGTTGTGGGGTTTGAGTTCTTGCATCTTTGTTTGGACCCTACATATAGTTAGGTAGTTATCATTTTTGTCATGTTTCGATAACTAATATGATAGTTTAGGTAAATCATCGTTCTCCAAAGAAATCTAAAAAAGATTTCCTCAAGTAGGTGCCACCATTTGTTGTCATTGGTCTTCTTCCTATCTAGTTTGAGAGAAAATAAAGCAGTTAAAGAATAGTCATTTTCGATATGTTTTCTATTTAATGAATGAATCATCAGCTTGTAATCGTAAATTTGTAACGTACATATCTCAATATTGTTTGAAATTAATACGTAGGAGATCGGTCGGGCCGATGATGTGGTCCTTTATGTTCCCTTCTTATTAGGTTTAAAAACCAAATTCTTTTATTGATGGCACTGTCTTCTAAATTAAAGATAGGTTTAACTCATTTCCTGATGAGTCGAATTACTCCATGTGATGTTCATATGGCTCGCAAATATTTAATTATGTGTGTTATAGAATTAGTATTACTAAATTGAGTGGACGAAATTATTGTTGATGTTTTTTGTTTTCTTCTAATGTCGATATGCAGATTGCAGACAGTGGCATTTAAAACATGTTCAGACAGCCAAATTTAGCTTTTGCACCTGAGAGAATCATATATAAAACACTCGCTCAATTTTATTGTATTTTTTTGCCATTTTTAAATTTATCTTTTCCCAACTATATGTAACTTTATTTTTTTCATAGTTTACAGTACTCTTCTTTATCATTTATATAACTTAACAGATATAGCATACAACTCCTGGATGATATATATGGTGGGTACTCAACTATTATATATTTGGAGTAAGTATTTAATTAATTCATGGAATAGGATAACAAATTGCTTATATTTTCATTTTCTAGCGACCCAATAACATATGAATGACGACAAATATAAGTACTCGAAATATCAATAATTGCTGAAACAGAGAAAAATAAAATGTTGTTGAAACATAATTCAAAGACTGAATTCAATGAGATTGATATTGAATTACATGTCCCTAAATCTAACGTGGATGAGACTGAATCTCAATAAGTTTGTTTTAGAAATTGTAGATTTGACAAAACTCGCAAGAAAAATATAACATATATCGATTTTTGTTTTTGTTTTTGGTAATATACGAAATATAAAATGTCTAATACAGTATTTACATGTTACAACATGTAGTATATACATATTCTTGAGGAAAAGTTTTCATTTTCAAGAATCGACGAATCACCATAAAGTCGACGAACATGTGAAGGTGGCCAACCTCGACCTTTAATCCACATCACTGACACGCGGATATGGCCAAATTAAACTAGTCAATTAGCGGTACTTACTATAGAAAGTCGCACCACTCAAAACCTAGTGCAGCTAGAATGTATTCAATTCGAAGGTATAGCAACCTACCATACTATATCGCATTTTAGAGAGGTTTGAAAACATTTGTAACCTAAGCAAGTACTAAGTTAAGAGACTACTAGAATGTTCTTCAAAGCACTTAGATCTTACAAATATAGACTTGTGTTCGTCTCGTTAGCTGATGATACGCCATATTTGAGAAATCTTTATTTGTTTTTTTTACTTAGTCTACTTTATATTGATAGTTTACTTCACTTAACATGTTAGGTACATGTCACCTTCATTAGCTAACTTCATTAGCTAGCTATCAGATACAATGTTTTTGTTTTGATAACACATCTTAGGAAGTGCTGAGTAATTCACCTATAGACATAAGCCATTAATTATTTATTGATATGAAATATTAGTCACCCAATCCCTGACCTGTATTTGTGTGGGAGGCTTCAAATCAGTAGTCATAATCTAAGTACTCTAGAAGGATAAAACAGTCCACAGTTAGGTGTTGATGTCCTCTTGCCGAACAAGGAAGCTGATCAGTGTCCTTTATAAGCCCCTTCTTTCTGCGTAAGTCGAACCAATTATTGGTTCATCATCTTTTCTAAATTTGATTTTAATTCAAATATTTTTAAGGCTTGTCAAAATACTGAGTGCGTTCTTTAAAAAACTTTTAAAGACATAAAGTACATATAGGTGTATACGAGAATGGATTGCAGAAATACCAAAATTTCACAAATGCTACACAATGCTTTGACATAATATAGCTATATATTTATCATGTGTTTATAATCAACCAAAAGCATGTAGTCTAAGGATCTCTTTGAAAGAATAAAGGAATCGTCTTATGGGTCATTTAAGACTAGGGATCAAATTCATCTTTAACCACTATAAACGCCTTAAATGAAGAAAGTATCCGTCCTTCAGGATTATTAAAAAAAAAAAAACTATTTTATTTTAAAATATAAATAGAGAAACTTTTATAAAAAACATTGTCGAATAAAATAAAGACAGTAAATTGTTCTTTAAAATAAAATTCAGTAACATGCGACTGATAACAAAACATAGTAAAAAGACTCTATAGGATCAGTCGATAATTCTCTTAAGGTTACAATAATAGCAAATTGGTTGCTTGACGAAAGAAAAATCAAAAATCCATAAACGGATAATATATCGAAAACGTGAGATCCACGGCACCTGATAGTGCACAAAATAAAAAGTTTAAAAGTAGAATCTATTTCTGCATTGCTGCTATGGCGTACATACAAATTGATCATCTCCATTGGGCTTGAATGGTTAACGGTCAAACAAAGAAAAGAAAAAGTCCTAATGGGCTTTTAATGGGCCCATGATAGAGTTGGCACAGAAGAGAAGCAATCTCAAATGTCGTCGTCTACTTCTTCTACTAAAGAAAAGCAAAAGAGAAAACACACGATTGGAAAAAGATTTAATTTTACTTTCTGATTTGTCTGCAATATCGAAATTGGAAGTCTTACTCAACAACGCACTTTCTTTATTAACCGCTTTGACGTGGTAAGTGGGTCCTACAAAAGGAATTCTTATTTAGAAGAAACGGCCATTTACTCTGTTTCTGCTATCGTGCTCCGCTCACTACCCAATCATAATCTCTCTCTCTTCCTGTTCCTCTTCCTCTTCTTCTTCTTCAAAGAAAAAAAAAAAAATATGGCCTCTTGCGTCACCGGAACAGAGGCAGCGATTCGAGCTGCGGCGTGTAGAGACGGAGACGCGGCGGCTCATCTGAAGCTGATCTCTGTTTTCGTCATCTTCCTCACAAGCGTCTTCGGGATTTCCGCGCCGGTTTTTCTCGCTCGCTACTTCCACGGGAAGCCTCTCTACGACAAAGCGATCCTACTGATCAAGTGTTTCGCCGCCGGCGTGATTCTCTCTACTTCGCTCGTCCACGTCTTGCCGGAGGCTTTCGAGTCTCTCGCCGATTGCCAGGTGTCATCTCGACATCCGTGGAAAGATTTTCCGTTCGCCGGTTTGGTGACGATGATCGGAGTAATCACGGCGTTGCTGGTTGATTTAACGGCGAGTGAACACATGGGACACGGCGGTGGTGGTGGTGGAGGGACGGAGTACATGCCGATGACGGCGGTTGGGGGTTTAGAGGTGAAAGAAGGAAAGTTTGGGGCTGATTTGGAAATACAAGAAAGTAATGAGGAGGAGTTAGTGAAGATGAAACAAAGATTAGTGTCACAAGTGCTTGAAATTGGGATTATATTTCATTCAGTGATAATTGGTGTAACCATGGGAATGTCACAGAATCAGTGTACCATTAGACCTTTGATCGCTGCTCTCTCGTTTCATCAGATTTTCGAAGGCTTAGGCCTTGGTGGTTGCATCGCTCAGGTCAGTTTAATTTCTTCAATTTTTTTTTGAATTTTCTAACTAAATTATTAATGCGAATTACTTTTCAAAGCTGAAAAAAAAATATAGTTGAAAAATTGCCAGGGGGCCAATACAAATTACACTAAAAACCAAATATGTATTGTATTTATTCTGACTTTAAAAAAAAAGACTAAGAAAAAAACCTTGAAGAAGTATGTACATAACGATAGATGTAATGTTGACATTTTTGCATTAGAATGTCAACATTTTTAGCTAGAGATATTTATTCCGGTTTAACTGATCCAAACCGAAATTGAACCAAAACATTTCATGGATATTACCACTATAGTTATAATAACTTATGATTCATTTTAATTTCTTGATATTCAGGCAGGGTTTAAGGCAGGAACAGTGGTGTACATGTGCTTGATGTTCGCGGTAACGACGCCTCTCGGGATAGTACTAGGGATGATGATTTTTGCAGCGACCGGTTACGATGATCACAACCCTAACGCATTGATAGTGGAAGGTTTATTGGGATCACTATCTTCAGGGATTCTGATATACATGGCCTTGGTTGACCTAATTGCGTTGGATTTCTTTCACAACAAGATGTTGACGACGGCCGGTGAATCGGGTTCGAGGCTTAAGAAGTTGTGTTTTGTGGCTTTGGTTTTGGGTTCTGCTTCTATGTCACTTCTTGCACTTTGGGCTTGAAACAAATGGGAGGTTGATCACTGTATATCATTTACTAAATTGGCCATAGAAAATCATATATAAATTCTGTTTGAGCATATATTGAGTTGGTTTACTTTATAAAATCTTGAAAACAGAATGTTATATATGAATAATAGAATAACTATATTATTGTTGGCGGAAAGAAGTCAATTATATTTGGAAACTTATATAACCATTAAAAGCTCGGTTTAGTAGATTAATCACGTTTTGTTTGTATATACTTTTCAAGAAAAACGTGAATACATAAAAATATTAAGATGGGAAACTTTAATTCCTTATCATATTTGCAGAGGAATAATTTTACTCTATAATTCCTTATATAAGAAAGAATGAGAGAGAATCATGGAAAAAAAGTTTTCCTTATGAGTGGTATATTTTTTTATCAATGAAGGGAAATTCACTATTCCCCATCATTTCCTTTGATTACCAGTTAGAGTCGAAATCGTGAACAAGTACATGTACTTGAGTTCAACATTTTTTTCTTCTTGAATTCTTTAGTATCACAATGAGCGAACCTGAAAATTTACAGAACTATCATATCTTGGGCTTCATTCATTAACAGTAAGTATATGTACACATTAACCTTTTTGCAAATCCAAACATCACTTTTCAGTTGTTAAAAAAAGAACAAAAACAAATGAAAACGAACTTAGATTCTCTTTCTCTACACCCTCCTTTTTTTTTGTCGTCTAAAATTATATTGAGATAAGGGCTCATGGTGTTACACCCTACTGGCCTCCTCTACACCCTTCTCTTCTGTTAAAAATCTAACATGCTTTCTCTTCTTTAACCGCGTTCTTAAAGTTGTGTCTATTCATTTATTTCCACATGCTTTCGTTTTCTTTCTCATTAAATTCTCTTTTACCTTTTAATGTTTTTCTTTTTTCTTGAAAGAAACTTTCCTATTTATATGTCCATCAATTTGTTACTATTTTTTTCAGAAAAATAGTAGTTAGTTTGTAACTTTTATTTTTACAGTTTTTGAACATCGGTGATCACAAGATTAAGAAAACTGCAGCATTATTATTACTTTTTTTTTAATTACTAAAAGGTTGTGGGCAAAGCTCGTACATCCGGGAACACAGAACCACATTATTTAATATTGGTTCAATCTTGTAAAGAACTTAATCTATAACATGTCCATCTTTAAAATAGTCGTTACAACTTTTCCCGCTGAAGACTCGCCACACGGAAACTTCTGTTGGGAGATGATATTTTCCCAATGGTTAATTTCTTTTAATATATCAGAACTCTTGAGTATGAATTGTGTTGATGAGGTGTTCTTTCCAATGGACTCTAGAAGAATCGTGAACTAAGGAGATATTGTTTTTTTTTAAACACAAGTTAGTTTTCAAATTTTTTTAAAAAAATTAGTTTAGTTTTCAAAATACAAAAATCTGGTAATATTTTTACAATTCATTATTAAATTTGTACAATGAAATTAATAGGTTAGTTATACCATTTCATCACCATAATCTATTCCATCATTTTTTTCTTCTTGAATTCTTTAGTAACACAATGAGCTGACCTGAGAATTTACAGAATTATCATCTCTTGAGCTTCATTCATTAACAGTAAGTATATTTACACATTAAACTTTTTGCATATCCAAACATCTAACTTCTCTGTTGTTAAAAACCAAAACGAAAACGAAGTTAGATTCTCTTTCTCTACACCATCCTATTACTCTCTATTGTTCTTCATTCTGTTAAAAAACCTAATACCTTTCCTCTTCTTCAGACGTAATAAACCATCCCAACTTCAAGCAGAGAAGTATGAGGAACATTAAGCACAACATCAGTTCCTCTGCAGTTCGTGCTCATAAACGCAAACACAACATTCACCGCCAATTTCTTCAACACCGAAGAAGACTGCTTCGCTTTCGCATAAGAATGTCCCAATATATACGCCACTCCTGCTTCTCTCGCTTCCATTATCTCCCTACACTCCTCCTTCATCACCCTCCTCTCTTCCTCCTCTTCCCTTCCCGGTTCGGTTTCCACGAACTCCACAATCGCAGACACTAACCGGCTTTCAAAATCATACATTTCCCTCGGTACGTCTCTGTATCCATACCTAACCACACTCCTAAACATCCCATACTCCTTTGGACCAACTCTGCTTATCACAAACCTCTCTTCCTCTCCAATGTACGGAACCTGAACAGACTTCACACACACAAACACTAGAATCCGGTGAAACGCCGGCAAGTTCGTCACGAAATGGCCGAAGACAGCCGGAACTCCGGTGACTAGATTCGAGTAGACTAATCCGATCCCCGGAACTCTAACCATACCGATACTCGGTCCCAGAGCGACGATCCTGTCCATGGAGACCTTGTTCTCGACGTCGAATTCGTGTTTCTTTGTGGTTCCGTAGTTCCATATGTACATGATCGCCATGAACGTCAAGGAGAGGAGAATCGGAATCCATCCTCCTTCAGGTATCTTGTAGACGCATGCAGAGAAGTAGAGAAGCTCTATGGAGCCGAAACAGAGCAAGAACAAGAAAACCGTAACCGTCCTCTGTTTCCAGACGATTGTCATCACTAAAGCCATCAAACAAGTTGTCACCAGCATCACAGAGGTCACAGCGAGTCCTACAGAGAAGCCAAAGAGATGATTAAACGTAAAGTTTTGAACTTTTTAAAGGAAACTTCATAAAGTTTTCAACTTTAAAAAAAAAAAAAAAAAACTTCATAAAGTTTTCAACTTTATATAAAAATACTGAAGTTTATGTTTAACGATGATCATGATGATGTTTTTACCGTAAGCGTGACCGATCATGTTAGTGTCTCTTAAACCGATTGTAACCGCCAAGCAGAGGCACATCAGCATCCAGTTAACTTCAGGGATATAGATTTGTCCGTGGATTTTGCTTGAAGTGTGAATGATCTTGACACGAGGGAAGCAATCGAGCGCACAGCATTGGCTTATGATCGAAAACGTCGCCGATATGACCGCTTGGCTTCCAACAACAGCTGCAAATGTAGCCACGATGAACACTGGCCAGAACACAGGCTCTGCAAACAAACCAAGATCCCATTCAAAGTCTCGAACTTTGACTTGATGATTGTGATTTGCACACTATACAATTCAGGAACTTACCGGGTATGGCCTTGTAGAAGCTTCTCTGAATGTCTTCATGGTGTTTAGAGAGAAAAGCAGCCTCACCCATGTATGCAAGAATCAAACAAGGGTATACAAAGAACGAGAAAGCCACCTGATAACATTCATGTCACTAAAAGGAGGACTCTTTTCATTTGAATCATATATTATAAAGTTAAAGGCTTTACCTTTATGGACAGAGAAGAGAAGTGGCCTAAGTCAGCAAACATAGTCTCAACACCTAAGGAGGAGGATTAAAAACATAAACTTTGTTTAATGTTATGATATGATTAATAAGTGATGAGTTTCAAGTTCAAGTTTTTTTACCAGTGATTGAAAGAACGACTCCTCCAAGTGAAACCCAACCTTCAACGCCGGTGCTTCTGAGGAACTTGTACATGTAAACCGGTGAGAGCGCAGAGACTATACGAGGGTTCCATTTTATAGTGTTGTACACTCCAATGCTGCTTATTGAGAGAAGCCAAGCAGTGGAGATTGGAGCGCAAATGAAGGCTACTCTATGCGTACCGTAACGCTGCACTGAGAATATCGCTACCAAGATGATACAGGAGATGATCACAACATAATCTGCAACAAAACTTGACATAAGCTTTTGGGATATATGTGTTGGCAAAGTAAGCAAACAGATTCAGATGAGACATACTCTCATGAAGTTCGGGAATCTTGAGCTTGACTCCAGAAACAGCTGAAAGAACTGCAAGAAACAAAATGTTTGAAACGATGTTTTGATGTAAAGAAGAAGACTTTTGGCTAGGGTTTTCATGGCAGAGAGATTTCACCTGAGATTGTTGGAGTGAGGACACTATCACCAATGGCCATACATGTCCCTAAAAGCACAAAGAGCAGCAAACACTTTTGTGATTTCGGATGTTTCTCAAAGAAAGATTTAACCGCTGCGCTTTGCCGAGTCTCTCCAGGGCTTCCAGTTGCATAGGTTGACAGCTTCTCATCCATTTCTTGATGATTTGGTAAAACGCTTAGCTTTGCATACCTGCAGAGAAGTGAGTACAAGGCAAATGTTCCACCTTCAAGAACAATCAAAACAAAAGGTTTCATCAATATTGAAACACATAAGTAAAGACATTTTATAGACTTTGAAAAAGGCTTTTCTTTTGTACCTTCTCCGTTGTCATCTGCTGAGAGAACAATGAAAATGTATTTGAAGAGAGCTATAATTGTGAATGTCCAGAAGATGAAAGAGAACACTCCAAAGATCTCTTCATCGTCTTCATGGAGACTTAGTTTCCCAGAGAAAGTTGTTTTGTAAACATAGAGAGGCGATGTGCTTAGATCTCCATAGATCACTCCAAGGCTCTGGTAAGCCAATGTGAGAACATTTGCACAAGATACAGTCTTCAAGTGCTGTAACATTTATCAAAGATTATAACTTTTTAATGACAAGACTTATCTACATAAATTAAAAATTAAAAATAAATGATTTATCAGCAAGTTTAAATTATTTAGACCTAACACTAACCAGATAACATTTTTTCTTAGAGATTAATAATCATGTTTCAGTCTAATAATAAAATTTGAGTTTTCTTATCCAAACTCATCTATTTCCTAAAAAGCACATGATTTATCCTGCTTAATTACAAATACATTCATAATTAGAAGTTTCAATTTCACAAGCAAGTATTAACTTGTGTATTTCAATACCAAATCTAATTTCATCAAACATGAAAAAGCGTTCACGTTTTATTATATTTTGGTAAATACCAAAGTCGAAATGGTTAAGCAAGAGGACCTACTAGTCCTACTTGGGAAACAATCCAAAAATAATAAAAAATGAAGAACAAAAAAAACAGAGCAAAAAACAAAGACACCATTAAAACCCATTTGCTTTCACTTCTTCGTCTTCTAGAGGTGAAACCTAATCTCTACCACATAAAGTTTCAGTGAAATACGCATTGTCCCCAAATCCAAAAACCCAGAACAAAAATTGGTTTATTTCGAGAGAGAGAGACGGAACAGATTGTGGTAATGAACAAAGGAATTAAAACAGAGTAGAGACAGAATATGAAAAGCAGAGGAAACTGAGAAACCCAAGAACAAAAAAAACAAAAACTGACCTGGTGAGAAATTCCCTGTTCGATTAGAGAAGGTGATTGGTTCATGGCCGTAAGAAAACTGCTATTTTCAGTTTAGTTTGTGGAGAGAGACTTGGAGAAACAGAGAGAATATAATAATGTGAAGAGAGAGAGAGAGAAGTTGGGAAGTAGAGAAAGAGAGGAGCGAGCGAGTGAGGAAAGAGAGGAAGAGTGGTGTGTTTTTTGGTGCAAAGATGAAACTTTGCAGGTTTTTCATTTATTGCTTTGTTCTTTCTCCTTTCTTTAATTTTTTTTTTAACTATTTTATTTATATATAATATCCAGAATTAAACAGAAAATACAAAAAAAATTAAAAAATAAATAGAAAAAGCAATCTATTTTTCATTTGCTTTTGTTAATTTAAAAAAAAAAATTGCTGACAACTGTTTTTGTTATTTTGTAATTTATCTGAACTGTATATCGCCAATCGCCATATCTTCTTACAATAATATTCAATTTAATATTCGACATAAAAAAAGTAATAATTAACTTTTGGGAAAGAAACAAATAAATATGTTCCATACTTCCATTTCACGGGCTAATTTTATAATTTTTTGTTGAATTTTGGTAATAAATATTTGAATATATTATTAATAATTTATTTGTGATTTTGTGAAAATATAAAAAAAAAGTATATGTCTTTTACTTAAATTTTTAAAAATAACAATAAAATACTATTGAGAATATAGACAACAGAAATTCCAATTGGATTGCTTTTGTTTTATATATCTTGTTTCACCATTTATACAGAAATAAATAGGTAGCCATAGGTGCCAAACAAAAAGCATGTAGCATTTAAATAATTTGAATAGTAATTCACTTCAATAGTTACTACATTACTGCGTCACGTAATAAGACAGCTAATGATGGGCTGTAATATTTGTTAATTAGTTTAGCAATACTGTTACTATATAGCACACAGCACTTAATTCACAAATTGGCCTATATAGTGAAATAATGCATAGCATAGGACTAGGTCTACTATTATAATAGATGTCTTGCATTCGTTCAGTAGTTCTAGACTTCTAGTTAGTTAAAATAGTAAAATAGTCAGTATTGTTCAAATGAACAAGCAAGCATACGTTTATATCAGTAAGAAAAAAAAATTGTAATTTGTGATATTTTGATAAATTCAGGCTCGAATTATACAAGGTCATGTTTGTTAAGTTTAAATCTTTGTTACGATTTGTTTGAATATGAAAACAAATGGTCAAAGCTTTCTTTGTTATGGTTTTCAATCGGTTGTCTCAGTAAATTTTATGTTTGATAAAAAATGATTAAATTGGATTTGGCACTTTTACTACCTCTAAAATCTGTAATCAGTATCAGATACTGAATCAATTTTATCGTAGAAAAATACCAGTTGTGCTCCTTCATTATAATATTATAAACTTCTTATCCGATGTTAATCTCGATTTGAATAGTCAATTGAGAAAACCAAACAGATTAGAAGAAGGAAAGCGACAGGATGGAATTTCGGTCCAATTCTTTTATGTTCAGATCAGAGATAACTTATCAATCACTCCTCTGCCATTCTTTAACCAAACTGATAATTCTTGATTATTAATTTCATACGCGAAAATTATATTTTGAAATTAATTACCTAAACACTAAAGTATATGAAATCTCCAAACACGTTTGTTACTTCAAAAAAAATCAAAATTAAATTAAAATACGTGAATTCTGACGTTAAAACAATAGAATATCTGAGTATGTTAATTGGTATTGATGTTGTGTACCTTTATAAGCTACTTTACCCTTTGCTTTTACCGTAATGGCATCGATGCCTCGAGATACAACCATATGGTGCACCAAATCTTGGGACCATTACGATAAGAACCAAACAATTGGAGTATTACATTATTATTTTTTGTTTTTTATAAGAAATTTACACTGAATTCATAATTAATCAAAGCTATCTACATCTTTATCAATACTTTAATGGTAACGCCAATAATTCTTTTCTTTCGGGTTCCTCATCCAGCTGACACTAATGTCTGATCAAAATTCATGGATTTTTATTTAAATTTGTATAGACAAGTCAAGATATTATCGGCATCATGCCATTATTTGCATACCACACGTCGTCAAGAAATTCCACAAACATTTATATCTATAAACACAGATATGTACTATTGGCTTCTTTTTAAAATAATAAGAATTTATTTAGCTGGTAATCCGAGTATGGTTCATAAAATACTACTAGTAATCTTGCTTTTCTCTAACCTTTTCTTACCAAAATTCAACAAGAACGCATAAAGTGTGTCAATTATTTAGTAAAAAATAAAAAATCTCACGAGAAGTTTGTGTGAAATCCGAAAACCGACCTAACTCTGTCTTAATTGTCGCGAATGCAACGAGGCCTGTTAAACTTAAAACCTTAAACATGTGGTTAAAGATGTATATTAACAACCCATTCGAACATTTGAATGATATATGAACCTAATTAAGCCACGCCACTTGATAATTTAGGTCAACATTAATTACAGTACTTCAATTCTTCGTTTGGTTCACTTACCTTTTACTTTTCTTTGTTCCACGACTTTTGTTTTGTCTTTTATACAAGAAACTGAGATAGCAGGTTGTTCCAAGAAGAACAATTGAACAAAAAAAAAAGAGAAAACAAGTTTGATTATTCTCAATCGAAGAATATTATAGCTCTCAGTTTTGACTACTGACTAACATGTCTCATATTATGCGACGTATTTTACTATACAGAAAAGGCATATACATTATATACTATATGCTCGGTCGTATTAATATGTGCGTGGAATTTTCCTGAACAATCAATTTTATAAATGTGACGTAAATGTCAAACTAGTAGAAAAATCTTACGGCGTTTTCTTTTTCCTTAAAAACTGATGTTTCTTTTGTTGGAGCATGAATATTCATTCATACGTCGTCTCTGATCCTGTTGACAAAAAAAACCTACATGAAAAATATGCAAGTTATCTTTTTTTGTTAAAGAAAAATATGCAAGTTATTACCAACCAGAAAGATAAAGCTTTAACAACAAACAAAAAAAAAACAGAAAGATAAAGGGAAAAAGATTGGTATATCTGTCAAATAATTATGTTGTTACATAAGTAAACTTTCGAAGTCATGGTGCGTGCATGAATCATAAATGTGCTGATGTTCAAAAACTCTATGAATGTGTCATGTGTGGAAAACTTGGTTTGCTACTTCTTATTTATTTTTTTTTTTGACGACAAACGGCTATTCTATTACTCAAACTCGAGTTGGTGTGGTTACCCACCCCGGAACAGAATAACCAACAAAAGATAAGGACCTAGGGTACAACCTAGCAAGCTTAGCCAGATGATCAGCTTTACTAGTTGAAGCACGAGGGAGATACGAAATAGAGAAGGAGGAGAAAAGTTTTCGTAGACTACTGAACTCCTGCAACTCCGTTGAGAACTTTGGCCAGTCCTCTGGTTTCTCGATCATCTTTAAGACGTCTTGGCAGTCAGTTGCAAAGGCTTGAACGTTGGTATACTGCGCTGCACATTCCATAGCCCACATTAATGCTTCTAATTCTGCATGAAGAGGGGAGATGCGTCGTGGTTGGTTATGGATGCCTAGTAAGCGTTGAGTTCCATCTGGATCTATCCAAATCCATCCAGCTCCGCTGTGGGCTTGTTCTCGGTGCCAAGAGCCATCGACAATACATACATCTCTCAAGCGTATGGCTTGGGTTCCCGTCGTTGAAAGAAGTGGAGCTTTAGAATTGGCTTGGTGCCAAGCTCGACATTCAGCTACTGCATGGCGAACAGTCCCTAATGGGTCTCTGTTGATTCCACGGAAGAGTTTCTCATTGCGGGCTTTCCATATGAACCATATGATCCATGGAAAGGGATCACAATCATCCTCAGCATTATCCATGTTAGGTCTTCTCCAGAATAGATAGTCCATGTTCGTGTATATCCCAGACGAGGGAAATAAGCTTGGTGGCGTAAGAATGGGGGCAAGGGCCCACGTTTGAAGAGCTGGTGGACATTCAAATATGGCGTGGTTAATCGTTTCTTCAGGAGCTCCGCAGCGAGGGCAGTGATTATCACATCTCATCCCTCTGTGATTGAGGTTTTTAGTAACCGCTAAGTAACCTGAAATGATTTGCCATAAGAGGTGCTTAATCTTGTAAGGGGCCTTGCTCTTCCAAGCTTGAACTTGTAAAGGTCGGATACTTGGTTCCGAACATGTTTCTTCTGCTGGATTGAGTAAATTTTTTGCCACCCAATACCCTGATTTTACTGTATAGAGACCGCTCTTAGTATAGCCCCAACTAAAGCTATCCATGTGGAAAGTCTTGTTGATGGCTATACTTCGTATCAGGGGAATGTCCTCTGGCTCCATATATTCTTCTAACATCTCTACATTCCATGCCTTTATCTCTCTGTTTATGAAGTCGCTAACGGTCATTCTAGGATGGACAACTGGGATCCTTGGATTTGCATGTCTAGCTGGGATAGTTGGGATCCAAGGATCCTCCCAAGCTCTAGTATTGAGTCCAGAGTGAACTTTCTGCAGGATTCCCATTGTTAGCAATGGTCTAGCCGCTAGAATACTTCTCCATCCGTACGACGGAGAGTCAGTGTGGCCAGCTCTAAGTGGTGTGCTGTAAGGGAAGTATTTTCCTCGCAAGACTCTTGCCAACAAGGAGTCCGGAAACCGTAAGAGTCTCCATAATTGCTTTGCTAACAGGGCTAGATTAAAGTCATGGATGTCTCTGAAACCTGTTCCACCCTCCTCTTTTGATATGCACATTTTATCCCAAGTTGCCCAATGAATTCCTCTTCTTTCTGCGTCAGAGCTCCACCAGAATCTTGCTATCGCACTTGTGAGCTGATCGCATACCTCCAACGGGAGTAGAAAGCTGGACATGACGTAGGTTGGAAGTGCCAGTGCTACTGATTTTATCAAAATCTCCTTCCCTCCTTTAGAAAGCCATTTTGATCTCCATCCATTTACTCTGTTTTGGAGGCGCTCCTTGATATACGCAAAGAGTTTACATTTTGATCCACTAATGTCTTCTGGGATTCCTAGATAGGTCCCCATTCCCCCTTCGTTTTGGATTCCGGTTATAGATTTGATGTGTGTTTTAGTAGATCCGGGAACCCTCTTGCCAAAGAGCAGTGAGGATTTTTCAAAGTTTATGCGTTGTCCTGAGGCTTTACCATACTTATGTAGGATGGAGAGAACTTCACTGCATTCACGGGGCTCCGCCTTGCAAAAGAACAGGCTATCGTCGGCGAAAAGAAGGTGAGATACCGGTGGACTGGCACGTGCCACTCGCATTCCAGTTATCTTACTTCCGTTTTCCGCCTCGTTTAGCAGGGCTATGAGTACTTCCGTGCATATAATGAAGATAAAAGGAGACAGAGGATCTCCTTGTCTCAGTCCTCGTTTTGGTATAATGTTACCTCGGGGCTGTCCGTTGATGAGCACATGATACGACACTGATGTAATGCATCTCATTATCCATCTAATCCATGTCTCTGCAAATCCCATCTTCCTCATAACAGCCTCAATGAAATCCCATTCAACTCGATCATAAGCTTTACTCATGTCGGTTTTTATTGCCATTCTCTTATTTCTTCCTCCGGGATTTGTCCTCAGTGCATGGAATAATTCTTGTGCGATCAAGATATTATCTGTAATTTGTCTTCCCGCGACGAAGGCCGATTGGGTCTCTGAGATGAACTTGGGGAGTATCCTTTTTAGACGTTGGCACAATAGTTTCGATATGATCTTGTAACTTACGTTACATAAGCTTATTGGTCTAAATTGACTCATTTCTTGAGGTTTCTCCTTCTTGGGTATGAGACAAATGTTCGTCTCATTGATTCCCGGTACAATGGTACCTTCCGCCAAAAACTCATTCACCATACGGGTGATGTCTTGTTTAAGGATGTCCCAGAACTTCTGATAGAACAGTGCGGTCATGCCGTCTGGACCCGGTGCCTTCTCTGGATGCATTGCAAAGAGAGCATCCTTGACTTCATTTTCTGTCACCGGTTTTGTAAGAGTCTCGTTCATGTTGTCGGTGATGACAATTTTAACCTTGTCAAGTGTTGCCTCGATCTCTACTGGATTTGATGTTTCGAAAAGACCACGGAAATATCTTGTAGCAATGGCTACAATTCCTTCTTCATTTTCTTCTCTCTGGCCTTGTTCATCAATCAAACTAGTGATACGGTTTCTTGCTCTTCTTTGTTTTGTTGCGGCGTGAAAAAATTTTGAGTTTCGGTCTCCTTCTCGTAGCCACAGCACTCTGCTTTTCTGTTTCCAGAATAGTTCTTCTGATCTCAAAGCTTCATGTAGCTCCTTCGTTGCCTCTGAAATCTCTTCAGTGGTGGCATTCCCGTCACTGTACAAGGAATCAAGCTTATCCTTAAGTTCTGTTATATGCTTTTCTGCATTGAGATCATTTTGGCTCCGCCACCTTCCGAGAGCTTTCCTTACACTTGAGATTCTGGTCATTAAGTTAGCGTCAGGTGGGAGAGAGGACGACCATCCATCTTGGACCACCGCTGAGATTTCTTCTCTGTCCAGCCATCTCCTATCAAACCGGAAAGATTTTCTCCGTCGTATAGGTTTGCTGAGAATGTTAGCAAGTACTGGCCGATGATCTGAGCCCCATAATCTTAAGTACTGAACATTTGAATGCGGGAAACTTTCGTGCCAGTCTTCGTTTCCTAATGCCCGGTCGAGTCGGCATCGCACAAGTGTGCGTCCTCTTCTTCCAACCCATGAGAGTTGGTTTCCTGAGCAAGGAAATTCTAACATTCCGCAATCATGTATCATTTGATTGAAAGGAAGGAACGATGCGTCGGGTCTTGTTCTACCTCCTTGTTTCTCATGGTGTCCACAAATTTCATTGAAATCTCCTATCATGAACCATGGTCCATTGCGATTAACTGCGAAACGCGTAAGACGTTCCCATACGAGTTCTCTTTGGTCTTGGACAGGGTCACCATAAACAAAGGTCATGAACACTTTATTTCCATCAATAACTGCTTCTACATCAATCATACGATTGTTTGAGAATATAACATTAACTTGGAATTCATCCATACATAGTAAAGCTAAACCACCGCTTAGGCCATGAGGCTCTACGGTAAACAGACTATCATAACCTAAATCAACTTGAATGCCTTGGAGCACAGATTTCTTATTCTTCGTCTCTGATAGGAATATTAAACCAGGATGATACTTTTTGTGCATCTCCTCTAGGCGTCGAACTGTGAGGTCATTCCCAATCCCTCGACAGTTCCAACTGAGCGTCCTCATGGATGTGGACTGGGTGGTTTCTGGGAAACCACCAAACCAACTTCTTGAGCAATAGAGCTTTTGGGGGCTTTAGACGTCTTACTAGAGGGGTAGAGGACACTCAAGGGAGGTACCTCCTTGGGGGCTGAGGTTGATGTGTTGTTTGGGATGCTGCGTTTACGTGGAGACCCTCGACGGAGGATTCCTTCTTCGCGAGGCTGCCTGACGGGAATAGGTTCCTAGGAAGCTTCTTTGTGGTTGCCGCTTTTTGAGATTCCTTGTGCTCTCTTGGTTCCTTTGCCCTTTAGACTTTACTTTGGCTTTGAAGGCTGTGATGGTCTCGTTGAGGCTGTCCTCATGTGAGCCACTCGGAGCGTTGGATGATTGCTTTTCCTCAGATTGCCTCTTCTCAGATTCCATCCACTCTAAGTCTTCTCCTAGAAAATCATCATCCAACAAGTCTTCATTATCTCCATTTTCCTCGTTCACTCCTTGCTCGTCATTTTCCTCATCTTGGAGAGCTCCAATCATGATGTCATCATTTGACGATTTTGGGTTTTGGTCTTCCTCCATAAGAGAAGGAAACTGGTTCTCATCAGGTGGTATGATGTGGGTGACCTCTTTGTCTGTTTGTAAGGTTATGTTTCTTCCTGCCTCACAAAGGTGAGATTGGACTTCCTCTGAGATTCCATCTTTTCTGGTTGGTTCATTCACGATGGGTGGCGCTTTGGAAAGGTGGCTCTTAAGAGGTTGTGCCTTTTCTCCTTGGGGTTCCTTATCTGTTCTGGCCTTTTTTCCTCGATCTGATGTCCTTCCTTGATTATCCCTTCACGGTTTTCCTCTGGTCTTGTTTGATTGCGTTTGATCCACGAGGATCGATGGTCTTCTTGTTCCTTACGACGGTAAGGAACTCCGTGTGACAAGCGGTTATCCTTGGGATATGTACCCCTGTGGTTTGACTCTCTATGGTAAGAGGTGCCTCCCCGATTCTCTCTTGAAGAGTGTCTCGATCTGTGGACTAACTCCTCCCGTCGTCCATTGTCCTTGGGGTATGAGGAGCTTCGGTTTGCCTGTCGCACCAACATGTTTCTGTTAGGGATTCGTTCCTCTTCATTGTAGCTTGACCTTGGCGTTCCTTTGTTGCGTTCACTGTGGCGTTCTTCTTGACGTTCCAGATGGCGTTCGCTGTGTGTATTGGTCTGGCTCGGTCCAGCTTGAAGTCGAGAGAAAATTCCTTGGCGGGTAGACTGTCTCTGAGCATTGATTTCTTCTTCCTTAATAGGACAAGACTGGACCTCATGTGTCATGAATCCACAATGTGAGCAGAATTTGAACAGCCTGTCGTACTTGATCTGTATTGTAGCTTCGTCTCCGTTATGGCATCGGATCTTTCTTGTGAATTTCAGGGGCTTTCTACTGTCAATGGAGAGTAGTAGTTTGCCTTCATCCACATTGACTTCATGGATGTGCCCCAGCTTGTCTCCAATGCTCCTGAGGTTGGTCTCGGTCCATAGATGTAGTGGAATACCCGAGAGCTGTGTCCAGAAGGTCATCTCCCATGGGTAATCATCATGAACTATAGGTTCCCATCGGACTAGGACAAACATCCAAAAATTGTAGTGGAACGGTCCTAGCTCTAGGACTGTCTGTAAGTCCTCCTCTGTTTCAAAGTTGAAAAGAAAGTTCCTTTACCCAGATCCATGGCGGTGATTCTGTCTTCTAAGCCCCAATGTTGAGGCATAAAGCCAATCAGCTTTTCGACATCTTGTTTCTTGGGATTTAGAACCCTTCCAATGAGCGACAATCCATACTCCTGGATGAGATTGAGATTGTCTTGCTCTGGTAGCTGAATCGGTTCATCGTCGTCCTCCATAACTATGTTTTTTCCTTTGTAGTTCGCCATTGGAGACTGAACTTTCGTAAGACCTTCCAAGTGGAAGTCTTGAGCAGTCTCAGGTGAGACTTTTAGCTTCGCAGGGTCGTTTGCTGTGTTGTGGCCTCCGTTGTTGTTTATCCGATCTCTAGATCTGTCTTTGGAGAGCGTAGATCTGGTGAGATTTTGAGAGAAGGAGTAGATTTCGAGAGAGAGAGGTGGCGGATCTAGTAGTCGAGGTGAGATGTGGTAACTACGGTAGAGGATCTAGCTTAAGGAAGCTTCAAGATTTCCTGCCGATTGAGACTTTAAGGTCGCCGCCGCTCTCGAGAGAAACTAGGGTTTTCATTGCTTTGGTTTGCTACTTCTACAATGCATTTGTTCATAGAGTAAATAAAAAATTTCAAGATTAAGAAAAATTGTACAATAATGACTAACCGTAAGAGTAAAAGGCCCATTTGGGGGGATCCATAAATTTGTCGACCAGTTCTAAAGTTAGGAGGTCCCTTCCGATTTAATTGAGTTTAGCTTTTTTTCTCACTTATCAATTATCACTTCATTTTCTCTCACTTCTATTGTTTTTTAATGCATATATGTCTACGTCAATTGTCTTATTAGTTATTAGTAACCTATATGTTAGATGGTTTGGTCCATCTCTGACTTTGAAAGGTACTGGCTTGATAACGGGATGGCGATGTTTTAAATAATTCGAAATTGAAATTTTAATCTGATTCCACCTAATGAATCGAATTATTCATGTTATTTCAACTGATAAACTGAGTCGAGTTTATGTTGTTGTTCGATATGGCTACTCCACTCGAAGACTGATCATTGGCGTTCACTATAAGAATTTCACTGAATAGCTACAACCACTGGTCAACTGTCAACTTTATTATAATTTAAGTATTAGATCAAAATGTAATTAATTTTCCATAATCATACCTTCACAAATAGGCCAGAAAATTACAACAACTAAATAGTGTTACAAGTTTAAATAGCTTCTTAGATCTTGTTGCATTCTCATAAGATAGTCATACAAAAGATGTTCATTATAAATAAAACAAAAAGATAACTAGCATTCTAAACGGTCACTATGACACAATTTCCTTAATAATCAATCAACAGCCTCCTTGAAATTGAAATTTATAGTAGAAACGCCGTCTCTACTGTCTGACAAAGATATTGTAACATTCCCAAAATCCAAATGAATGAGCATGTTGTCAACTTACCATCAACAAACATCTTTTACTCGATCATAAATAAATATGAAAGTTGTGTCCATAAATAATTAAACCAATTATTTAAGCATAAACTCAATTGGGATCACATTAATGATCTTGGCTCTGCAGTAGAAGGTTATTCTTGGACACAACATGTTAGGTTCTGCGTTTTACCTTTCCACATAATTATTGCTCAAAGTTGTATGATGATATTCTAGGAATATTGGAAGTGGCATGGTACTTTTTGATGTAAACCTTATAGTATATTTTTGTTTGTTTCCTCAAAATTATTGTTTTGGTTCTGATTTATTTTCGAGTTGTTTAATAGTGATTTATCAAAGATGATATTTGTCATAGTTCTAAAGGCAAACGCAAAAAAAAAACTCAATTTGTTTTATAAACTTTGGTAAAACAAAGATACGATATACAAAATTAATGCTCATTATGTTTTGATAAGAGTTGGGGAAAGGTTTGGACCAATCACAATTCATCATGGTACTAGAGGCAAAAGCTATTATACAAGTGTTGAACTAAACTTTTGTGCAGGGCATGAGTATATGTGAATTTTTTGAAAGAGCCTAAAAAATATTATAAATCAATCAAAACCAACAAAAAAATAGTCTTCCAAAACTAATAGTAGTTTATCAATTTGGCAAAAGTTTGTGATCGATTTCCCTATTTAGTTTACATTTAGCTATTGTTGTATCCACATCATAGATACTTAAATAAGTGAATAATACTCCGTTCATGTTGGTGAATGTTTGCGATGTGTTGATTTGTACATTTTGCTTATGTAGTACTCACATCGTCGAGAAAGAAAGCGAATAGTGATCAAATGGTTCTTATCGCGTTGGTAAAATTTTGTGATTGATTCGTGGTGAATCTGGTGATAGTACATTTTACTTTTGTCGTATTCACACCGCTGCTACAAACTTCAATAATTTGGAGTTCACATCAACGAAACGTAAGGACATATGCATGCACACGGTTGGGAATAATTTAAGAAAATTTAAGTGTATTATAATAATTTGTATCAGACACTAGTCTCTCAACAACCAAATCTTTTAAGTGTCTTGTCATTTTGTGGGGTCCATCCGTACCATCTTTTAAAAATAAATCTCAAAGTACATGCATATGTAAAGTGAATCGGAATAATTACACCCAAAAAAATAAACTGAAGGCTACAAGAAAATAAATAAAAGGGCAAGAACAAGTACGATTGCGTGAGTGAAAAGGAATAGTAAATTAATGAATGTTAAAAGTAAAAGTAGACAGGAAAAAGAAAAGGAACAAACGCGTTCCTTTGATTAATTGTATTGTGTTGAAAGTTGTGTATGATGTTTCTATGAAGTTTCTAGTTTTGCTACCTACGTATGTATACTTGGATCCTACAAAACCTCATAGGATGGATCTTAGAAAGACACCACAACAAACTTTGCGGGTTCTTTTCTTTGAATTCACACTAACAGATCGCTCGGTCTTGCACTCTCCCATTTTCCTGATCACACTATCTCCTAGACCCATAACTTTTTCACACGAGTAGAATTGTAAATATCTTGGAAAGAAATATGTGTATTTTGCAGATCCACGATTGAAAACTATCAAAACCCAACACATCTTTGTTCTCCAACTTTCTCCATTAAGTAGTTCAAACTTTGTAAATTGTAAATAATATGAAAGTATAAAATTAGTTTGTTACTCTTTAGTAGATTCGATAGTAATAATATTTCACGTTTGTTTTGGTATTAATACAAGTTATAATGTAACAAATATTGGAAGAAATGCCAAGGAAGTCTTAATAGAACTTTAATTTTAAGTTTCTTTGAATGTTTACATAAACAATTGTTCTAGATATTTTGGGGAAAGAGTGATATTGTTAAACAGAAATTAACACAAAACACGATGAAAAGAACATCACGATGTAAGTGCCTAAGAAAAGATGGTGAGAGAGAGAAGAAAAGACAAGTCCATGGTTTAAAAGGCCTACAGGTGAGAAATCAGCATCATGCATTAATGGGTTCCTAACTTCGGGATCCAGTTTATTAGTAAAAGTCCGATTAAAGCCAATCTTCCAAAGGTGGGTCCGGTCAACTACTGTGACACATGACCCAACCTGAATCGTAATTTGTCCCATTGCAAAAAAAAAATGAAAAGACCACGAGAGAGAGAGAGAGAGACTTGATCTACAAATGTAATCCAAAGAGTCTTGTTATGATCTTATCCACAAATCTAAGTCGGTCACTTTTACTATTTTACTGACATACATACCACAAGTATCAGAATTCCGAAGAAGCCCAATACTTTCTTTTGATTGATCATCATTATTGAGATGAATCTGATTCCGTGGAACATAACTGTACTGTACTCAAGCAAGGCTTAATTCAGTTGCAAGACACTAATGTGATGTAAAATGACTTTGTTTTAAGAAAAACAACACAATCCAATGCATACAATTTTGTAGAACCAAAATGGAGCCTGTTCTAACTCCAACACTGTTTCCATGAACCCCAAAACAACCCCCAAATCTCGCAAATGTCACCTGTGATGACACTTTTGTGACACCCACTCAACATATAGACTCAACACGACTCAGCAAAATGAATATGACACTGACAAAAACATGTATCGATTTTAAATATGAAGAAAAAGAAAGCCAAGTCTTCGATGGATTTCAAACACTACCTCGGCCTTGTGATCCATGTCTGCATCTTAAGCTGAGGGAACAGAGTCCTCAGTTTTCTTTTCTTCAACAGCTTTCTCTTTCTCTGCCTCTGCTGATGCTACCTTCTCCACTGGTTTCTCCTCGGTTTTCTTCTCTTCCACAGTTAACTTCTCAAGAAGACCAGCTGTATCAGAGGCCTCTTTGCTCTCTTCTTTCTCTTCTGTAGATTCAGCGACTTCCTTGAACTTTTGCATAAATGCTTTACAGTCTGATCAGGCAAATAAAAAAGACTTTATTAATTATGCAGCTCTACAATGAATAAGTTTTACAGGATCAACAATGCGGAAAAGCGTTACAGGCAAAACATCACATGATACAAGATTCAGAGAAACAGTTTCCGATTCTACACAGCTCAACATTAGGGCACAGGAATGGTTTCCTCTCTATTCAGATCATATACTTGAAGCTATATCGGTAACTTTTAAATACAGCTAAAACTCCAGTTTGATTATCATCATTCATCAAGCAACAACCAATTATCAGGTCAAAAATGGCCAAAGATATAAGCTTCGAGAACAACCAAAACATGTTACTCATATATGGCAACATCACTAAGTTCAAGAACCTCCAGTGATCTAACCCATACATCGACAATACATGCACTCTAGAAGACTCTTGACAAGGATTAATCAAAAGGTTTAAAGCAACTATTAAGGATGCCACAATGACATATTCACAAGATGGATCAGTGTATAAGCAACAATCAGCTAATGAGATCCAATAAAAAAACAAAGTAACAAAATCCACACTCACTCTCAACTGTTGCGAAACGGATACAGAAAAGCTCGTCCTTCAATTCACCATCTGAGAAATCACGAGCGTTCCATACGCATGACTTGTCATTCCCAGCGTGTTCCTGAACAGTCATGCCCGAAGTAACTGCAGAAAGATCCATAGGAGAAGATCAAATGAGTAAAAAGTGTGTATTACAAAATTCAGATCCAGAAGCGAAACGTAGAGTAAATGCTTTACCGAGATGATTAGCACAGATCTTCAGAGTTTTCGATTGCCTCATCACGAGACGGATCTTTCCGGAATCCTTACGCTTTAAGAACTTGACAGTACCAGCACCTCTCTCCTTCCACTGACTCCCATCTTTATCGAACCGATACAACTTCGATTTCCTACAGATTCGCAAATCAAAAATCCCAAACAAAACTAAACCCTAGAACTTAAGAAGCTACAGAAACGATCAGATCCAGTACAATCAAATCAAGCGATCGGATATTGACTCAAGTAAGGATATACATACAGATCGAGGATGGCATCTTCGTCTTCTTCACCGGTAGTGACGGCGACTTCTTCGAGCCTAACGATCGGAGCAACTTGAGCACCGGTGTCTTCATCCTCGTTGGCTCCGGCCTCTTCCTCGTCTCTCTGCTCGTGCTCTGGCTCTTTGCTAATGCTCGCCATCGTATCGAATCGGATCGAATCACAATCAAGCTTGCTCGTAGGTTCACTTGTCGATTACACAGTGCTTTACTTCGTTACTAGATTGATGGAGAGAATTCAGCGAGTTTTGTAGAAAGCAAATGAGATTTTTATACGAGACGGTGCTTTGATAACAACTAAATGGCTTAGGCCCACCTCCATTCTGGAAAATAACCATGGGCCCATTGGGCCTATTTATATATAATTTTGACAACAAAAGCAAAGAGAAAACATGGAATACTACAGCATACTTCATGAATGATGATCATTTTTTTATATCGTAGAACTGTAGAAGTCTAGAGGTAAAATAAAAATGTCAAAAAATGTTTCGAATCAGTTTCGAGAAAAAACATTAAAAGATAAAAGAAAAAGCTGTTTGTTGAAATAGCCAAACATCAAAAAACTCAAACTCTAGGGCTCCACAGTGGTAACCTGTTCCCACTCACCGTCGACAGCCTCTTTCCACACGGTGACGTTGTTGTTCCCATCGGAAACAGCCAGCAAGTTACCGGTCAACGACCACGAGACACGCCACACGGGAGTCATAAAGTCCTTGAGAACCTTACCTTCCCATTGCTCACCTTCTTTCCCCACAGTCCATATGATCACTTTCCCATCTTGCGAACCACTAGCTATGGTCGACTTAGGGAGACCCAAGTTCGGTGCCCAAGCCACGTCACGGACCCAATCAGTGTGCTTCTGAAGCGCCGGGAAGCAATCCATCTTCCACGACCCGTTAGAGAGCTTCCACACTTTCACCGTGTTGTCACACCCACCGGAAGCCAGCTTGAAAACCGGGTCGAGCAAGCCGGAGCTCACAAGAGCACCAGGGGCAGTCGACGGAGCCCATGTGACCGAAGTGACTCCAACCGGGTGAGCTTGGTCGATCTTGGTTGTGTCCCAGCCACCATCAGCACGTAGTGTGAAAACCGAGATGTTTCCATCGGATGACCCGCAAGCCAAGGATAGTCCGAGCTCATGAGGAGCCCAAGCAATGGAGTTGACTGAGGATTTGTGGTCTGTGAAGATGTGGTCTTGAGTCCATTGGTTTTGGTTGCCTTCTTTCCAGAGTATGATTTGACCATCGTAGGAGCATGAAGCGAGGTATGATCCGAACTTTGGGTGAGCCCATGCGACCTCCCAGACAGGACCTCGGTGGCCGGATAATGTAGCTAGGTGCTGCGATGTACCGTTGTTGCTGACTCCGGTTATCTTGATGGTGCAGTCAGATGAGGCGGTTGCAACTCTCTTCCCGTAGTAGTCCATTTGCACATCGTGGATTACGTCCTCGTGACCCGTTTCAATCTTTTGGCCTGGCATGTTTCAGGTATTGATTTTTCCCTGCAGCTAAAAGTAAAAATTCCAAATTGTTAAATAAGAACACAGAGATCACAAAGTAGAAGCTTAGATTTGACGATTCATTGAACGAAGTTTCAGTCAGAGAACGAAACCATGAAGCAGCCAATTCTCAGATCACAATTTTAATCTCAACCAAACAATCACGATTCATCAACATTGTAATTGCAAATTACACATGATACCCAGAAATGAGACTATCCGAGTAGTGAATCCTAGGATCGAAACTCGAGTCGCAGATCCTATGGGTGCGAATTTCCTAATCGAATCGATTCAAGCATAAAAAAATCGAAAACTAAGATATCGAATCCGAATCAGAACAGAACTGGATCCAACATATGAGTGATAATTGTAGAAACGCATTCAATTAGACGGATCACGAGGTATAAGTCAAATGAAGGAAGCTCCCGATCGAACGGAACCCTAGCTTAGATTTTTGACGATACAGCTCAAAAAGATAGAGAGGAAGAAGAACGAAATGCGGAAAAACAAATCAAGGAAGAGATAGTGTACCTGAAGGCACGATCGATCGACTGAGAGACGCCGGAAACTGAGCTGAAGAAGAAGATCGACGGAGATGGAAACGCTTAGGGAGAGGAAAATTGTTTGTATAAGCCGATTAAAACTTAGATCTGGCTTTTTCCGAAACAACGGTTATTTAAACCGGATTGGTCAAATATAAAACCGGAGAAAAAGAGAGCTATCCTTTATGTCACTTGACAAAATAAAAAGTGACATGTGTCATGTATAACAAAAACAACTAATCCTTTTTTAGGTTTTGCCATGTTACCTCAGATTAAAAAACAAATGAAAATCTATCTACTACTAATAAAACTTGACACTATAAATATTAGAAAGTGTCCACGCATAATTGAAAACACTTTTTTTTTTTTTGTCAACAGCCTAAATTCCTACAACGGCTCGGGGAGCGATGTTGGTGGAATTGAGTTGATGTAGTACACATTATGAGGCTGAGCTCGAGCACTCCGTGCTAGCTTGTCTGCCTTCGTGTTTTGTGATCTGGGGATGTGTGTAAGGGAGAACGCCTGGAACATCCTTCTGCATTTCTCCATTTCTTCAAGCAAAATCTCAAAAGCTGGCCACTCTGCCGGTTTGGACACCATCTCACCAACTGAGCACAGTCTGTTTGGAAATTCATCCGTTGTTTATTATGGGCTAACATACTTTGCATAGCCCAAACCAATGCCTCCAATTCCGTCTGTAGGGGAGATAAACCCCGCCGTATTGTACTGGATCCACCAAAGTTGAGCCCGATTCCGGATCAAAATTGTACCACCCAAGTCCTGCCCTAGACTCCGTCACTTTCCATGCCCATCAATCTGACACCACTCACCCAACAGGACGGGCCGGGATGTGTGGAGATATCGAAGTGCACTCTTCAGTTACCGTTTGGGCCGCAGCCCATGCACGTGCTTCCGTTATCGCAGATTCCATACGTCCATTGGACTATGATCATCATTTGAGAAAACTTATAATTTCGGGCTTTCCAAATGAACCAGAGTAACCATGGATACATCAACATATCATCATTGTCTGGGAGATTCCAGAAAAGGTGAGCCATATTCGAGAAAGTGCGTCCGTAGGGAAAATCAAGGGAGGCGTTGGGATGGGTGAGAGGGCCCAAGCCTGGCGAGCCGGGGGCACTCAAAGAGCATATGATTTATAGTCTCATCTCCCATTCCACATCGCCCACATTGCGGGTCCACTCGCATTCCCCGACTGCATAGCCGGGCCCCAACCGATAAACAACCGCTAATAATCTGCCACAGGAAATGTTGAGCTTCGTAGTACATTTTATTTCCAGGATTGTGCTTGCAGTCTCCGGACATCCGGTCCGAAAACTGGTGGAACCCCCTCATCTGAGGGCCTGCAAAACACTGTATCCCGACTTAACCGTATAACGACCCGTTGGTGTGAAATACCACCCCAGGTATCAGGTTTGTATCCAGTGCCACTGGGATACTTGTAATGCGAGTAATTTCCTCACTCTCGAACAATTGTCGCAATAGTGGTCGATTCCACGTTGATGTCTGGAAATTAATTAACTGATTCACCGTCAGTGAGGATAGTAATTAATCCCTTTGCAGATGGCTGGCCTCGGGCAAGAATCGGAAATCCAGGGGTCATATCATACAGAAGTGGATGAACCCGAACCAATTCTTTTAATAAGTCCTTTGTATACCAGAGGTCGAGCAGAAACAATACTCTGCCATCCATATGACGGAGAGTAAGAGCGGATTGGGTCTAAGAAAATTAAGTTTATATCTGATTAACAAAAATTCCAATTTTTAAATATGTAAAAAATAAGAAAATTAAGTATACTCCCTCTGTTTTATTATATAAGGGTTTTAAGGTTTTTGCACACAAATTAAGAAGTAATTTAATTTTTGTACTTTTATCAATTCCAAAATATCTCAACTAATGACAAGATAATCTGAAGAAATATAAATAATCAAAAGTAACAAAAATACATGATTTTAAACAACGAATAATATCATTCCACATCATCATTAAATTTAATTAGTTATTTTTCTTTTTTATATTTCAAAAAAAATATTAATTAAATACTTAATAAAATAAAGAAATTATATTTTTAAGTTACAACAAAAAGAAAACTGTGTTATAGTAAAATATTTATTATTGAATTTTAAACAACTAATATTATAATATTATTAGTACATATAAGCTTATCTACCACTACTAATTTTTCTAATACAACAAATTAAAATTTTGCGAAGATACGAAGGAATGACACGAAACCAAACAAGAGCAAAAATAAGGAATAAAGAAGAGCGAAGACGAAGATGAAGAAGAGCAGAATCAAAGATGACTAGAGATGAGTGGAGATGAATAAGAAACACAATAAGAACAAAGAAGAAATCAAAGCAAGAGAAAACATATAAACAAGAATGAAGAAGGAAATGAAGAATAACAATATGCGTCGATTAGTTTCTCTTAAACAAATTTTATACTCCTAAAAATCATACCTAAATATTAGCTTATCTATAATAGTATGAGCTTCTCTAGCTTAATTTTTTTTTTAAGTTTGGCTACATATCAGATAGTGAAAATTTGTTCTATATAAGATTAAAGAGACTTATAATAAACATATTTACAAAGATATAATCATAGAGAAAAGAAAAGAAAAAATTACCAATACAAATAAAAAGAAGAAGCTGGAAGAAACAAACTCTAACGAAACAAATTAATCATAGAGAAAATAGAAGAATAAGAATCAAGAAGAGCAAAAATAAAAAGAAAATTAAGTAAATGAAGAAACGCGAAGACGAAGATAATATATAACGAAAACATAAAAGAAAACAAAAAGATAAAGGCTAAACAAGGAAACCAAATAAAAAAAAAAAAAGACAAAACCAAAGAATATGAAATTGAACCCTATGATTAACTATATCTTTCTGATCACATAAATTCAATTATTTATATTATTACCTGACATAAATTTAAGGGTTCAATGTTAGATTTTAGGATTTTTGGTTTATATTTTAGGGTTTAGAGTTCTTCTACTCCATGAAAAATGTGTAGTTTTGAAAATAAACACCATAGAGGTGTATTTTTGAAAATTTGCACCTCAAAAGGTGTAGTTTTGAAATTTCCCCTATAAAGATCTAGGTTTTAGTTTTTAGAGTTTCGTAATTGTTAAATTTTGGTAAATTAAAGATCTATAATTCTATATGAGATTACTCTAAACTTATATTATTATATATTATATATGTATACTATATACTATTATATTAATATATAGAATTATTTGATTTTTTCGGTTTTTGTGGTTAGTTCGGTTAATATCCAAACCGATATCAATATCCACGGTTTATATAAAATTGCATCCATACGATTTTTACGATGTATCCAAATCCAATCCATATGACTTATTTTGGTTAGGTTCGGATCGGTTCAGTTCAGTTTTACCAAATTGAACAGTCTAGATTAAATTAAACAAGAAAATAAAAAAATTCATCGGATTGAGCTGATAAATCATGGGCCATGGCTACTGTTGCTATATGGGCTTTCTGTGTCTACTTATTTACCTTTTGTTTCCTCTATTGAGTTTTCTGGAGCAGCTATTTAAACTTCATATGCAGCTTTGTCCATAGTTCACAAGTTTAATTTGAATTTCAGCGATAAATGGCACAAAAATACACATGTAATAGCAAAAAATCATCGAACTTCATATGATGATTTTGTTCCCAATTAATTATGAATCGTCGAACTCCATAAATCTATTTAAAATTGTCACAAAACTTGCATAATAGCGTAGGGATGAAATTCTGTGAATGGAAATTTTTTTTTTGATTTTGAGTTGATTCATTAGCGTAGGGATGGAACATAAATACTTATAATATGATCAATCCAAATCCCAAAGATCCTTCCAAACAAACGTGTTGTCAAATAATTTCTCAAAAAGTAGCTAGTTCACTAAATCTTTCGATCAATAGCTTTATTTACTAGTGTGCATATTTAGAACAAGCTAAAATCCATGTCGAAAACAAATTTGGTTCAATGTGCTTCAAGAATGGTGAACGAGTTTACTTTTATAGTAAGATAGATTTTTAATGATTTTTTTAATTCTTGATCTATGTAGGCAGAATCTGCGTGGAAATTTTATAAGCCATAAGCTTACACAAAAATTTGAGCCTATTAAATAGGGAGTTTAGGAAGACAAAAAACATTAAAAAATGGATGGTAAATCAAAATTTTACAAATATCATGATTGTATATTTGTATTGGAACTTTAAGCCCAAACTCGTTTTAAAACGTAGTTTAATGGCTCAACATTGTAGGATTGATGACAGTTTTGAAAGATTGTGTCATAGAGTTCTTGGCAAAGCGCCGATTATTGAAAACCATAGCAATTGCTGAATCCTACAATGATATGAGCTAGTTTTATGTTTTCAACGATGGATGAGAGAAGAGCTTAGGATTACGATGTTCTTCTTCTCTTTTTGAGCCTCTCAACTTTTGACTTCAGTCTCTCTGTTTTTAAGAGTCTGAAAATGATCTGCTTAGAATTTGAAAACAAGAGTCAACTAGTTTAAATATCTTACAACATGTTGTTTCTCTTCTATTTAAAAACATGTTCGTATGCACAAAAATCATCTCATTTTTGTATATTATAGAAAATCTTTTTGTTATTTATGATTCATATGATAGAAAAAGGAAAAATAAATCTCAATCTGAATCGGAAACCAAGGTTCGCTCTGAGAGTCGTGAAGGCGGTAAAGGAGTGGGAAATTGTGTAGAGGTAAAAAATCTTCCTCACCATCGATGACGGCAGACGATAGAAGGTGTAACCAATTGGTTGAGAGACTACACAAATGATGTTTTGTGCTATTCGTGGCGCCCATTTTAATTGAATTTTGCTTTAATTGTTGATGATTTGGAGAGGCGTAGCTAGAAAGATCGATAACATGGAATGATTGATTGCTTGCCATATGATTGCACTTGTTTATATCATTTGTATTGAATCCTCTTCACTTGTTTTGCAGACTATTTGGCAATCTGATTTGTTGTGAAATCTTGGTGACTTTAACTAGGGAAATCTGGACTACAAAGATGGTTGTATATTCGTAATGGAACCGCAAGCCAGTATATGGCAACCTTATATTGTAACATTTGGATAGTAGCCCGCTGACGACCCAAAACGTATACATACATGCATTTGTTCTGTTTCTTCTCTTTCTTACCTAAAAAAAGAACAACTAGCCTTACCAGTGAAGCCTTCGAAACTTATTCAGCTCCTGCTAAACCATTCGTTATCCCCTCCAGGCCTCCTTCTGTTTTTCCTGGCATAATAACATGTTATAATTGTGTTACAAAAATTATGATTCCACGATTTGAAAATTTACCAACTAAAGCCAAAATTTTAAAACCTTGAAATGATTAGTTTCATACGTTCAATTTTTAGAACACCGTCTTCGTTTTAAATGAAAATATTACAAGTCTAATTATATAACACAAAAACATGGTTAAATCATGCATGATAATGAAGCAAAAAAACATGAAATAACACATGTTTGGCCATGCAGTTGCCTCAAAGTACTAGTGTAGTGGAACAGTTTCCTACATAATGGATTTTAAGAATTGGACAAGAAGAGACGTTATTTGTTGGGATTATAAGCTCAACAAGATGTTTCTCTGTTACTTAGTCTGATACAAATTTTAAACTTAGCAAGTTTGACGTATTCCAACGAACATCACCCCCCACTCCAGTATAATAACGCGAATACCAAAATTTGTCCCGTATATTTATTGGTTCTATTAGATGATCTTCGACAACTAAAGTTTTTTAAACCTTAATGTTACTTTTTGATACATGGCTAAGTTGGCCAAGTATAAATTAAATCTGTTAAGGTATTGAACATTTTTATAAAAACACAAAGTACGTAATTAGGTGAGATTGTGAGAATAAAGATGATTGTTTCAAATTCATAAAGAAATAAAATTATTAGTTTGCGTACGGGATAACCAAATGCAAGAATCATAGCATTCCTGGCTATAAATTTACAAGTACAATTATCCATTTAAAAAGTGAAAGAAAAGTGTTGCAAGAAAAAGTTTTGAAGAAGAGATAAGCGATGAAGAGAGTGGAATGCTTATTTAATTTAGCGAATTATTTTATGTTAGATACCTTTCTTTAACTTGAAAAAAAAAACTTGTGGAGTTGTGGTTAGCCAACATTGGCCACCACTTCATAGTCATCTTCCATTTTCTCCTCCTTATTTTCCTTATCTATTGTCTCCTTTTTTTAACATTGATCAAAATTACTAGTTCACATCGACTATTTGACCTAACTAATTTTATCTACACCATAAGAAAAAAAAAGTGGAAGGAATGGCTGACAATTTCGTGTTGACGACCTTATAGTTCCTCTCTAACGACCTTCAATAATAATCTACTCTCAATATTATAATACTTGGTCCAAGAAGCTTACCAAACCAAAAAGTTTGGTGTAAATGAGAGTTATCAACAAAAAGAAGGCAACAGTTGAGAGTTAGGACACTCACCACACCACGTAAAAGAGTTTTTATGAGAGGAGATAGATAGACCGATCCGAATCACATGCAATACCAAACTATAAAAGTTAAGGCTGAGAATAAAAGAGACAGATTTTCGCAAATTTCTTCTTATTATGTCGATGAAGATAATCACAATATAGAATACGAATAATAATAACAATACTGGTGTAAAACGTGGCATATATCTGAATATTCTCTACCACCAATACCAACAACAACAACATCACTAATAATTCACATGTCATCACCGACGTCGACTCATCATTTCCCGACGATGCAACAGTAGCTTCCGATGACGTGCTTAATTCCGATTCTGCCCTTGCTAAAACGGGATATTCCCATTTTTCCTCTAATTCTTCGGAAGCATCATCGCTTCTAACCTCAATCCAACCGTTTGATTCCCAATTTGCCCCTCCGGCAGTCGCTAATTTACTCATCCTTGCCATCGTCGAAACCGTAGATTCAATTCTCGAGACATCGCTCTCTTCTTCTTCTTCGAAGTCCGAGTTGTCCCAGTCCAATACGCAACGCGGAGACGACTCGGTGAAGAAGAACGAGTAGTGATCTTCTTGACATAGAAACGGATGCTGCAGAAGCTGATCGCAGCTCCACCGCTGGCTCCGATCTCGTTTCAAGCATTTGCTCACAAAATCGCGGCCAAGCTCCGACAATCTCGCCGGAATAAACGGCAACTCGTTTGAAAACCCGATTCGACTCAGCGAGTCGAAACCTTGGTCTTCCCAAGCGGGTTTTCCGGTGAGCATCTCGATGACCGTACAACCCAACGACCACACGTCACTCTCCGGTCCTTGGTACTCTCTCCTGATCACCTCCGGAGCCATCCAGAGCGGACTTCCACGTGGCGCAACCACAGCAGTCTCTTGTTTCTCTAACTCGATCGCCGATCCGAAATCCGCCAGCTTCACGGAGCTTCCACCGTTAAACACGAGGACGTTCTTCGATTTAACGTCGCAGTGAACGATTCCGTTAGCGTGGACGTGACGGAGAGCGGAGACGAGACACCACACGTAACGTCTGAGCAGAGTCTCCTCGGTGACGACTCCACCACCGTTCGCCACGTCACCTTCGGGTAGATACTCCAAGTGGAGATTCCGAAACGACGTCGTCCCCTCTCTTGACACGTCATCCCCGAGGAATCTCACGATGTGTGGATAAGACTTGAGAGAGCGGAGGATTCCGATTTCGCTCTCGAGCGACTCTGCCTGATGAGGAAGACACGTGGCGAGATCTATCGACTTCACTGCGAAAACTCCACCGTCGATTTTACTCACGGCTTTGCTTACTGTTCCGAAACATCCTCTTCCAATACACGAACCTCGAATCCAAGAAGATGAAGAAGTGTTCTTGATGCTCTGTTTCTCCATATGTGCTTGATTTTTTTTCTTTTGTGTGTTTGTTTGCTAACTAACTTTCGTGTGTAAATTCTTATGGACACACGACGTTATTTATACGTGTGTCGAAATGTCAAATGTGAACGAGAAATAAAGTTGGGAATTATAATAATTTCCGACGTGGACGTTTCCTTTCTACTTGTCTTTCTGGATTTTGAAATCGTGAAGCCATTTTTTAAAAGAGTTTTCCCACTTGGGGGATATGTTATCAGTAACTCTTAAATGAAGTGTTAAGTTTAATCAGATATTTAATTAAACAAATTGATGATTAGGATTAGTAAGAACAGTTTTGTTGACGACACTTGGAGAAGTTCTTGGGTTGTAAGAAGAAACTGAACACTTTCCATTTTATCCTTATCAAGAAAAAGAACACAAGTTGCGGTTTGATCAGGTCCGTTGATTTCGTTACCCCAAAAAGGATAAAAATTTGGATAAGTCAACGGCTCTCGTTTTAATACAAAACTTTTGAGTTTGCCTTCGTTTAACTATCGACACAGAGAAAACGGTTGTTTAAGTTTACTATTTAAGACCGACAAGTGATGAGATTTTGCCGACGAATCGTGGGAACGGCAAACTAACAAAACGTGTCGATTGATTTTCGGACGTTTGTTCTGTTGACTTTTTTTTTTTTTCCTTTCTTTCTGTTGTGCGTTATACACTTTTGTTGACTCGAGTAATACGAGATCGGACATGGAATATTCGGTGGTATTCTACCAACGAAGAAGTACAATATGTCAATATTAATTAATCTTGAAATCGTGAATCCAAAATACGTATCAGCCAATCATATACGTATAGAACATTTTCTTTGTTTTAGCTTGCAACTAGTGATGATTGGTTCTCCCGCTACCACCCGCAAACGCAGCGTTTGCGGTTCGTAGCGGTTCTTAGCGTTTTATAACAATCACGACAACCGCTTTCAACCGCTCTATACCACTCTGTACCGCTCTATATCGCTGAAAATCAAAAGCTCCTTTCCGCAAGCGTTTGCGGTTGCGGGCGGTTGCGGTTTGAAAAAAAAAAAAAAAAAACATAATATCTCCAAATTTGGAATAAGGGTATATTTTTTTGAAAAATACCATAATTATGTTTAAAAATTTCGAAAATACCCTAAATTTTTTCTGTTTTGAAAAATACACTTTTAAAATGTAAAAAGTATGTTTTGACGTGATTTAAACAAAAAAATAATAAATAATTACAAATTATAAACGAAAATTTAAAAAAATAATAAACTAATAAGTTTTTTTTCAAATAAATATAGTATATGTTAAACTGAAACAAATTTTAATATTTTGGATCTTTATATAAACAACTTAACCTCATACACATTCAAACCAAATGAAACTTTAAATAAATTAAAACTTTACATATATTTAAAGTTTATAAATTATTAAAAATTTAAAAGTGGAGAAATATATCTTTCATTTTTAATGTTTATCTTTTGAAAAATTTAAATATTTTTGAAACTTTGCATAAACAACTTTAATCTCACCCCATTTAAACTTTATATAAACAATCTTATATTTTTATTAAATTGTTTAAAAAAAACTAAACAGGTAATTAGGATGTTAAAATGATACAAAATTATTATCAAATATTAATATTTTATATTTCTTATTTGAATTTCGTTTTTATTAAATTAGGAATAATCATTTTACATATAAAAAGTGTATTTTTCAAAACCAAAAAAAAATAAGGGTAGTTTTCAAATTAAAAATTCATCAAAAAATATATTTCAAAAAAAAAATTATTAATATGGTTATAAATGTTTTGAATAATTATATATTATTTTTATTTTAGTAACTTTTGGTTAAACCGCTCTTGCACCCGCTGGCTAACCAGTCAAAAATATCCCGCAAACGCAACCGCTATGAATTGCTATACCAGTCGTACAAACAGCTTTTAATCGCAAACTCCCGCTTCCGCAAACTCCCGCAGCCGCAAACTCCCGCAACCGCAACCGCAGCGGTTAAACCAGTCAGACCCTAAATGATTATCAGTTATAACAATAAACAATGATTATCAACTACTATATGAGCATTGTAACTCTGGCGTAATGTGCTTTAAGAACCATGTTAAGCCTTAAACATACGAATAAGAGGACTATAAATCGGCCACATGACTCGGTAACCTGGAACTCAAATCCGATTTAGGTAAATTCTATAAATATTTCACTAAACACGTAAAAGAGAAGATCAAAAATATCATCTATAAAAAATATTTACCCTCAGTACACATTTATAAAAAAAAAAAACTAAAAATTAAGAACAATACAAATCATCTCATCACGTAGTTATTTTTAACCTAAACTATTTTCCAGTCATTTATAGCTTAAATTAAGGTTTTCAGAAGAGCACCACTATACAAAAGTCTACAATGTTCGGCACGACCTTGGCTATATCCTTCGTCATGCATGTTTAATTATTTTGGTAGAAGTGCACGAACATCTACCATTTAGACCTATATATTCTCAAATCTAAATTACAATTTATTGAGTATTACATATTATTTTATTTTCAAAATCGTATATTGTGTCTAGCTTGACTCTGTCCTGATTAGCTGTTCCAAACATTATGCACTGAATCACGGTCCAACAACCGACGTTGACGAGGGTGCATCAATACAATCTACACTGTATGTACGCGAAGCATGAGATTCTAAGTAAACCATAAAATTAGCGAACCGTTAAAAAGAACTCGGAAACGAGTAAGTAACGTGTAGCGATATTGTTAGTTGTCCAAAGGGATTTGAGATGACATGAGAGTTTCGTCACTTGCGCAACTAAAGAAGTAGATCCTTGGTGGAGTCTATTTAGTGAAACTTACGTGTCGTGATATCGTTGGTCCACGATCTCCAACAGAGAACCAAAGACACCAGTTGTCCTAACTCATGTTTTTTTGCAAGTAGATTGCAACTGTTGACGTGCTTTCACCACCTCCACCTCTACTTTAAATAATGTTTTCTTGTTCTTTTGTTGGGTACGTAATAAAACAGATAAATTTATTCAACGTGATCCTTGCGGAAATGAACAAAAAAAAAAGGTTGTATTAATTTATTTATATGAATGATTATTCCCCCAAAATGTTAGACTAAGAATACAAGTTCATCAATAATATTTCAAACTACTGGTTAGTTACTAATTCATGAGTTGACCAAAAAAAGCAAGTTACTAATTCATAAATTATTAAAATCCTTGAGGAAATGAAAAGGAAAACTGTTATTAGTTTGAACTTTGAATGCTTATTCACCAATAGTGTTGACAAAGAAAAATAGTCAATCATATATATATATATTTTTTAAATTGATTAGTTATTAGTTTATGAGTTGACAAAACAAGTTACAAATTAATTAATTTCAAATAGGTTTGCAGCTTCTATATACTTGCCATCTAAATACCCTATGGTATTAATTACTTATTAAGAAAACGTCGCTTTATTTGAAAAAAAATCCGCCGCAACTATCTTCTTATAATAATCTTATATAAAGATAGATATATATGTTGTTGTTAAATATATTTATTTTATTTGTTTGCTTCTGGGAGATCTCTGGTCTCTGCCCTTCCGTGAACGTGAAGTACTATATTAACGGTCCACCACTTGCTGCTCGATATCCTTATAATTAGAGTCCAAAAATATAAAGATATTTTAAAAAGATTTTCAAGGACCCATACCATATTACCAAGTTACAGATCAGGCAATCCACTTGGAAAACAAATTAGACAATGCAAGTGCAACATGTCATTTCATTGGTACTAAACTTTTAATGTTCTTTTCTAATCGAAATCGACTCTACAAAATGTATCTATGATTAAAGTAATAGCTTAAGGTCATGTATTTACTCGGAAAAGAGAAAATTATCAAAAGAAAAAGACAAGATAATCAGGATGACACATAGGCGCGTGGTTATAGAGACAACATTTAAAGATTTATGTTGATTTGCTTTAATAATTTTTTGTTTGGGATGAAATTCAGTGTTTTTGAGTACTAAGATGCATGTCAAAGAGCAAAACACAATAAAGACATAAGTTGCTGTTTATATTGATAAGTGTCGTGAGAGGAGAAGACAAAAGACGAAGCTGAAAAAACTCTAATTTAAGGTGGCCGACAATACAACATGCTTATGTTATTGCAACTCCGAAGAAACCTCTAACAACTTTTTTTATACATGATCGATTCAAGATCATGCACACAGTGATCTTCATATCACCAAGATAACGATCCGAATGATAGCTAACGTTGCAGCAACCCAAATTGAGCAATCTGGTCGGTCAGAACATTACAAGCGTATAGTTGAGCAATCTGGTCGGTCGCAGCACATTATAAGCGTAGTTGAGGCGGTATGGACTGTCACAATCCGAATGATAGTAGAAGATTTATATTGGTTATATTATTATTTGTTTTGCTCCCAACAAATTTTCAAATAGTTGAACCATCAAACTAGTCCTAGAGGTGAACAAATCTTTCGGCCAAAATTTTAATACAAATTGCACATTCTTAAAAACAAAACATTTTCATTAGACCAATGCTTAACTAGAACAGTTTGCACGTATAGACGTTTAAACTTTAAACAAAAAGGAATATTGTTTGCACGTAATCTATGTATCCAATACAATAAATTTCGAAACATATTACCAAAAAAAATTTAAAAAGGTAAAACTAAATTAGTTGACCATAGCTTATTCAAGAAAAAAACGAGGGACCACACGCAAAGACACCGTTTCTAACTTGAAAAGAATAGTAAATATGCCAACCAATGGCCAGTTGTAGGCGACGAACTCTGTCTTCGACCGTGATTATTTAATTGCATGCGATGTGAGTGTGATTTTATGCTAGTCAGATTTTTTAAAATTGTGGGTTTGTTAAGAAGTCTAATTCAGCAACTTTTTCTTTTCAATCGTCATTCGTCTTAGAAACATTAACTTTATTAACTACAAGAAATTAGCTATCGAAAAAAACAAAATGAAGACTTGTATTGAGATGAGACCAGGGCCAGTCTTGACCCCATCGTTTCATAAAATATTTGAAGGAGCCTCATTCATTAACTCAACTTAAAAAAAAAAAAAAAAAAAACTACTAAATGGATCACTGATCTTTTTGTTATTAGAGTAGACGAGAATTAAAATATGGAAAATTTACATGTTACTTTAGGTTGTAGTCAGATAAGAGATAACTCAATGTCGATCTTGTAGGCCATGGTATTACACTATTACTTGTTAGGCGCTCATCTTCATAAATTTGTTCATGAAACAAAACAAACAAAAAAACAGTGATTTAAAATGAATTTGATAGATGGAAGCTAGATTAAGTGAACAAACATTGGTTTGAAGTTAGATTGAATTGGTAGAACACATGATGTGTGTGGGTCTGAACTGCTTAGATTGCCGGAGATTTGTTTTAGCTTTTTTTGGTAAAGTAAACTAGAAATTAGAGTTGGAGGAAAGCCGAACAACGTGCCGTTTTGGGGTCTATTGAAAAAACAAAAAACAACAACGTGTTCTCCGCCTAGAACACAAAAACATGTGTTTCTCTCTTTCACGTGTTGTTTTTTTCTTTTGTGTTCCTGCTTACTTTGACCACTGTCTTCTTCCTCTTTTCACAAACACGATCCTTTTTTTCCCTCTATCTCCTTATCCTTTATCTACGCTATCCATGTCGGTAATCATTATCATCACCGCACATATTTTGTAGTTCTTATTTTCATATTATAAAAATTGAGTTTACAATCTATCCTAATCCTGTACATATTTATGTAATGCATCGAAAATTAAGGGGTTTAATCCATGTTAATATTGCTACAGTGAACAACATTTTAAGATGTGTGTTGTTGTTACTTGTTTATGATATAAGGATCTGTGCCGGCCCTTGATACAAGACTACAAGTTAATCAAACTTGTGTTAGAAAGGCATTTGATTTTATAATTTCTGTGAGCTAATTTTCTTAGAAAGATTCATATGGTTAATCTCATATTCAAATCAAATATGGTTTGGATAAATGGACCAAATTGTTTTATGTTATTTTCTACCCCATTTAAACGTAAGGATGACCTTTGGGCTTTGGCTTAGAACCAAAAGATTAGATCATGACAAATAAAAATGCTTGGCAACCATATAAAAACATGATCGCATTATCTCTTTGACAAGGCTGAGACCGATGCAGTTCTTTGTTTCAACTCATCATGACTTGAACCACTCTCATCCCTAGGTGTCTCCATTAGCTTCCTTTTTTGACTCTCTTAGGTTCAAGAAAAGTAGATTGTTTTGATCAAAAGAGAGACAAAAGTAAAATCTTCTTCTGATGATGTGCTCAAAGAGGGACCAACCTTTGCATATGTATGTATGCCTATAACTGTTATGCTGGTTCAACGCAATAGAGATTCCTCGTGTTCAAACCAGCCCAAAACTAGTTTTACTGGTTTCTTCTTCGGGAAAGTTAAAACTTAAAACCCCATTCCCAAGGCACCCTATTGGTATTTCAACATCACTTATAGTTAGAATTCCAGTATTGACTTCATGTGAGTTCTTCAAGAGATTAAGAACATACCTAATGCTTAAAAACCGTCGATGCCCACACAAGAATTTTTTTAAACATTCAGCCTCTCAGTAATCCATAAGTGATTTACAAAGCAATAGCTCCTTTCACTATATACACTACATGGTTGCAACCAAATCAAGAGAAACCATGTAATAGACAAGGATCTGCATACTTATGGTTCTTGAGGCTGTGCAGAAGAAGTTGAAAGAGATGTTAAAGGGATCTGCATAGTAATTGGTTCCAAGCTCTTCTATGTAGCAAAATAAGCACTATCACAATGTATATATTGTACTAGGGAATTGATATAACGAACTGAAAATTAGATTAATTTCGATCAATGCTAGTTTCATTAATACAAGTACAGAGGCACTGAATTTTTAAGCTTATCACTAAAGTTAGAAAGAATAAACAAATGAATGAATTGAATCAAGTTAACACAAAAAGAACTAAAATCAAAGAAAAAGCCTCCATATATTTCTTCAAAAACTTCTAAGACGATTTTGCTTCTCTGTTTCTACATGAACTGGCTTAAAGGGATCAACATCACACTGATATCAAATTAGATTAATTTCGATCAATGCTAGTTTCATTAATACAAGTACAGAGGCACTGAATTTTTAAGCTTATCACTAAAGTTAGAAAGAATAAACAAATGAATGAATTGAATCAAGTTAACACAAAAAGAACTAAAATCAAAGAAAAAGCCTCCATATATTTCTTCAAAAACTTCTAAGACGATTTTGCTTCTCTGTTTCTACATGAACTGGCTTAAAGGGATCAACATCACACTGATATCATCAGATGAGCCTCGCGAAGCCGAGAGATCAACAAGCTTCTTACACGCCACCAACAATGGCTTCTTCTCGTCTCCTCCTCCTACACAAAAGGGACGAGCAATGTCTACAGCTTCTTGGTTGCTCACTTTGTCCCATAAACCGTCCGATGCCAAAATCAAGAACTCATGCTCCGAATCGATCCTCAAGATCTTTGTCTCTGGCTCGGCTATAACCCATTTCTTGAGCTGACCATCTCCGATCCCTCTTGACACAGCCAAAGATCCTTGAATCCTCCAAACACCATGAAACGTATCCACATATCCTCCCTGCAAAACAAAAAAATTAAACCCATCGTTAAAAAACCATACTTTAGGTGAGATTTAAGTGATCCATTGAATTGAGGTGAGATTTTGAGATTTCTCACCGTGGTTTCGATTCTTTTCCGTTCATCGTCTCTAGACGGGCGGTGGTCGGAGGAAAGAGCCTCCGCGGCGCCTCCTACGCTCATGACGGCGCGACAATCACCGGCATTGGCTACAACGAGGTTCCCGTCGCTGACCATAGCTGTCACACAGCATGAACCGCCTTTAACGTTTTTCTCGCTGAGAAACGCTGCGTCTGTGGTTAAGTAACCGCGTTTCACCGCGTCTGCGATCTCTAACTCGCTCCTCTTGCCAACTACCGATTCTAAAACGTTCTTATCTAAGTTCTTTGCTGCAAACTCAGCCGCTTTGACTCCTCCATGACCATCGTAGACTCCGAATATCGCCTGCACAATTTCACAAAACAGCGTTTAGAAATCGCGTTTCAGATATTAATCAACAAGTTGAACGTTTTTCAATTGATTTTGATGCAGAATTTCAAAAATTCCCAAACTAATCGACTCAAAATCTATCCAATTAAGCTTAATTCTCATCAAAATTGGAAAAAGGAAATCGAATTTTACCTGTTTGCGATCTCCGTGAAGATTGGTGATGGCAGAGAAGCGATCCTCCATAGCTTCTCTCCTTCCTCTCTTACAATAGACGGAATAACCATCGCCTTCTCTCTCAACCTCTCTGCTCTCCTCTCTCGGCGTCGAAGCAACTAGTTTCTCCGACGACGGAGCTACGAAATCCGGAGGACCGATCGGTATAGCAAGCCTCGTCGGTCGTTTCCTCTTCAAAGCCCCTCCGGGAGGAGACTGGGAGGTACACGAGGCGGAAACGGATTCCGATCCGAACACTAGCGGCGGCGCGGGAGCGAATCCGGTCGGTGGTTTCTGGAAACGGAGACGGAACGGCGATTTCGGGGAAGCGGAAGGAGAGGAAGGGGAAGATGACGAAGGTTTGAGATGGGAGAGAGTGAGACAGATTGTTTCCTGCGGCGAAGAGAGTATACAGGTTTTGTTGCAGAAAAGAGACGACGACGGCGAAAACACCGGAGAATTACAGACGGCGACCGAACAAGACATCGTTAGAGAATTCGGATTCGAAGACTGAGGGATTTTCGTTGTTTATTTTTGCGTTAGATAATTGTTGAAGAAGATGAAGATCGATCTGTCTTCTCTTCTTCCTCGTCGTCGTCGTTGAGATTTCTGTTTTCTGTGGACGATGAAAGAGGAAGAGGTTTAAATATTAAAACAGAGAGAAGGTGATGAATATTGAATGTTGAATAAAAAATAATAATGGAGTCCGTGTTTATCGAGCCACTTCTTTTTTTTATTCAAACTTTTGAGTTTATTGACTTTGAAAAAGACGTATGTGCCCTTGCAAGTTTTATTCCTCTATTTACGGCTTTGTCCCTTGACTTCCCAACAAAAAGAGGATAGAGATGCTCTTGTTGACTAGGGGTCTAAATGGTAACCGCCGATTGTTGCTGAATACGGAATCTGGTTGAATTAAATAAAGACTTTTTGCAGAATCTGGCTAATTAGTTAGGCCCTAACTGGTGTATTGCTGAATTGCTGAATGCAGCTGAATTCAGCTGAATACTGTTTATAAGACACCAGTCACATTTGTTGAATGCAGCTGAAAATCTCACAAAAAGACAAAAATTGAAGAATTTCTTTTTTCTTCAATTATTAAGATTTCCCATAAAAAGACAAAAACACAACTTTTACTTTTTGTAGATAAATTGAAAAAAACTAATATCATGATTGAAATATTACTTATGATGTTAAAATTGCTAAATTTGCTTTAAAAATGCTAAAATTAATAAATTGCTAAAATTAAAACGAAAATACATAATTTATTTTTTAGGTTTAGTAAACTATAATGACACAAAATTCTTCAGTTATATATATAATTTTTTTTTATGATGTGACTATTGTTAGGTATTTACTTATTTCATAAGTATATGTTTTTTCATAATTCAACTGGGTAATTATTTTATTATTTTGTTATACAAATAATATTTTTTATATTTTTATACACTAGAGACTTTAAAAATTTGAAAACATGAATTATTTTTAAATTATAAAAAAGTTTATAATATTAAACCAAATCACCCATCTATTTAAAATTTAAATGATTTGTGAGTAAATGATTTAAGTGTAATAAAATATTGTTGTTTTGTTAAGATAAATTCTGTTTATATTTCATAAGGTTAATCATATATATATATATAATATTTAATACCAATATTTTTGTTTGAATTTTCAAGTTTAAAAACAAATTGTTTTTTTTTTATTCCGCATTCAGCAACATTCAGCAGTTACCATTCATACTATTAACTAATCAGCCAGATTCCGCAAAAAGTTTTCATTTAATTCAGCCAGATTCCGCATTCAGCAACATTCAGCGGTTACCATTTAGACCCTTAGTAATATGAATGGTAACTGTTGAATGTTGCTGAATGCGGAATAAAAAAAAATTAAACTATTTATTTCAGAAATTTGTTTTATAATATATTTAAATGTAAAAATTCAAAACAAAATGTTGATGTTAAATTGTGAATATATATGTTTAGCTTTATTAAATCTAAACATAATTTTTTTTTAAAACAATAATCTTTATTATAATTAAAGCATTTACTTATAAATAAATGGATGGGTGATTTGATTTAAATATTCTAAATCTTTTATATAATTTGAAAATAACTCATATTTTCAAAATTTTGAAACCTAGTGTGTTTATTATATATAAGAAAAATTATATACAATTATTAATCTTTGAGATTTTTTTCATGATAAGATAATTATTATAACATGCTTATATTACAAAGTGAAAACTAATGTTAGTTTTAAACATTCTTTATTTTTTGTAGTATCTTTACAAATTTTCTCTAAATAAATTTATTTTGAATATCATAGTTAATTACAAGTTTTTATATGCAGTAATATAATATGTATTAGTTATTGAAGAAAAAAAAAAGAAATCCTCAACTTTTGTCTTTTTGTAAACTTTTCTATTCAGCTGAATTATATGCAACTGGTGTATTACTATAGTGAATCAGCTATATTCAGCTGCATTCTTCAATTCCTCAATACACCAGTTAGGGTCTAGAAAGGAAAAAAAATTTGTCTTTATCTTTTTTTTTTTTTTTTTTTTTTTCATCTGAGTTAAAAAAGAACAAGATACAATACGACATAAAAGCCGGAAGAAGATAAATCTCCGGAAATAAAAGCCCATACGAAAGGAAACAAAGCCCATACACAAGGAAAGCATAAGCCCAAACTAAGGGAAAAAGAGCTAAACAAATCTAAAATCCTCAAACTAAAACTCAAAAAATAAGAACATAAGCCTCACAAATCTTTGAATGCAGCCGGAGCAATCGACGGGTGAACCGACCAGAACCACTGTAACTTTCCTGAACTCTCCAAGATGACAGGGCCAGAACCACGTCGACAGACAAATCTAACAACCTCGGACCAGAACCGGACCGAACCACATACTGAGAAGAGCAAAGACACCTGAGCTAAACACCTAATCAAACGCCCTTCTTCCGACAAGAAAGGAAGAGACAACTGCTTCGAGACGCAAGAGAAGCTCCACGCAAGAAGAGGTGACCACAAACCAAACTCTTCACCACACGTCGCCACCACGTCACTATTGTAACCGATACTGAAGCAAAAACCAGAGAAATAGAAGCTAGAACCAAATGAGATTTAGAAAGATTCAACCACTCTGAAACGACCAAACACCAACTAATGGACTAAACAAGTGAAAGCCAGCCTTGCAGTAGCAAGATCTATGCCAAAAGGAAGAGAAACAAAACGCAGATCCAGATCCAGATCTGGAAGGACAAATGAAAAGGAACTCTTAAAAGAATCTGGGAAACAGAGAGGAGAAAGAGGAAGGAAGGAACCTAGACGACGACAAACAAAAGAAAAACGAAAAGAGCAGCTCCGATGCTATCTAAGCCATTGGAGCCGACGGGAGGCGGCCATAAGCCCTAGATCTGGTTTAGAGAGAAGGAGGAGAGAAAAGGAGGAGTTTTGTCTTTCTCTTTTTGTTGCAAGAAAAAGGAAAAAAAAAATAACAATTTCTTTATGTAAATAAAAAAATTCGAATTTGAAAAATATCTATTTCAATTTGTTCTTGAGTTTTGTTTTTATCTACATTAATACATTATATTTTGTGTGTTCTTGATTATCTCAACTTCATAAGAATAAATGATATTGTAAAATGTGAATTATGTGAGATTAGTGTTTAAATTTGTTTTGTGGAAAGTAAGTTAATATTTTAACAAAAGGTACCTACTCTAGTGTAACTTTCTCTATTACGTCACAATACAATATGCAAAAGAAGAATCATTTCATTAAAAACAGTAATAACAAAAAAAAATAAAAAAAGTTACTATGTTTAGTGGAAAAAAAAAACTATTCTAGTAGCATTGCAAAAATAAAATTCAAGGAAAAACAGCAAAACCTAAGAGAATCTTGGAAGATAAAAGGGTAATAATCCACTGTCCAAAACAAAATTAGAACAGTGAAGTGAGCTACTTCTAAAACAACAACTCAAAAGAGGTGACGTGGCAGGATGGCGATTGCAAAGGTGATTTCCGGATCTAGGGTTTCCGCATGATTCGTGCAACGACTCCGGTGGTAATTACGGTGGATCTATGGAGGATTTGGGGTTCAGAGGGGAGATCTGGAACTATCTTGTCTCAAGAAGGATTGAAAATGGAGAGGTACTACGAGATTGGGACACGATTGGTATGGAACCCGGAACCCTCCGGGAGGCACTGGGGAATGGATCAGGTCGGGCTCGGGCTTGGGAGGCTCAGGGAGGCTCGAGGAGGGAGCTCATATGGTGAAATGGAAATGGTGCGGAGAGTTTCAGGCGTTGGGTGGTATCTCGGATCTGGAGAGTATGTGGAGGTGGAGGCATGCGGTGGGAGAGCCGATCGGAATCTCTCTTCTAATGACTACCATAGGAAAGATATTAGAAGAAAGAGTGGAGATTTTCCATGGTTCCTGGTGGAGAATTTTCAGAAATTCCAGTGGAGTGGGGGAAGGGTATTAGGAACTGGGTGGAGTAAATGGGATTGGCTGGAATGGGGATGTCGTTTGTTTGGAATTGAGATTATGGAAGTTGAGTGGGGATTGATGGAGGGTTCACTTGGTCAAAAAGGGAATCCCCATTTACTATGGAATCCGGAGAGTCAGGGGACTAAGAATGGGGTTTTTGGGAAAGCATATCTGCCAAGTTTAGGAGGATTGAGGGAATTCCGGTGCAAGAGAGATATATGGGAAGGAGATTGGACATTACGCGTTAGAGATCTTAAGGAAATCAGGGAGGAAAAGTATTTTCAGAGGAGAGATAGGATTGAAGATTTGATCTCCGTCTTGCTGAGTCTTTCACGCTTGTTTTGCTACTAAGTTATTCTTGTCTGTGAGTGAAGGAGGAATGTCTCAGGCAAGCTTTCTCAAATCCGGTGGCTCAAGCAAAGGGAAGGAGACCCTGCGACCAAGGTTGCGTGTTAAGCTTCCTGACTTTAATGACTCCGAGCTGATCGAGGGTTACTCAAAGACTTTGATTGGAAGGTGCATGAATCCACAGAGGCAGGATGTAAAGGCGTTGATCATCATCTTCCCCCGTATTTGGAAGATGGAGCATCGTGTGACGGGAGCGGATTTAGGCTTGGGACGGTTCCAATTTCATTTTGATGAGGAAGAAGACATCGTCGAGGTGTTGAGAATGGAGCCGTTTCATTTCGACTCCTGGATGGTGTCACTCATGAGATGACAGCCGGATTTTGACCCTTTTTATCCATCCGAAATAACTTTCTGGGTCAGGGTTTTGCAGCACCCGTTACAAGTTTGGGCGGAGCTGACATTACGCAGCATTGGTGATGCTCTAGGAGAGGTGAAGGATGTGGACATTGAAGGTGGCCGGGTTCAGGTGGGGGTTAATGGGTTCCATCCCATTCATTTGGAGACCACGCTGGAGGCCAAGGGAGGACATGAAATTCAGCTCGTCTTACGGTATGAGCGCTTGTTTGGCTTTTGCAAAGAGTGTTTCAGTCTTTGTCATGATGTGGAACAGTGTCCTCTTCTCTACGTACACCGAGTGGAGAGAGACCGCATCCGCCGGAGAGAGGAGAAGACGGAGGCAAGAGCATTTAGCTATAAGGGGGCAGTTCAAAGTTCTCATGGGAATGGCGGAAGAAACAATCCGGTGGAGAGAAGGGGCGATTACAAATGGAAAGGCAAGATGGTGGAAACCAGGGATGAGGCACCTCACAAACAACAATATGAGCAGAGGGGAAGGTCGAGACAAGAGGTACCTTCTGGAGAAGGTCCTTCTCATCACCGAGGAGCTCCCACTTACATGCCAAAGAAGGAGATGCAGAAACGGTATGGTGGTGCTACGAGGGTTTCACAGAGCTCACTTGAGGAGCAAAATTTGGCCCATGAGGCCAAGATTAAGGATGTAGTCACGACGAAGGCTCGAGAGGCAGGGCTTCCCCATACCACTAGCCCTCCGACTCACTCTGCCAAGAAAGTGAGGCGATCCCTCGCTTTTGAAGATGAAGAGACGGTAACGGAACCGGTAACGAGCCCGGTGAAAGCAAATGTGGCGGTAGTTGCCAATACAGAGGGTGGAGGTGAGGTACGCGAACGGGAGATGACTGGAGTTCAGGTTCTTTCTGGTACAGGGGAGGTTTCAGCTGGGGATACGGAGGATCTGATCCCATTCGATGACGACCTCTTACTCAAGGATCTCCTGGTGGAGGAGACAGAGACGGGTGATGCGGAAGAGGAGGAGAGCGGAATGGAGAGAGATGATAGTCCGGTGGTGACTCAGGAGGATGTGAATAGTGGACGCTTAGATGTGATAATGCAGGAAGTGCAGGGCCTCAGGGAGGAACCACTGGAGCCGAAAGGTGCGCCAGGTGGACTTAAGGGACGACAAGGAGAGCGTAAGATTGGCGCCAAAAAGAAGGTCTTCAGAACCAACGTAGGGATTGGTGGAGGAGCGATGAGGAAGCTTGCACAGGTTGCTAAAACACCACGCAAGAGAGGGGTAGGTAAGCCAGGAATGGGGGACAAGGTGGAGCCAAAGACCGGAAAGGAGGGGCAGGGTGGCGGACAAACGAACCCAGAATGAGTGAGTTACAGGGTCTCAGAATAATACAATCCCGGTGGAATTGGGAGGGTTCCTTGGTTGGTTTTTTGGTTCATTGTTTGTCTAGATTATGTCTGGTTTTGTTTCAGTATGTTTACTGTGGTTTTGGTTTTCACCATTTGGTAAAGGCAATGCCTTCTATTGTATCCAATGGTTTGCTTTTCATTCATAATAAAGAGAGGTCGAATTCTTGTTCTTTGTTGAGATCGAATAATGGATTTAAGGCTTTTTGGAAGAGACACGGGTTCCTGCAATATGTTCAGGGAATTGTTGTATCGGGCTTCCCAATTGGATACGATGGAAAACAAGAAGGGGTGGTAAGGTTATGGTTCATGGAACAGGTAAAGTGTATATGGAGTTATCTATGTTGGGATGTTTGGTATAGGGACTGGACTGGTCAAAATGACCAGGGATTTTTATGGGAGGAGTTTGTTTGTTGGATACGGGCCTCGTCATTGGATTCGGACTTAGGTGGACAGAGGAATTTGACACTTGTGTTTTGGAGTTTGTGGGGCTTCCTAGAGATGGGCTCAGGGACGGGGAAGGAATCGGAGGATAAGGGTGGTGTTCAAGATAAAGAAAGACAGTTGTTGGCTGGTCATGTACAGGAGAACAAAACTACTGTTGTGGGTAATGTCACTAGGGATTGGCATGGACGAGACAGAAATCTGGGCTCTTGGATGACGAAATATAAAAGCGGCGGGGATAATGGATTTATTCCACGTCGGGAACAACAAAGAGACTTACTATGAGGATTCTAAGTTGGAATTGCCAAGGATTGGGTAATCCTTACACAATAAGTCATCTCAGAGAAGTTTGGGGGAAGTTTAAACCAGAGTTCCTGTTTCTTTCTGAAACAAAACAAGGTTTTGTTTTTGTTCAACAATTTCAGTTTCATTTTGGTTATGACAGAGTGTTTACAGTGGAGCCGTGTGGAGCGAGTGGGGGTTTAGCTTTATTTTATAAGAATGACTTTGATGTTAATATCATATGCTCAACTAAGAGGATTATTGATATTGAGGCCCGACATGAGGGCAATTTGGTCTTTATGTCCTTCGTTTACGGTCACCCGATAGTAAAATTTCAAGATCATATCTGGGAAAGAATTACGAGAATTGGGACGACCAGGACCGAACCATGGTTCCTTATAGGTGACTTTAATGAAATCACAGGTAATCATGAGAAACAGGAAGTAGCTTTACGCCAAGCATCATCTTTTGTCTCTTTTAATCTGATGATAAGTGACTGTGGGTTAGTGGATTTCCCAAGTCGGGGAAACACATTGTCCTGGAGGGGCAGAAGAAGGGGAAAGATAGTTCGTTGTCGCCTGGACAGAACATTGGCGACAGAGGGATGGCATGACCTGTTCCCGGTTTCCCATGTGGAATATTTACCAATGATTGGATCCGATCATAGACCCATTTTGGCTACCCTAGATTCAAAAATAACAAAAAGACGAAAACAATTTCGGTTTGATAAACGGTGGATTGGTATGGAGGGTTTACTTGAGTCGATTGAGATGGGGCGTATCTGGGGGGTGGCAGAGCCAGAACTGGTTGGTAGGATCTATAATTTTCGCCACGAGATTTCCGTTTGGAGAAAAGAAAATCAACCATATGGCAAGCAGAAAATAGCGGACTTACAACAGGCCTTGGAGGTGGTACAAAATGATGATAATAGCACCCCGGAGGAGCTTACGGACATTACAAATAGATTACAGGAAGCCTACAGAGACGAGGAGGACTATTGGAAACAGAAAAGTCAAAACTTATGGTTAAGGGATGAGGATCTGAATACTAAATTTTTCCACGCTTCGACAAAACAACGCAGAGCCGTTAACAGAATTGTTGGTCTTCATAATGAGGCTAACGTTTGGGTGGATGGGGGTAAAGAGGTCGAGAAGATAGTGGTCAGTTATTTTGACAAACTATTTACTTCTACCACACCGGGGGAATTCACGGAAATATTAGAAAATCTGTCGGAGCGGGTTACACCACAGGAGAACGAGGTGTTGACTCGGCAAGCGACGGAAACAGAAGTAAGAGAAGCACTATTTATGATGCACCCAGAGAAGGCTTCGGGGCCAGACGGAATGACGGCGTTATTTTTTGAGCGCTCATGGCACATAGTAAAGTTGTATGTTCTTAGGATGGTTAACAATTTCCTTCAATCGGGCACGTTCGATGATAGATTAAATCTGACACATATATGTCTCATCCCTAAGACAGGACGACCAACCAGGATGACGGAGTTGCGACCGATTAGTTTGTGTAATGTGGGATATAAAATTATTTTCAAAGTCTTGTGTCACAGACTCAAGGTATTACTACCAAGATTAATATCGGAAACCCAATCGGCTTTTGTTCCGGGGCGTTTGATCTCGGACAATATTCTTATAGCTCAGGAAATGTTTCACGGGCTCCGAACAAATAAATCATGCAAGGGGAAGTTTATGGCGGTAAAAACAGAGATGAGTAAAGCCTATGATCGTGTTGAATGAGACTTTTTGGAGGCTTTAATGAGAAAAATGGGTTTTGCGGAGCATTGGATTGTTTTGATGATGCAATGTATAACCTCGGTTAAGTACCAGGTGCTACTCAATGGACAACCAAAAGGACGAATTGTTCCACACAGGGGCCTGCGGCAAGGGGACCCGTTATCTCCATATCTTTTTATTCTATGTACGGAGGTTTTGATAGCAAACCTAAAGAAGGCAGAAGAAATGAAGAAGATTACGGGATTGAAAGTGGCTCGTGCGTGTCCGGCAGTGTCCCATCTCCTTTTTGCTGATGACAGTTTGTTTTTCTGTAAAGCGACAAGGGACGAGTGTCAGGCCTTCATTCAGATTCTTAAAGAATATGAGGCCACCTCGGGCCAACAAATTAACTTTGGGAAGTCCTCGGTACAGTTCGGACATACGGTAGACCCAGGGGTGAGGCAGGAGGTTCATCAGATCCTGGGGATTACCGCGGTGGGGGGAGTCGGGACCTATCTGGGAATTCCGGAAAGTTTGGGAGGCGCAAAGACAAAGATTTTTAGCTTTTTAGTGGAACGGCAAAATCAACGCATTAATGGGTGGAACTCGAAATGGCTGTCAAAAGGAGGAAAAGAGGTTCTTCTCAAGTCAGTAGCCTCGGCAATGCCCATGTATGTGATGTCATGTTTTCGGCTTCCCAAAGGGATCACGAATAAACTATCAAGCGCGGTATCGAATTTCTGGTGGAGCAACAATGGGCAATCACGGGGAATGCATTGGCTGGCTTGGAAGAAACTCTGTCGACATAAGAAAGATGGGGGTTTGGGTTTCAGGGTTATCGAAGATTTTAACACGGCTTTACTTGCAAAACAACTATGGCGACTGATGGATTATCCGGAATCGTTATTTGCACGAGTTTTCAAAGGGCGGTACTATCGTAACTCTACCCCTTTGGAACTCAACAGATCTTACTCGCCTTCTTATGGTTGGCAGAGTATAGTTTCGGCTCGACCTCTGGTTCACAAATGACTTATTAAAAGAGTTGGTTCAGGATCATCAATTTCCGTCTGGGAGGATCCATGGATTCCAGCTTCTTGCCCGAGGCCAGCCACATGACTTGGGATTACTTTTTTCCCTCATCTCCGGGTGAATGAACTAATTAATCCCAGTACAGCAACGTGGAATTTACCACTATTAAATCAATTATTTGATACGGTTGATGTGTCTCTCATTCTCGGGATCCCTACATCACACATATCCCGACCGGATTCGATGGGATGGTTTTATACACGGACGGGCAAATATACGGTTAAATCGGGTTATGCTTTGGAACAAAAAGCTTGGGAGGATGGTAACCCTCCTGTGTTTGGCCCGGACACAAGGAGTCTTCAGGCACACGTATGGAAGGTGAAATGTACTCAAAAATTACAACATTTTCTTTGGCAATCCCTAACGGGTTGTATAGCAGTTGGAGATAGACTGAAAAGTCGGGGCATTCGAATTGATCCCCAATGTATGCGCTGTGGAATGGCGCCAGAAACAGTGAATCACAGTCTGTTTGAATGTCCTCCTGCACTACAGGTTTGGGCGTTATCGCTAATTCCAACGGCTCCTTCCCAGTTTCCAACAGGAAGCATTTTTACAAATATGGCGCATCTTTTTTGGGAGCTGCCGAATGATGATAGGATGGGATTTTATCCTTGGTTAGTATGGTACATCTGGAAATCCCGCAATGATAAGGTGTTAAGCAATGTGGATTGGGATCCTTATGATATAATTGCAAAAGCGACAGGGAAGGCATTGTCCTGGACAAAGGCCCAAGAAAAACAAGAGACGGGATATCCAAGTTTAGACCCCTGTGTGAATATCATTTTGTCCAGTGACCGTTGTCAGGTGGACGGGGCATGGAAGGAAACAGATTGTAGGGCTGGACTGGGCTGGTTTTATTTTAATACGGACACGCAGTGTAAACTTATGGGTACGCGTAATTTGCGACGGGGGATATCAGCACTTCAGACCGAATTAGAAGCACTTATTTGGGCTATGCAGTGTATGATACGGCACAACAAACTAATGATAATATTTGAGACGGACTGTTCTGATTTGGTGAAGATGGTATCTACACCAGAGGAGTGGCCGGCTTTTGCCATTCTACTTGAAGAGATCGACAGATGCAAGACGAGGTTCACTTCATTTTCCATCATCCATATACCTAGGGCAAACAACATGAAGGCAGACAAGTTAGCACGTAGTGCTCGAGCTCTACCTACTGATGTGTATTATGTAAACTCTGTTTCACCAATTTGGATCCCCGAGTTGCTTTAGATAGAGTCGCTGTTGAAAAAAAAAAAAAAAAAAAAAAAAACAGTGAAGTGAGCTTTTTTTTTTTTTTGCGTTAGAAGGGTAAAAAGGACATTGGATGGTAAGTCAATAACACGTCTAAAAGAGAGGATATATTTGGCCATGTGGTGTTTTACTTATCTGTGTTAAAGAAGTGTTTCATTGATGACTCAAAAATCTTCTTTTCCATTTTAAAATGAAAGCAGATTCTAGGACCGTTGTGGGTCCCGGCAAAGCTTACACGTTGTGGAATTTGATTGGATGAATAGTTTGCTGGTCGTAGTCGCAGCTTCTTAGCAAGTGACCGTTGAAGACTGAGAGGAGCCTTCTTCTTTCTTTGTTTGTTTCTATTTGATGACCGTTGTGAATACATCAAAATTGCAAGAAATTAATAATGAAAAGAAAAATTCAAGTTTTAATTATCTCAATTCACACGAGGTCTTCTAATTAAAAGATACAAGTCTTCCTTTAAAGAGTGTTTAACTTTTGCTGAGTTGTGAGTTGTGACATCAATAACGGATACTTCTGATAAAACTGACATTCTTTGGAAATAAATTATTGATTTATGGCCATGAATGTTTGGTGGTTTTTAGATTTTGGTTTTTGGTTTTTGGATTTTAGTTCTTGATTTTAGATTATGGTTTTCAGATTTTGATTTTGCTGTAGATTTTGATTTTTCTAAATCTTGATTGGTAATTTGTTTAGTTTCTGGTTTTTCCAATGATATTTAAAAAAAAAAATTGACTTATAAGTTAGATTTTCTTAATAAGCTAAAAATTACTACAACAATAATTAAAAAAATCATAAGTAATACCATATATTATCAAACAAAGTTACGCATAGATTTGCTTCATAAGAATTTATTTTTTAAAATATTTTTTAAATATAAGTTTAATAAACTTATTGATAAGTTTAAATATATTTTATTAATATGAGTTATTTTCGTAATATTTTATATTGGAGTTAGAATGCTAAATATTTGTTTTCTTTTAAACTTTAATGATTTTAAATAGCTGCTATTTTTCCCTTTGTTATTTTGTTTTTATATTGGTGTCCAGAAATAGAAATATTTCACCCAAAAAAAAGGAGAATAAAAATAATAAAATAAAACAATCGTCCACTGATGGGGAAAAACTAGTAAAACATGGATTTTGGTTTTTATTTGCAAATGGGTAGTTTAAAAAAAAAACTAGTTTCCCTTAATTTTAGGGAATCTATTTGTTTAAAATCTTGATAGGCTTATGAAGTAGTTTTTTGAAAAACAAAATCCAGAATCTAGTTTAAAAACCACAAACGTTTTTGGCACCCATGAACCAGGGTGAAACAAATTATTTGAATATCTCTCTCTACTCATATCCTATACTCGTCATAATTTTTTTTTCTGTAGAATTTAAATGAGATTTTAAATTCGAAACTTAGACCAAAGTTATGGTAGTATGTCTAGTAATATGATTAGACCAAAGTTATATGCCAATGATATAATTCGTGATGATAGTAAACTTCACAACTAATTTTACCCTGTATAACATATTTCAGTCTACAAAGATTCTTGGCTTGTCAGGAAGAAAAAAGCTAGCAAATTAACTTTTTAAAAAGCAATGCTTTATACTCAAAATCATAATTTTTTGGTGGTTGTTTTTTTAACAAAAACTATATGGTCTGGCTTCTATCTAATACATGATCGCAATGACAAAAAAAGAAGAAGGTATATTTCTATGCACGTACGTATTGTTAATTTGTTATAGATATTCTCTCGCTCGTTCCTCAACAACCAACTACTTTAGACTTGTGATGACAATTTCTGTATAGCAGTCAGATATATATAATTTCATTATAAGTTAATTGGTCTGACTTGGACAAATTATTAGTTTGAATCATTACACTAATCAAACACATGATATGATTGTTATAATACTGTTTATTTTCAGCTGAAGAATGAGTCATATATAAGACTCCTACTTTTACGATAGGACTTGGTCATTAAGATGAGTATATGTTCGTTGATTTTAAAAATTTATTAATCAAGCAAATGAGTTTTGGACCCCATAATTATATGACTGTTATATGGTCGTCCGTTGTTTCACGTTAATAGTGTCTCCTCTCTACTTCACATGATAATGTACTTCTTTTGTCTTGCACTTTATTAGTGTAATAATATATTAACGATTAACACAAATAACATGCAGAACGTAATTGTTTCATTCATGGATAAATGCAATTATGTTATTATTGTATTTGGTGGACCGTGGACGACGTCGGCTTCACTTTTGAAATTAGTCGGACATTTGGACGAAATCAAGATAGCCAATGCTACATCTTACCCAAAAAGAAAGAGACTTCGTCTAAATATATCGGATTTAAATGACTCTTTCCTTTGATAGTATAAGATTCCATATCAACGAAAAGAATTGACCATCACAAAGATTCTCTGTTCTACATTGAGAAGAGGTCATAGTATCAACACGAGTATATAGCTAGTCCATATTTATTATGGTCTCTAGAAGATGATCGAGCCACATGCCTTGATATCAAAGTGGCAAAAATGAAAAATAAAAAGGATTTTAGATGGGCTTTTTCTTATTTTTTGTCGAAGGCAAAAAAAACCCATTTGCGTCTGCCGGGAGTCGAACCCGGGTCTATTGCTTGGAAGGCAATTATCCTAACCGTTGGACTACAGACGCTTGATGTTATTTAAAATTAAATATGTAATTATTAATATTAATTATGTTCAACACATGTTATGACGAATGATTGGTTTGTTCTTCTGTCGATTTCGACTTAATTCTTCAACAACACAATGGACAAGTTTAAATAGATAGGATGTTTCACTGGTCACAATTATATACGTTTGATTAAACGTAAAAACTTACAGAAAATAAGAAACTATAATGCAATAGATACATTTGGTTGATCTTGATTGATTAATCATTTCTTGATAAATTAGTACAACAAAGAAGCATAAACCAACTGGTTCCAAGTATCGGGCAGACCAGGAAGACACCAATGGCTACAATCAGATGAACGGTCAGGCTTTCTCTTCAGAGATGGACTGATATCTCCACTGTAGATCGATGGATGACCGTCGATACGAAGAGCAGAGAGCATAGATATATCCATCAACGAGACATGGGATTTTATCTCTTTCACCACTTCGTCAATGACTTTCTTCTGGTTCACGTACGAACTTGTTGGGTATGTTGCTCCACTATACGGTGCCGTTTGGCCGTAGCAGCTTTTTGCTCCTTGAGTTGTCGTTGAAGCTTTTGCTTTTGAAATCCATTCATTTGGACTGCATCACATATTTTCACATCAAGTATGTATAAACCAATATGTAAAGACGAAGTTTTGAAATTCAACAAGAGATTATTTCTTAGTTACATGCACATTAAGAAAATAAACCTTACTACTCCCACTGTTTCAGAAAACTTGATGTTTAAGAAAATAAACCTTACATCAAGTTTTCTGAAACAGAGGGAGTATATTTTCATAAATATTGATGAGGGAACAGTTTTATTAAATACTATAGGATTGGTAGGATCATACAACACATTAATGGTTATGTTGGCGGCTATACATTATACTATCTCATTTTGCAAGTTGTATGGTGGCAAAAGATTTCTCATTGGCAAAAACTATAACGATTGGACTATTATTTGGGTCCATATTCAAAACACACAGCTAATATGTGGACCTTTATCAACAGACTATTCTCATGGTTATCCTTTTTGAGTTTTCTTCTACTTTTTTTGTGTGGAAATAAGGCAAAGTTTATGCATATCTTTTGATTAAACCGTGCCAAATTTCCATTAACAATGAACATTTTGTTTGACAAGGAAAAAATGGGTTATCGTTTTGAAGTGACTATATAGAGAATTTTAAGTATAAGCATACTAGCACTTTTTTGTTGAAATTGTAAACGTAATTATCAACTCTCCACTTTGTGGGCTAGCTAGCAATAGTGAGGCCACGATGTTTAGTAGTAGACTGGTAGCAACTAGCAAGCCTATTTATTCAATATACTCCATCTAGCAAAACCATCACAGCAATGCAAGTGTTTAATTGTGTCTCCTTTTCATTAAATTCTTTGCCGTTGATATCACGATGATTTATCCAACAATTAGCAACACTACACGTGCTTATATACAACCCCCAATGTTTCATAAATGACTTACTAATTTACAGATAAGAAAAACCAAGTGGTAAAAGTAAAACCATAGTTACAGAGTATTCAGTTTTTACGTTTGGCCTAGTATATCCTTAGCATTTTGGACAACCATGTTATATAGTGTATATAATAGTACGCTATTAGATGAACAAATGGTGTGCTAAACAAGATGATATTCTTTTCTAAATCCATTACATGAATAAAAGAACAAATCTGTAATCGTTTGAGCTAGTAACATGCCAGTTCCGTGTGTTTCACGCAACCAAATTGAATATAATTTGCAAATTAGAAGTATGTACGTTCATTGTAATGCATCTACTTGAGACAAAAAGAGGGAGAGAGAGAGAGGGGTACATACTTGTAGTGTGTGGGTGAGACGGAGAGGAAGAAAACTCTAGTGAGAGGAGAGTTGATATAACGAAGGACCCAATTAGACCATGTTCTTAGTCCTTTTCTCAATGCCACCAACCTATCCATGTCTTCGTAATTTCTCCCTCCTGTCTCCATCTGCTCCCACCTGTCTCACCCCCAAAAACTTACTTTCACTTTTGTCTTTGCACTCAATATAATTACCCCCTTAATTTACACTTATTACCATCTATTTCACCCCCTAGCTAGCTACGTGAGAATTCACCAATAGAGGTTATTAAATAAAGTAGATTACCCTCGTAAAGACCCGGTATGGCTCCACCAGTGACCAGTGTTGAACAGTAAAACGTCGGCCGTGCGCCAAATGTCCGATGCATCAACTGATATTTCGTCGAGTTTGAGAGTTGTCTTTCCGTGGATTTTGTCTATGTCTACAAGATATGGAGCTCTATAGAATGACACCTTCACGTTGTAGTCCTGTCCATGCATCCATATATTAGCAAAACAAAAGTGGAAGTAATTTGACGAAATGTTTTGGTAAACAACCATAGATCACAAGGGATAAAGATAGATTTTTTAAGGATTGAATATAAAAGGAGCGAAGTATGATCATTGTGATTATTTGTTATTGTATAGTTAAAAATGTTTGTATTGTTTTTGTGCTGGCGTCACTTTTCAATTAGTTGGAATAGATCTTAAATTGTTTTAATTCTGATTAGTAACCAAGTATAAATCATCTTATATCACCTATTAAAAACTAAAGAATCCTACATAGCTAGCTGATTTAGAGTAGCAGAAAGTAAATATTAATATCTTGAAGCAAAAATTAATAAAGAGAACATGCTCTGTTACCAGTGGATCTTATTCTAATCCGAAGAGCTTAGATCAAATCTGAAAATGAATAATATTCATATTCGTGCACAGAAGTGTAATAGTTAAAAAATGTGTTAGAATTTAGAATAGTAAATGTGATGTTTCTTCCGAGAATTTTAGTTTTCTTTTGTCCATTTTCTTTTATAAGACCAGTGAAACTGTCACCGACGACGTCAAGTTGGGCAGGTAATAGCAGTTGAAAACGACATTGGAAAATTACAACTTTTGACTCAATTTTCACGAGGTAATTCGACAAAAAAAGATTCCATAACCAATAATAGAAATTTGTGTGGGTACTTACAAGGATCATGAAGGTAGAGAGAGGATCTTCATGGATGATATGTGTATGAATGTGTGGTGCTGATGCAGAGATCATACACATCAACGATTCCCATTGGTTTCTCCCCAGTGAATCACCAACGAACATTATTGTTTTGTTCCTCATCTCTTGTAGAAACTTGACCCCATTGAATCTGTCTTCCACAAAAATCGTAAAACATTAAATAAATAAATCATTGCGTCGAGCCGTCGACCCTACAATCAATGATAAGTAACTATATTTAATCGCACCAAACTCCGACTAGTTATCAACAGGAAAATCAATTTGTTTTTTGTAATTTGTAAAAAGCAAATTTGTGTTAAACTTGTACTACTACTTTATACACAATAAGTTAATAAGGAGCTACTCTAACTTTCTGTAAGAAATTAGGTGAAGTAATACTGTAATACACACCAAATTATTTTGTTAGCTGTTATGAAGAATGTACAAAACCATATAATAATATATATTGTTGTATACATCTCATAATTTCCGGGGCCACTAATATGATCATATATTCCAAATACATTATGTGACATAAAAAAAAAAAAGAACTAATGATATAACTGGCTTGACTTTGTTTTTTTTAAACAGTAACTAAATTATAAATCTTGATTGGTGCAGTGGTGCTACTAGGAAATTCATATGCCCAAATTTAGATCTCTGAACAAAAATTCAAGTATTCGATGCAGGACGATAATCTCGATATCAATGTTCCTCAAAAGCAATGCAAAGTATATTCGAACCAATTAATTTAACTAAATCGATGTATATCGGTCTAAGGAAAAGTAGCTAATGAGTGAGTTTTTAATTATATAACCTAGGAACGTCGCAGTTGAAAGGTTTCCACCGGAACTTGAGATAATCGGAGTCAGGCCTGCCGTAAGTTTGGCAGTCAAACCCCGGATCTATCATTCCTCCGCCGCATTCTTCCACATTGTAAAGTGGGTACGTCTCATCCCGTACCCACTCGCCGGCGAACAGATCACATCTACTCTGGTTCACCGGTAACACTACCGGATTCCGCCGTGGATTCTTGGCGAAGTTGCCGTGGTTAAGGACCGGCCGCCGGAGGAGAGGGAGAGGCGTAGCTGACGTGGCCATTTGGAGAAGAAGAAGAAACAAGAAGAGGAAAGTGAGACATTGAACAACCGACATTAAAGAAGCTTAACGAGAGAAAGAGGAAAGGAAAAGGGAAGTGTTTGTGTTATTATTATGTGTGTCCTTTGCATGAAATCTTACTTGTATACGTATGTTTTGTGGAATTTAGCCTCGACGAACTACATATTTAAAAGGACGAAATTATGGGGCCCGGTTTAAATTTTTATTTATCAAAATTAGTTTTCTTGTTTGTTTTACCAATAAATAACTACATTTATTAACAAGTAGTCGAGTACCACTAGAGTACTAGTGGATATATACACAACAACAATGAACAAACAAGCCGTAATAATTCAACAAATTAACGGAATGTGTTAGTGTAGTTTTATTTTTGGGTCAAGAAATTCTGAAATACATGTAAGCGACCTTCTTTATGTTTTTCGCAAGGTATCAAAATAATAAATATTTTTGTTTTTGTTAAAGCAGGTATAAAAATTATACTAGATTCTTTGCTTTGCTTCATCACCTTCATGTCTAAATATGATCAAACTCGTTTTTAAATTGCGAGAAAAGCTACGTCACGGTAGTCAAACTAAGTCAAAGCTAAACGGCCAATGAAATAAAATTGATCTGTTCAAAAACCAATTTGGTACTGAGTACTGACTACTGAGAGTGACACTGTGACAGTGGCATCTACTCGCTATTGTATGGTTGGTTAAACTAAACTATTGACTGGGTCTGGTTTAGATTATCTTCACCGGTTTTGTTTGGTACATAAATTTTAAAGCCCATAGGAAAAGCCATTAGTGGCTGGACCGACTTTACTAATCTGGATACTTCTTCATTAGTATAAAGAACCGGACCCGATTCAACGAGGCTTTCATAGGCCAGGCCCATAAAAGTTCTATTTTAATGTGTGACTTAAGTAACTAATATTAAACCAAATTACCGAAGCCACTTGCCTTTAGAGTTTAGACCCATTTACCAACTTGATACAAAAATCATTATCCGATGCCAAAAAAATATGCAAATATCCTTTCTTTTCTGTTTTAAACAAGAAGTGGGAATAAATAGAAAATTAAAAACCTACTCGCATAAAAAACAAAAAGAAAAGGAAAAGATTAAAGGCTTTGATAAACCCATAGTTCAATTATTGGCATTTTTAGCTCCACCGTTGATTAAAAGAAAAAAAGGGAAAGATACGCATCAACCATGACGATCGTTAAATCTAAACGTCGGCATCTCTTAGGGCCGTTAGAAATTGTGGTTATCGACAACGTTTGTAAGAGACGCCGTTAAAGAGGTTGCTGTCGTGGTTATCAACTCAAAGCACATATACCTTTTCCTGATCTAAAATTAAGGCAACCAAATTAATTTAGCTAATAACGTCGAACCACGCTCAACACACGTCATCTTACACGTGTCAAGTTTTTTATTGGTTATTGCTTCACCGCCTTAACCTTTTCGTGATCGAGTCCTTTTCTATAAATCAAGCTCCTCAAAGACGTCTCTCCTTCACAATTCAGTTTACGAGATCTTTTAATCTTCTTCTCAAATCCCTCTCAATCGACTTCTCTGATTCAAGGTAAATTTCTGGTTTCCAATCAGGTTTTTCTCTGTTAGCTATTTGATCGCAATTGATTCTCTCCTTCGATCGTTAGAAGCAACTGTTGGAATTTCACCGATTGATATCCTCGATTAGGGTTCGTCGTATTTTAGCTAAATCCGTGCTGTTACGCTTCGATTTGTTGATCGGATCTGATTTCTGTTTGTGCGATCGATCGAATAGATTTTCTTTATCGTTTGCCGATTGTTTTTTCCGATCGATTTTTTTTGAAATTCAGATGCAGATCTTCGTTAAGACTCTCACCGGAAAGACAATCACCCTCGAGGTGGAGAGCTCTGACACCATCGACAACGTTAAGGCCAAGATCCAGGACAAGGAGGGTATTCCTCCGGATCAGCAGAGGCTTATCTTCGCCGGAAAGCAGTTGGAAGACGGCCGGACTCTTGCCGACTACAACATCCAGAAGGAATCCACCCTTCACTTGGTCTTGCGTCTTCGTGGAGGTATGCAGATCTTCGTCAAAACCCTTACCGGAAAGACGATCACTCTCGAGGTGGAGAGCTCCGACACCATCGACAACGTCAAGGCTAAAATTCAGGATAAGGAAGGCATCCCACCGGACCAGCAGAGGTTGATCTTCGCCGGAAAACAGCTTGAAGATGGCCGTACTTTGGCTGACTACAACATCCAGAAGGAATCAACCCTTCACTTAGTTCTCAGGCTTCGTGGTGGTATGCAAATCTTCGTTAAAACCTTGACGGGAAAGACGATCACTTTGGAGGTTGAAAGCTCCGACACCATTGATAATGTGAAAGCCAAAATCCAAGACAAAGAAGGAATCCCACCGGATCAGCAGAGATTGATCTTCGCCGGAAAGCAGTTGGAAGACGGCCGTACTTTGGCTGACTACAACATCCAGAAGGAGTCCACTCTCCACTTGGTTTTGCGTCTACGTGGTGGTATGCAGATCTTCGTGAAGACCTTGACCGGGAAGACCATTACCCTCGAGGTGGAGAGTTCTGACACCATTGACAACGTCAAGGCGAAGATCCAGGACAAAGAAGGCATTCCTCCTGATCAGCAGCGTCTCATCTTCGCTGGAAAGCAGCTCGAGGATGGTCGCACACTCGCTGACTACAACATTCAAAAGGAGTCGACCCTTCACTTGGTCCTTCGTCTTCGTGGTGGTTTCTGAAAACTTCCTTGCGTCTCTGTTATGTTTTCCAAACTCGTTTGCTGTTTCTTTCCTTTAAAAACTTGTTCTAGTTTCTGTTTTCGGATTAAATAATTGAAGAACTATGTTTGCGTGTCCTTGTTATTATATCTCTCTTGCTCTCTTTGCTCGTAAAGTCGTAATCTCTACATTGATATGTTAAGGTTTTGCCTTTTGCTAGTAACTCTCATCAGTGTACTAAAGTGTCACTGTCTTGTGGTTGAACTTATATGTACAATCTGCCTAGCTTTTACTTGAATTGGTGCGCCGAAATAGGTTGTGTTGTAGCTTGAAAGGTGTTTGGTTTAGGGTTTTCACATCCCCAATTGGTTAAGAGAGAATTCAGTTCATGAGCAATGTTCAACCATCTGAGAGGAATTTGGTTTGTTCCAGAAGATATGAATTTTTAAGACTCGCTGCAGCAAGTGGGATGATATATGAGATGGCTCTAGAGGGAACTACATGATAGGGTTCTTGGTTCAGTGAGGGGAGAGTAGGCTTTCTTCCTTAATAGCGTCTCTCACTGATTGAAACATTAACATTCAAGATTCGCTTGTGAACAAGAAAAGTCCTGAAAAGAATCATGGTTGGTTTAAGTGCTTCAGACCGAGCAAATGTTACACTTGGTTCGAAGAAGCTATGCTAATCTTTAATCTTGCAATCTCCTCTTTGCTTTCCGTGTCACAGCTTTCTGCAAATGGGATCAAGATTTACTTTAAGCTCTGACCTCTCTGCATTCCCCAAAAAACTTTCTCAATATGAAATTCCACAAGGATCTGGCATATAGGAAGAAGTATAAGATAAAACGTTTTGTAAAAAGAAAGTAATAATACCATATTAGCTCGAGTTATACATGGCAAAATTGAATGACATAGCACCTACATTGTGAGTGTACACTACTACAACATTAAATGGTTTGCATTCAGACCAGACATTGCTAAACAGATACATGGAGAGAGACATTGGGTGTTTGTGTATCATATCTTATGCAGAAGGAAAAGAGTTGATCTTATCAAATAGAGCAATGCATATTAGAAGAATTCACAATCTACGAACAGAAAAATTTCCTTCTTCCTGGATCAGATGAAAAAAGAGTATCCAAAAACAGTGAGGCCAAAGCAGAATCTTAATCATGATGGCTAATTGTTATGTTTTCACATAATTCACAGTTTTTGTTTCCCAAATTTGATTCTCTAAGCGTCCGATTAACGGATAAACTTCTGATTTGAATCCAAAGTAGATCAATTTTCTCTATCGAACGGTTTTGTTCGGAACATAATTTCTTAAAGCCCATAGGAAAGGCCCATTAGTGACTGGACCGACTTAACTAATCTGGATACTTCCTCCTGGACCTCCTCATTAGTATATAACAAGCGAACCCGATTCGTTTCACTTTTAATTGGTGTTTCGTAATCGTCTTCCTTGGTTCATCTTTGGCGCTCTGGAAATTTCTCGACGCAAAGCTCTTTCTTGATTGGCTCAAGTTAGGCCTCCCTTTTACTTGTGAGTTTTCCATCCCAACTTTTCTCTATAATTTCTTCTGTCTACGTTTTCATTCTTTTTTTTTTCTTTCTTCGTGATTTTGTTGTTCTGAAACGTTTAGGGTTTATGATTATAAAAATGTCTGATGCTCGATTGTGTTTATCTTCTAGTTGTTAGCTTACGAAAGTTCGAATCGATCTCAGTTTTATTGTATATGGTTTCGTGAACGTGTTTGCAGTTTTCATAGATTTTCTTTGGTGCTTCTGCCTGTAAGGTGTTTGACGAAATTCCTCTGAGAAATCAAGTAAATTTATTTTCTTTGTTGCTTCTGTAACAAATTATCATCTTTTAGTTTATCAATTATTGGGCTATTGTTATGGCTTCTTGACAATTCAGCAAAGTTTTGGATTTGATTGATTAGGCAAGTAAGAATTTTTATTGAACAAGAGTGTTCTATGATGCACGAAGTCGTTTAATTTCTTTGAATGATTACATGATCTCTCCTAAGCTCAACAATCACATACTCTTTAGTGCTTTTGATAGAAAAGTGACCACTTTTGCTAAGTTTTGCAGGTTAAAACACTGTTTCTGTAGCTATGGCGAAGCATCACCCTGATTTGATCATGTGCAGGAAACAGCCAGGCATTGCTATCGGACGACTGTGCGAGAAATGCGACGGGAAGTGCGTGATTTGCGATTCTTACGTGCGTCCGTGTACTCTGGTGCGTATTTGTGACGAGTGCAACTACGGATCGTTCCAAGGGCGGTGTGTTATTTGCGGAGGAGTTGGGATCTCGGATGCTTACTACTGCAAAGAGTGTACGCAGCAGGAGAAGGACAGAGATGGTTGTCCCAAGATTGTCAACCTTGGGAGTGCCAAAACCGATCTGTTCTATGAGCGTAAGAAATATGGATTCAAAAAACGATGATGATGTTATGTATATGGGTATTTGGCGATTGAATGATCCTTTTGATTATTTCAAACTATTTGGATCTCTCTCTCTTATGTTATGTGTAAACTTTGTCTGTTGACCCTCGTTGCGTAAAAACTGATGTGTTCTATTGAATAAAGATATTGGATACAAAACCAGAAGCTTTGAGTTGTCTTTGTTGGAGTTATGTTAGTGTCCGAACAGTGTCTTGCTTTGTAATGCTAGATTATGGTTTATTTGGACTTTTAAGATCGGATAACGTATATCAAAGCGAATATAGGTGATGAAATAAGTTTTATTTTTACATTGAAAATTTTTCACTGAAGTATTTCTTGTTGCTATTTGAACAAAGTTTTGAACTTTTTGAATTTTGATTAGTTGTTTGTTTCTAAGTTGTTTTGGGGGATCCCACGTCAGTCTTGTCATACCTGCTAAATGTAAACGCAATCATATTTTAAAGATCATGTATAAATAAATCCAAGTATAAATAATGTAAGAAACTATAGGGACGGTGTGAGACAGACTTTTTGTGGCCTCTACAAATATAAAAGTGGAGACACAGAGAGAGAGGGAGAGAGAGAAAATGGGTTATTCGTCTTCTTCATCATCAATAGGGATATGTTTGTTCCTCTTCTTCACATTTGCTTTCGTCTCCTCCTCTGCTCGTCTCAGTCTTGCATTTACCGGTACTTTTTTTCCTCCCTTTGTTTCTCTATTTCCTCAGCTGAGAACATATTCTTTGCTGACCTAATCTCCAAGCACTATATACAATTACCTCATCATAATCCATGTCCGTTAAACATCTCATAATCTTTTTATAAGCTAGTCACTGAGATCTCATAATCCCATGTATATGAGGATGCAATTGGAAAGTATAAAACTAAAGTAGATTGACGATAGAAATGATGAATATGAGGATGCAATTATGACTGGAATTACTTGTTAACCACTTGAAAGATGTATATATTTTCTCAAAACAAGTTGTATATATCTTAGTTTTAAATGTTCTGTTTCCAGCTTGTTTTGTATCTAATTTCTCTCTATATTCAAATCAAGCGAACATGAAACACGACGCTCGAGATTGTCTTCCCTTTGGCCGATGAGTTGTTCACACGGCCAATCTATCTTATATATTTCTTTTGAAAAGTTAAACATCTTGTGACATCCAGTAAAAAAAGTACGTCATATAAAGTTATAAACTATAATATCTGATTATAAGAAACAACGGTTGATATAAGCCGTAGTTTTAAATTTCTGTTAAGCACTAAAAAGCGTTGACCTTACTAGAAAAGAACACGGACAGATCATAATCATACAATGAATATTTAATAAAATCTGACAGATGTTTTCTATTGCATAAAATTAGCAAGTTGAACTTGAAATGGATCTTAGTCCATCGTATCTCTTAAAAATCCAAGCAAAGATTTGGACTTTTGAAAACCCATTTTTAAGCACACAAAAAGGTCGAATTTGTCTAGCCCCCAATTAGTTTGTGTTTAAATCTATTCTTTTAGCAGACACGTAAGTATTTGTATAGATAAACCAATATGGTACTCAAATGTCATGTTTCTAAATCTTGACTTGACAAATTATATGCTCTATCAGCAATGAGTACATTAAATTGCTAAAATTAAACTACAATATCTTCGAAACCAATAATAGCTCAAACGATTTTTTTGCTTTTACTAAATGGAAGAATCCATTAATACTACTAGGTAACTTTGAAAGAGAAAATATGTGGACTGTGGACATATTTTATGCAAATTGACAACGAGATTTTTGAGGAATCAGGTTTGCCTAGATGATTAGTTTATTTGTTAATGAGATGTGCTTATATACAAATTATTACTATCACTGATTTCTATCGCGCGTGTAAAACATGCATATGGGCAGAAAATGCAATGACGGTGGTGAGAGAACGGTCATTGATGGTGAGCACCAACGACTACGGTGAGCCTTCAGCGAACGGTAGACACGATCCACCGCGTGGCACCCGAGGCCGCAGACGTTGAGTGGCTAACGATTTTTCTTTCTTAGTTTGTCCCTCTTTTACTTGCAAGCTTGCAAATAATCTATATATAGGGAGAAATAGTAATAAAGAAGACCTTGTTTGCATTTGTGCTCTTCTACATCGATTTCAACTCAATGTTCTTGTAATTTCTCCGCAATATGTGAATTTTTAAGCATAGTTCATTTTTGTGTATCTCAATGCTGTTTTATTCGAATCAGCACTACACTATCTATTGACTATTTCATACATTAAAATTGTTGTGACAATTCGAAAGTTTAGATTATATTAGAGTATATATTGATTTACTATATGATGGTCTGTACTTAGTATTCAGTTATTGGTTGTTAGACTTTCAGTTAGGTTTGGCTTATGATTTGGACTTGGTTAGTCTTTTATACACGCCAATTTTTTTTTATACCTACTTAAACTTTAAATGCGAAAACCACTTTCAAATTTGATTTTCAGTGCCGCAGACGTTGAGTGGCTAACGATTCTCATCTCTTAGTTTTTCCCTCTTTTACTTGCAAGCTTGCAAATAATCTATGTATATGTAGGGAGAGATCAATAAAGTATTGAAAAACAAAAATAGTTATATATGTAGTCTAAGAGACCTTGTTTGCATTTGTGCTCTTCTACATCGATTTCAACTCTTTTTTCTTGCTAGATTAATATCTCAGCTACATGTGAATTTTTAAGCATAGTTCATTTTTGTGTATCTCAATGCTGTTTTATTTTCTACTGCACTATATATAGACTATTTCATACATTAAAATTGTTGGGACAAAACGAAATTTTAGATTATATTAGAGTATACATTTAGGCATTTGGTATATGATGGTTTGTAACTTTGTACCTAGTATTCAGTTATTTTTTTTTTTAACATCTGAATTTTATTAAATAGTGAATGGGAAATACAAATATTTAGTCATCCACGCTGGTGGAGATACATACAACATAAAAGAACTAGAATTATTATAAACTCACGTTGATAACAAATCAGCTATCTGATTTTTTTCCCTATTCACATGTTCTAAGGAACATAACGGCAAAGCTTTTATCCAGTCCCGAATGTCGAAGCGAACCATCACTAGTTTGTTGTTAGACTTTCAAACTAATTTGATGTTGGACCATCTCCGTTCTCGAAACCTACAGTCCTATAAAATACAAAGTAAATGGGCCTAAGGCCTGTTAAGAATCGTAATTTAATTTTAAATAGTAACCGAAAGAATTTTGTTCGGTTAATACAAAATTTGTGTGTGAAGAAGACAGCTTCGTCTAGAAATATTCAAATGCTCCCATAGCTCAGGCAAATCGCTAAACGGAATCCATCACTTTGACCAACAAAGATTCTTCAAACACACACAGAGAAGAAGACGAAGAAGCACGATGTTCTTGATCAAAAACCTCGCACGAATCTCGCCGGCCAAATCCTCGTCGTCTCTGATCGGATTTAGAAACCCCGGATCATACTCATACACTCTCTCTTCCCGTTTCTGCACCACTCTCCATCAACAACAACAACAACAACAAAAGCAAGACACTCCGATTAAGTCTCCGTCTCCGAATGGATCGGATCGGAATCAGTACGAAGGTCTGGCACCGACGAGAGAAGGAGAGAAGCCGAGAGTGGTGGTTCTCGGGTCGGGTTGGGCGGGTTGCCGGTTGATGAAAGGGATCGACACGAGCCTCTACGACGTCGTCTGCGTTTCTCCGAGAAACCACATGGTCTTCACTCCTCTCCTCGCTTCCACCTGCGTCGGCACTCTCGAATTCAGGTCCGTCGCCGAGCCAATCTCTCGCATCCAGCCCGCGATCTCGCGCGAGCCTGGCTCTTTCTTCTTCCTCGCCAATTGCTCTCGCCTCGATGCCGATTCTCACGAGGTATACTTCGTGATCGCTTACTCTTCGATTGAGTGTTCTAATTCGGCAGATTTGTGGCCTTCTCAGATCAAATTGGTCATTGATGATACACGAATCTGTGAAACTCATTTGAATCGATTCATGTTGAAGTTATGATTTGCAAAATTGGAATTTGTGTTCACTGTTCTAATGAAGCAAATCTCTGTTACTGTATCACTTAGTTTTTGGGGGAATTTGTTAGATTTTAGAGAGTTTTTGACAAAGATGGTAGAGGAAGAAGTAAATTGAGTTGTTTTATGGTAAAAGCGTGAGAATGAGTTTCTTTTTGATAATGATTCTTGGTGATTAGGTTCACTGTGAGACTCAAACCGATGGATCCAACACATTACAGCCATGGAAGTTCAAGATCGCTTACGACAAGCTTGTGGTAGCTTGCGGTGCAGAGGCGTCCACGTTTGGAATCAAAGGCGTTTTAGAAAACGCGATTTTCCTCCGTGAGGTTCACCATGCTCAGGAGATTCGTAGAAAGCTTCTTCTAAACCTCATGCTCTCTGACACTCCTGGTAAAAACAAACCAAAATCACCATCCCCTCAAGAATCACAGAATCGTTTTGACATAGTTTCTTTGGATTATTAGGCATATCGAAAGAGGAGAAACAGAGGCTGTTGCATTGCGTTGTCGTTGGAGGTGGACCGACTGGTGTTGAGTTTAGCGGCGAGCTGAGTGATTTCATCATGAAAGATGTTCGTCAAAGATATGCTCATGTGAAGGACGACATTCATGTTACCTTGATAGAGGCTAAAGATATACTTTCATCGTTCGATGATCGTCTCAGACGTTACGCTATCAAGCAGTTGAACAAATCTGGAGTCCGGTTTGTGCGTGGGATCGTGAAAGACGTGAAGCCACAGAAGCTAATACTCGACGACGGCACTGAAGTTCCTTACGGGCTCTTGGTTTGGTCCACTGGTGTTGGTCCTTCTTCTTTCGTTAGCTCTCTTGACCTTCCTAAAGCTCCTGGTGAAAGGTTAGTCCATCAAGATCACTCCATTAGACACTCTGTTCTAAAGATGTTCCACATTTTTGATATGTTTCTCTAATAGGATTGGTATTGACGAATGGATGCGTGTACCGTCTGTACAAGACGTGTTTGCGATTGGTGACTGCAGCGGTTATCTTGAGAGCACAGGGAAACCGACACTTCCTGCTCTCGCTCAGGTGGCGGAGAGAGAAGGCAAATACTTGTCGAGTCTGCTGAATGAGATCGGGAAAGCGAACGGAGGACGAGCCAACGGCGCGAAGGAGATGGAGCTTGGAGTTCCTTTTGTGTATAAGCACCTTGGAAGCATGGCTACGATCGGTAGATACAAAGCTCTAGTCGATCTCCGCGAGAGCAAGGTAACTAAATATTTTGACTCGATAAGATTCACTCTTGAAACAAGATTGAGATTTGAGGAGAGATGTTACTTGCGCAGGACGCAAAGGGAATATCAATGACGGGTTTCGTGAGCTGGTTCATATGGAGGTCTGCGTATCTGACTCGAGTCATTAGCTGGAGGAACCGTTTCTATGTTGCAATCAACTGGTTCACTACTTTCGTCTTTGGTCGTGACATTAGCCGAATCTAATGTGTTCTGTTTTCCATCTACGTCCTCGCTTTGTACAGAAGAGTACATCAATAACGTAACCTTCCCAAAGAAAGTGTGTTCGTTTTTTTTTTGCCGTTGATACAATACATGTACAATGTGATGTGAGTACGAATTTTGTTTGTTTATTTTTGGGGTCGTTGAGATTCAGTTGAAGTAAAAAGGAATCTTTCAGAAGGAGAATTTAGTAGTTTAAAGACATTTAAGTATTCTGAAAATAATTATAATCGGTTGGTGTTGTATTTGGATTTTGTGGACAGAACCACGAAGAAGTTGTTTAAGTTTCTATTATGATTGAGAGTTTGGATCTTGTACATATTCACATGTTCTTGTCAGTTGTCACGCATGCTTGTACAGTAAAACCTCTATAAAACAATAATGTTGGGACTTTGAAATTTTATTATCTTATAGAGTTATTATTTTATCGATAAAACAATAATTATTATTTTATAGAAATATTCTATAAAAAACAATAAATTTTATAGAAATATATTTTTTCAGATTTTTTATTCAAATTTTCCTTATACTTTGTTATTTACATATTTAAGTTCAAAGTCTATAAGAAATTGTGTATATTGTTCTTAATAGTGAAGATGAAGTTGAAGATGATGAGGAAGGACATGTGCAAGTAGTTACACGTAAGGATGCAATTGTGACTTCGAGAATTCTTCACAACTTTGGCTGCATGTTGAGAATACACCTCCAAAAATTGTAGATGCAATAAGAAAAATTCAAGATGAGCTCCAACGGGAATCCAATTTTCAGAAAAAACAAACTACATTGTAGTCATATTTTACTAAATTGTCTTAGATATATATGCATTAGTTTTATAATTATTATCTTAGCTTATTGTTGGGACTATTTTTTACACAGGAGTTTCAAAAATATTATTGTCTTATCATCTTATCGCATTATGCTATTTTTTACACTGACCCGAATTGGGACCATAGAAAAATTGTTTTATCGAATATTGTTTTATAGTGGTTCTATTGTATAACCTTCTCCAAGTGTATGCATTTCCAAAAGCATACTTGTAATCCAATTCATTGGTTTATATACTTTCTTTTAAGTAATGAACCATAAGAGTCTTTTGTTTTTACATGGTTTAACACAGAAGCATGATGCGAAAGAATAATATTTTAAGAAAATGTAGTGTCATGTACAGTAAGCGAAAGGACAAGAGAGGGAGCAAACTGAAGTGAACAAGAATTAAAATAATGGACAAAGTGAGTCAAGTGACATTGTCGTGGTTGTCTTTTTGAACTCATATATTTGATATCTCGCTTTTGTTTGGCTTTATGTCCGATTCCGATTTTCCTCTCTGTCGATTGCTACTAACTCTCTAAATCCAAAAGTAAACGTTGTAGTCACATACATAACCAATAATTGTCTTCATAAATATCTTCTCCTTTTCAATATTTAATCCAATTTGCTAGGGAGGATATTATGTTTAGATCCGGTACCAAATGGTGGTTTATCAATTATTTATGGAACCAAACGGTATTTTATCTTCTGTTAACACCAAACCCCGTACCCCATTATACGCAGAGCCGTCCTTGGGAGCAAGCTGCTGCTTGCGGCCCGCTTTAGAATAAGTAAAATAATCGGCTCTAAATTTTCAAAAATCTCGTAGATAAGTTGGTTATGCACTTGGATGACCTAAACATTAGGTCGCCGGTTCGAGTCTCATAGATACCTTCTCGAATTCGTTTTTTTTAGTGTGGCCCACTAATTCTCAGGGACGGCTCTGACTATACAAAACACTATACATGTTTAAAAAATGAGACGTGAGAATATACGTATATCGCAACAAGTATCTTATTATATAAAGCTGGATGCGCACGACGTGGTTGCGACACGTAGGATTTTTATAAAATTCAGGATCGCGACATGTGTCACTTTTAAGTTTATGTCCGTTAAGATCGTGACACGTGTCTTAGGAAAAAAAGAGAACTTAAAAAAAAAATTCCAGAAAAATGTTAATTAAAAAAAACGAAATTTAATTTAATATATTATATCAAAAAGGAAAAAATAATATTTGCCAATATCCAAACAGAAAAAGGTTTCCATTCATCAATTTTTTATTATATAAAGTTGGATGCGCACGACGTGGTTGCGACACATAGGATTTTTATAATTTATAAGATCGCGACATGTGTCACTTTTAATGTTACGTCCGTTAAGATCGTGACACATGTCTTAGAGAAAAAAAAAAAAAAAAAAAATTAGATAAAGGAATTTAAAAAAAAATAATCCATTACAGTTAAAAGAAATAAAAATATATTTGTCATATCCTAATAGAGAAAGGTTTCCCATTCATCAAATTAATATTATCCAAACAAATAATAAAATCAAAATAATGTAATAAATAAAATCCTATTTGTACATGGAATATGTTATGTAAACTAAATTTCCTATAACTGCATGTAATAGGTTACTTGAACCCCTATAAAAGAGAGTCAAGATTTCTCAATCATAAATTCATCAAAGCAAATTCATCAAATCCCTTTGATTCTATTTCTCCAATTTAAAAATCATGTTTTTGAAAGTTTTGCGATACATAGGATTTTTATAACTGACAAAATTGCGACATGTGTTTTAGAAAAAAAAATTCGAAGTATGAAGATCGTAACATGTGTCATGGAATAAAAATAATAAAAAATTAATATGTATAAGACTAACTAAAAATTAGAAAAACAGATAACAAATAATTAAAATGAAAAAATAATACATCCATTAAAAGTAATAAAAAAACAGGAAACAAATAATTTAAATTCTTTTGTTACATCTATTAAGAAAAGGAAAAAAATCCATTTCGAAAAGGAAAAATACCAATATATAGTATTTATAATGGTCTGAGGCAAAAACAAAATTGAGAAAGAAAAAATATAAATAGAAAACTAACAAAATAATTATCAAGCAATTAACTAATATTAAAAAATTATAATTGATATTCTAATTTTAAATAGTTTGATTTTCAATTTTTGTTAGGTAAAAAAATTGAAATAAAGATTTCATCAATTAAAATCTCTTGAATGGAATAATAAAAGTTTGATTAATTAATCAGTTGATCAGATTTAGACATGTGTAAGTCTTTCTGTATTGGATAAAAATAATAGTAAAACAAATTAATTCATTTTGTCATATCATAAATTCAAAAGAAAAATCAATTACAATAAAAATGTAAAAGTATTACCAATCTTATTTTATTTAAATATTTTTATCGGGTTTTCAATATTATTTTGTTTACGTTTAAAAATGATCAAATTTTGTTTAATATTTTCCATGCTTTTATTATAAAATCTTAAAATATACCGCGTATACGTAGGCCTAAATATAGTTTAAACTAATTGAGAAAACAAATACATCTAATAGAACGATAATTCGTATACGTAGGCCTAAATATAGTTTAAACTAATTTCACCGCTATTTTACCTTTGCTTATGTTTTTCCCCCAACCAACTGAAAAACATTTGTCTACTTTCTTAGACATTACTCATGAGTGAGAATTTTTAACTCCGGGAAACAAAATCATTGTTAAAGAATGTTAATAAACTATATGGTCGTCGAACCCACTACTAGTCCAATGACTTTTACCGCAAAGTACACGCTCCACCATATTTGAGTCCAAACATGTAACTCAAAACGACAAATATCAAAAATATAAACGATGCTATTTGATTTTGTTATGGCTTATTCATTATTCTCGTTTTTGTGTTTGGCAACTATTGAAACGGTATAATGTAGTGATATATGCGCTCTCTAATCTCCAATTCATGCACCTGTCATGTAAGTTTTATTATGATCGAGATTTTATTTTATTTTTTGCTAAGAAAGTTTGGTGAACCGAAAAACAAAAGAGAGGAAACCAACAATGTTGAGGTCGAACAAAATGACATGGTTTAGGGTCAGGTAATATATAGGATAGGTGGATATTTTTGGAAAGTAAAACCATAGCTTCATGAACAGAAGACAGAGACGTGTTTAGTCGGTTCACACGTGCACGGACGTCCCATCTTTTCTTCATCTTGTCCACTCTTATTGGTCGACAGACCTAACAACAGTTAATTATTCTAATGGCTTAACTTTCATATATTTATCAACAAGTAGCTATATTGCCGCCTAATCGAGTAATAGTATCTTAAAATTTACATGCTTTGTTTTGTATTAAACCATCCATATGACTGGTTCGAGTAAGTTGAAAAAATGTGTATGTTCATGAATCGATCGTGATCTTTAACTCTTCTTCTTCTTCTTCCCTTTTTTTCTTTAAACGCATTCTATAAATTGGAACTTAGTTTGTAGCCGTTCTTCTTCTTTTATGGTTGCATGCTTCTATACACAATTTTTTTATTAAAAAAAAGTGTGTGTAAACCTAGTTACGTGTTTGATATTACGCACACATATTCTGTCGATGATACAAGTCTTTTCGTTGGAAATTAAACTCGTGTGGTGCGCCTTCTTTTTCTTGACATCTCGTGTGGTGTGCTTTTTCAAGCAATATTTTTGTTGCGACACGTATAAAATACTAGATTAGGTCCCGCGTACACGCAGGTTTATTAAACAAAATTTGATCACTTTTTGAATTCATTATATGAAATAGAAAAAACTTACATGTGTCTAAATCTAATAGACTCATTAATTTATGAAACTTTGATTATTCCATTGATAAAATCTTTACTTTTAATATTGTTTTACCTAAGAAAAAAATCAAAATTAAAATATTTAATATTAGAAGATCGGTCCATTATAAAATTTTCTTTTTAATATTTTAGCTCCTTGATAATTATTTTGCCGGTCCTCTATTTATATTGTTTCTTTTTCAATTTTTTTTTGCCTCTAACAATTATAAATTTTCATTTTCATTATTAGTTAGTTGTTTTACAATTCTTTTCTTAGTTTATTTATTTATGTTACTTCATTTTTCCAATTTTCTTTTGTTGACACATTTCATCATCTGATTAAATATTGGACATGATTTT